AGCGAACCCAAGAGCCGCAAGTGTAGTCCTCAGTGTGTCGTGCCACTCACAAGGCGCCTGGCGGAGACCGTAGACTGGCCGCCGGAGGCTCCACTGGGTACCAGGAGGGAACGACCCAGTGAAGCCAGGTGGGCGGCGCAGCCAGATCTCCTCGTGCAGGCTGCCCTGTAAGAAGGCTGTGCTGAAGTCAAGAGAGTGAAGCTCGTAGTCACGCTGAGCGGCAACGTGCAGCAGCACCCGAAGAGTGGTCATCTTCGGGGTAGGGGAGAAGGTCTGGAAGAAGTCAACTCCCTCACGCTGACTGAAGCCTCTAGCAACGTAACGAGCCTTGAAGACAGGCGGAGAACCCGGCGGCCGCTTCACCCTGAAAATCCACATGCCATCGACGATGTTCGCCCCAGGAGGGGGAACCTCATCGACGTAAGTGCCTGTGGACTTCCAGGATGCCATCTCTGTGTCCATGGCTGCCTGCCACTGAGAGGAGTAGGGACTCGCGATCGCCTTAGCGTAAGAGCGCGGGGTCGGGATGTCTACAGCATCCGGGTCTCCCTCAGGGGCAAGCAGCATGGCCACGAGATGAGGCGCAGCGGCTGCAAGACACTCAAGGTCCTCTTGCCTGTCCTCAAGGACGTCCGTGCCAAGAGCACACTCACCCCCGACGGACGGAGGACAGACAGACTCAGACTCAGCAATAAGACTAGCGGCGTAGTCTAGACGACAGGCAGCAGCAAAGTCAACAAGCTCAGCGACTAAGGCAGACGCAGCAGCAGACTCAAACGACGGGTCAGTGACAACAGTGGCAAGCAGACGCGTGACAGTAGGGTGCTCAGCATGAAACCGGTCAGACTCAGGGTCGGCAACGTCAGGCAGAGAGGACGCAGGGGGAGACGGCAGAGGAACAGACTGCGGAGCAGAGGAAAGACGACGGACTACGAGGTGTGTACCGGGGACAGCCGGCTGACGCGAACGAGGAACACGACGACCGGAACGACCAGGACAAACAGGCGAGACAGGACGCGACGCAGGCTCACGACGCTCAGCAAGACCACCAGGCTGCTCAGTGTAAGGAGGAGGAGCAGGGAGCGGTGAGCCAGGCAGTAACGGAAGACCAGTAGACGACGGAAGGGTAAGAACCTGACGAAGAACAGAGTCAGGCAGCGGCAGAGACGACGGAGACGGCGGAGCGAAGAACAGTCGTGTCGGCGCAGCTGCACCAGCACCGGCAGCTCCAGTGGCTCCAGCACCTCCAGTAGCTCCAGCACCTCCAGCAGCTCCAGAACCTCCAGCGCCAGCACCACCAGCAGCAGCACCCCCAGAACCAGTACCTCCAGTCCTAGGGTCGCCAGCCTCAGTGTCTCCAGCAGCAGCACCCCCAGAACCGACACCTCCAGTCCTAGGGTCTCCAGCCTCAGTGTCTCCAGCAGCAGCACCCCCAGACGCAGCACCTCCAGCCCCAGCAGCTCCAGTACCTCCAGTACGAGCACCTCCGGGACCAGCAACTCCAGCACCTCCTGTAGACACAGCACCACTCCCAGCTCCAGCGACGACAGCAGAAACACCTCCAGCGGTAGAGCCCCGAGCTCCAGCAGCGCGACCCTGACGGCGAGTGTACCACTCGTGCAGCTGCTGCGGGGAGAGAGGCGCACGCGGACGAAGGCGGCTACTCCAAGGAGACCGCGCACCAGCAGTCTCAGTACCCGCAGGCGCCGCACCCCTAGACTCAGCACTCTCAGGCTCAGCACCCCCGGACGCAGCACCCTCAGGCACAGCACCTCCAGTCTCCGCACGCACAGGCTCAGCACCTCCAGCAACCGTCGTAGTACATCCAGAGATCTGTGCGCCTTGAGCCAGGAGTTCGAATTCAAAACTCCAGGTGTAGAAGTCCTTCCTGTAGAAGGACAAAATGGACCTCAGCTTTGTCGTCGAGAGAAACTTGCTCTGCATTGACGCCATTGTTTCGTAATGCAGCTATTGTGCTTGTGCAGGACCTTGAGCTCCGCGATTGTCGAAGGTGAAGGATCGCTCAGAGTGGGCTCCATGAGGATCGAGAGGTCTTCGGGCGTAGCTTGAGCCGTCGACGCTCATTGGCTGATGGCTTTCCAGGGCGATGATGCGAGAGATTAGTTTCTCGAGAAGAGCTGTGTCCACAGTTGTCATTCCATAGGTGACGTTAGTGGAAGATAGTACTGGATTTTCTTTAGCCTCTTTGCAATCTGCGCCTGGCATGATGCTCGCCCTTGGTGAGTTATAATGAGAATTGTCTTTGCTGAAGGCTTTTAGCAGATCCTATAATCCAAACAGGCTCTCATACCATGCCAGAGTGAGGATCTTGGATATGATAGGATTGGCTTAGAGAGTTTCGTAACGGAAGTCTTGTGTTAGGAACATTGTGCATAGTGAATATAAATGACATTATTGATTAAAAGGTGAAACAATCCACACAATAAATAGATTCTAACGAGCCATATACTCTAAGGGGTACATTTTCTTATTATAACTATTTTACATGTATTTCCACAATGACTCTTGACTATTGCACTTCTCCTGTTATCGAGTCGCTACGTGTAACCGTACGAGCGGTTACGCCTGTTGCCATTCGTCGCTGGTGATTTATCGGTCCCGACGGTCAGCAGTCGCGACAGTTAACCTTTGCGACTGTAGACCTTCCTGCTCTCGCAGGGGCTGATCCGATAATGCCGTTAGCGTTGCTTCGATAGTGATGGGTGCGATACAGCTGCACCTACGGGAATGTTAAAGTTTATTCCGATGATGCCGTTAGTGTTGCTTCTTACTCTAACACGTCAAATTTCTTTCAAATTTACATGTGCTGGCGAACACCGACAAAGAATACTGCCATTTTCATACGCATGCAACTTAGTCTAGGAAATGTATTCAGGTGCATGTCATGTTATTGGGCAGGTGTGTACACTATACGCAGCTTAAATGTTTGTTATCGTAAAATTACGCACTTCCCAAGATTCGTTTCCAACTAGCACAAACAGTCGATAATAGATGCGATTTTGGATTACGCACAGCGAAACCGGAATGGTTGGCTCTCAATTCTGCATTTTCTGACGTCATCAGAAGCAATCATTGCATGTTTGCATGTTTGTCAGCCAGTGAGACAGGGACAGGTGCAGGGAGGGGTGTGACCGTGGTACTGTCGCGAAAGAAACAGCGGGAAGCACCAGAGTCAAGTGTAAAGGTGTGCAAGGCCTCAGCAGGTGCAGTACCAGAGAGAGCAGACTCACTAGCACCTAGAGCAGCAGCCGCTATACCAGGGTCAGGGGGCACACACAGGTAACAGTCACCCTCAGAAGTACCAGTCAAAACATACATGGCAGTAAGGATAGTGTCATAGTCTAAGGCAAATATATCTACTCCGTCCTGAAGCAGCTCTAGCCAGAGGGGTAGCTCAGTCTCGTCGCCAAACCGTGCTCGCCAAGCGTCGCTCAGACGGGAGAAGCAGCGGGACTCTGTGTGACTAACTGTCCCGCAAGTCTGACCAGCTCGATCACCTGTGCGAATAACGTATGGGTAGCGAGCAGTAGACCTACACCCCCAACGCTGAGCGTACCACGCATGAAGCTGCTGGGGTGGAAGGGTCTCGCTCGGACGCCGCTGCAGCTGGATCTCGCCACCGCCAGAAACTCCGCACTGAACAGCTCCACCGCGACTGCAACTATGGTCGCCGCCACCACTCCCACTGCCGCCACCGCCGCCGCCACCACTCCCACCGCTACTACGAAGGGAAGTCATAGCGGGTAAGCAAGGAGGCGTGCGAGGAGGAGGGCGGTACGGAGGGAAGACAGCTCACGAGCATCAGCAACAGCAGTAAGAACAGTAGAGCGGCCCGATGAGGCTAGGCTGCAGCACCTCCAGCACTCCTAGCAGCACCTCCACCAGCAGCAGTAGTAGCACGAGCAGGAGGGCGGATCGGGTCGGGTAGGGCGGCTCGGCTCGGCCTGGGCGGCGCGAGCAGCAGGGCGCGCTTCGTGCAGGGCAGCAGGGCGCGACGCGCGGGCTGCAGCAGAGCGCGACGCGCGGGGCTGCAGAGCGCGGCGCGCGGGCTGCCGTAGGGCGCGACGCGCGGGGCAGCAGAGGCGCGACGCGCGGGCTGCAAGGCGGACGGGCGACGCGACGGGCAGGCAGCCCGTACGGGCGACGCGACGGGCTGGGACAGCCCGTACAGGCGACGCGACGGGCAGGCAGCCCGTACGGGCGACGCGACGGGCTGGGACAGCCCGTACGGGCGACGCGACAGGCAGGCAGGGCGGACGGGCGACGCGACGGGCTGGGACAGCCCGTACGGGCGACGCGACGGGCAGAGGCAGGGCAGACGGGCGACGCGACGGGCTGCAGGGGCGCGCGACGCCAGGCAGAGCAGAGCGTGCGCGGGGCAGCGCAACGCGGGGCAGGGCAGGGCGTGCGCGCGGGCGGCGCAGCGCAGGCAAGGCAAGGCAAGGCGCAGGCAAGGCAAGACGCGCGCGGGCAGCGCAGCGCAGGCACGGCAAGGCGCGCGCGGGCGGCGCAGCGCAGGCAACACGTGGGGCAGCTCAGTAACCACAACGGTAGGTGGGCCCGAAAAAAAACGGTCCTACGGACCTACTGCTCTGATACCATGTCAGAAAGTACAGGCAGGAATGAATGAACTAGCAGCATGATGGGTACAAGTAGGAAACCCTAATCTGGGTTGTACCCCATATGGGCTACCCCACTACAGCCTACACAATAAGCAGCATATATGTTTGACACAATTGCCAGTAAATGTGTGGTTTTATCCTATTGGATGGTGCACGAATTTTGACTACCAGATCAAGGCATACAACAAGGAGCATACCATATGTTGGCAGATGTGAGCGGTTTATCGTTAGGTGGATTGCCTCATGTCATGATGCTTGATTATGGTTTTGGTAGCGTTCCCTTAGGAGGCATCTTAGGGACCCAAGGTAACTATGGGCATTGGAGGGTGTCCACACAGCATCTTAGGGACGCTGTACTCACTGTGAGTCACCAATGGAGACCAGCTCCACTTCAAATTCAATTATTTGCTCGGCCAGTGGATGGTTCGCATCAACCACAACGAAGTCCTTGCCAACCTGTAATGAAGAAGAAAACAGCTCAGTATCCTTTCTCACAACACTGTTGCAATCAGGCCCAACTTTGGCCTGTATGGACAAGAACTCACCTCTAGAATCTCAGCAGGGCCCCCATTCGCAAGCACAACAACATCTCCCGCTTTGAGCTCTCTCCCTTGCTCCTTAGTCAGCCTCTGGATCTCTTCGTGGTCCTTGGGTACTCGGAAAATCATCTCATCAGTTTTAGCCATAGGTGCTGACTGTACGGTGCGGCTTTGGCCAACTGCCAGTCCCTTCACTGCCTCATCAAACCCCTGTTGTCACGTAAACATACGGTAAATCAGCTATGAGTTCTAGTCATAATGTGAATGCCTAGGTGCCTGAACTTTAGTAGAGTTTTTGAATGATTAGTCACCTTGAAAAGAGGATTTCCAACGAAATTACCAGCACCGACTTCAAACGTCAACACGTCATCATCGCCGGATGCATGAAGCACCTGCGTTCATTGCACAATCATAATAGGGCTCTGGTGAAAGAGTTGGAGATAAGATATTGCAACGAGGGAAAGGGGAACGAGCTTGAGCACGAACCTCACCATCCAGTGTCTTGCACACGAATTTCACATTCACCATGTCTCCCTCCCGTGCTACCGTCTCGCCTGGTACAGGTGCTATGCGCGGGGCAAACAGGAATGCCAAGGCGCAGCTTGTAAGCGACCAGTCACAGAGGCTAAATACGCTCTTTCCAGTTTGCAACTGCACATCATCTTAGGTGTACGATTATGATATTCACTTAAAACAATGGTTCAAAGTGGTTAGTGAATCTTCGTATTTGGAATTCAGGCATTCGGTCATGTTTTACTCACCGCCGTCGCAAAAAGATGCCCTCGCGCCAGTGCTCCTCCTCGAAATTGTTCTGACAGGTCGAGGCTGCGCCTGAAGCGGTGTTGTCCGTGCGGCATGCCTACTGATGAAACAGCTGGACTGGATGTTTTGCAAGCTTATTCTAGAAGCAGCAACTAACACCATACAAGCTTGGCATTGCAAGGTTGTCATGGTGACGATCGCTAGAAGAGCCGATCAGAGACCCTTGTTCGGAGCAACCGGAAAACTCTCCCGGCAGTGTTTCAGACAAGTAAAACTCCTGACAGATTCAGGTTCCCTCTGATGCTGGTGAATATTATGACTGCAAGGTTGAAACATTGGGCATTGAACAATCTGGTAGGCCTTCCGCAGTGCACTGATCAGTGGAAGTGGATTCGTGAGGTGAAAGGTGAGTGTACCTTGGGGCTGGTTGGGAGGGGGATGTTACATCGGCCAGGTGTCACAAACGGCAGGATGTCACTCCACGTGATGTATCGGACGGCGTCCACTTTCAACAATCGCCGCTTTCTGAACACGTGGCGCAAGATAAGGAGCCCGATTGCTTTCGAGTTGCCGATTTCTGCCAAGAAGGCAACTGCGAAATTAGTTACCATGTTCGTCTTGGCGAAGTCGTTTCGCAAGCTCACCCACAATTTCCAATCCCGAGACAACCCTCCCAGCTGCCTGGAATTGGGAATAATCTGAGCCAAACTAGCAACATATTCCAGGGCAGCCATTGCAGACAACATATTCCTGTCAGTTCAGAGCTAGAGCCGTTTTCCCACGATGCAGGAGGAGACAGTCTGTAGTAGTCCATTTCTCAGATTACAGTGCGCTTGACGTGGATACGGCGCAACAGCGACACTAGTGTAACATTTTCTCGCGACCTCTCCTGGTTTACTTAAATTGCTGCTGCTATCCTATTCACCGGAAGCTCGCATTTTCACTCGACCTCCGTTACAATGGCGCAAACAACAGTCAATGCCGTCTCGTTTCCAACAGCTCCCCCTGCGCCGCTGGGGCCCAATCATGCCGCTCGGCTGAGCAGCCACGCAAGTTTCAGCCGAATCCCAACGAAGCGCCTTTTCTTATCGCGCAAGACCATTACCTCCAGCCGTAGGACCAATCAGAGCATTTCGGTACCATCAGCATCCTCTAACCCTGCGGACATCACTGGTCGACCTGGCGGCAACCAGGCAGGCAGCGATCCAGATTCCGCTTCCCCACCGACCCATGAAGACGGACCTTCCCCTGCGCCTGCAGCAAAGTCGCCACCTCCGTCAGCGTCGTCAACTCCGTCAATTGCGTCAATTCCGTCAACAACTCCGTCAGCTCCGTCATCGAAGCCGTCGTCGCTTCTCGGCCTGGTCCTGTCCGCGGGCCCGCCGGGGTCGTGGGACAGCAGCGGCGTGGGGAAGGCCGTCGTGCGGCGCTTCGCGAGCGACAACGAGGAGCGTTGGTTCATGTGGTACGAGGGGTGGTCCCATGATGACACGTCAGCAGAAAGCAGCGATCCTACGGATGGAAATCAGGAAGGGGAAAATCTAACGGCTCCGCCTGCTCCCGTTCCCCCTGTCTCCCGCGCGCGGACCGGGGTGGCGGTTTCCGCCAACGGGCTGCACTGGAGCCGCGGAAGCGGCGTGGCAGAAACTGATGCCAAGGGACGTGGCGGGCCAGGAATGGTCCTTCAGCCCAGCGCTAATTGGTGGAACTTCGACACGCGCCACGTCAGCGTGTCTGACGTCATGATGATGTCATCGCAGAAAGTCCGCGCCAGCGGCGGCGTTCTGTGGATGTTCTACGTCGGGGGGAACGCGGAAGAACTCCCCCTCCCCGCGCGGATCCTCCCCCTGCTCCCCCCGCGCCGCGCCCCCGCTAAAGCCACACCACCCACCGGAGCACAGCGCGCTGCGCGTGACTTTACCGAAGGGGAGGTGGTCGAGGGGCTTCGGACGCGCATCGGCCTGGCGATGAGCCACGACGGGCGGAACTGGGCACGCATCGAGGGGGATCACCACAGCGGCGCGGTGATGGACGTGGGCGCGGAGGGCGAGTGGGACGAGCTGTTTCACGGCGCGCCGCAGATTGTGTTTCACGAGCCTGGGGATATCCGGCTGTTCTATCACTCCCTTGATAGATCCGCCAAGGGGGGGAAGAAGACGGGCGAGACGAGCAAGACCGGTGAGGCGAGCGAGGGGAAGTTCAGGGTGGGGTTTGCGCGGTCGCGGGATGGGTTGAAATGGGTGAAATTCGGGCCCGTGTTTTCCGGGAGCAACGGGAAATTCGCGTTTGATGCGCTTGGGGTGACGTCCCGGTATGTGCTGCGCGACCCGCGCGCGTCAGCAGGGGGAAGCGGAGCGGGGAAAGGCGCGAAGGAGGATTCGCGCAAGTACGTGATGCTGTATGAAGGCGTCGCCGCGGACGGATCGACGGCCATAGGGCTCGCGGAATCGGAGGATGGGATGAGTGGATGGAAACGCATGGGACCTGTTTTTGAGCCGGCCAGAGGGAAGCGAAGCGGAAAGGGGAAGGTGGAAGGGGATGGGGAGGGGAGCGGAGAGGGGGAGGACGGGGGGGATTCAGGCGCGTGGGATTCGTGGTCGGTGGGCTCGCCCTGTTTGGTGGATCTGGGTGGCGGTCATCTGCGGCTGTACTATGTGGGGTCGGATGGGCGGGGATTTCAGGGAATTGGGGCGGCGGAGTCGCTGGATGGGAGCTTCGAGTTCGAGCGGTGCGCTAATCTCGAGGCTCTCTTGTAGGGTCGTTGGTGACATGGGATTGGTGCAAGGGAAAGTCTCTCTCTGCTTGCTTAGCATATGAGGTGGCACACTGCGGCACCTTAGAGTGCACCAGCAGCGGCATCCCTAGGCCGTACGTCGCTGGGAATGGGAAGTTACGGTAGCCGACCAGCAGCGCATTTGTTGAATGTCCTGAGCAGATACCAGAGCATCGCAATGCAATCATTCATGAGTCCTGTGCAGTCACCTCACGACGTACCAAAATGCGAATTGGTTTCTCGTTTCCTGTGTCTGGTGTGAGGACCAGAGAGTTCATACCAATGTTAATACCGGTATTGCCACTCAACTCAACCCACGTTTTGGGTTGTAGGAACAGCAGCAAATAGTGCATATACACTACTGGAATGAAAGTTTGCAAGACACCCACATGCAAAGTAGCAACAGCTGAGTACATAGCCCACTGAACAGAATATTCCTTACGTGAGCTTAGCACCACGAGACAAGAGCAAGAGGCTTGCTCAAGCAACTGCAGCAAAGCAACCCAACCCCCAACCCAACCCAACCCAGCCCACGGAAATAAAAAAGTTTGCTTACCCCTCAACCCATCAAAGCTAGAGTAGGATCGCAAGTGCAACAGCAGCAACGGTTACCAGCAGAGCAGCCAAAGACCCATGCAGTGCTGCTGCTGCTGCGCCTTTACCACCCCCAGCATTGCTGCTCCCAGGGCCAGCACCGGTGTCAGTGCCGGTGGCAGGGGTAATGGCAGTCGTAGTGCCGGTGGTGGCAGAAGTGGTATTGGTGGTGCAATTGGTGGGTGATGCAGGCAAGTCTGGGGTAGTGCTGATGAGGGCTGAGATGCTCTCTGAAGGAATGTCGGCAAGAGAAAGCGCAGTGCTGTGGGGCACATGGGAGGATGGGGAGAGGGAGAATGGGTATGCATGGGCACAGGGAAGAGACGGGATTTAGAGCACATGTGAAGATGGGTGGTGTTGGTGTGGGGGACTGAGATGCTCTTTGAGGGAATGTTGGAGAGAGAAAGCGCGGTGCTGTGGGGCATGGTATGGGTGCATGGGAACATGGCAACGTGAGACCATGGGAACATGAGAACATGGGATTATGGGAACATGGGATTATGGGAACACGAGAACATGGAAAAATGGGCACATGGGCACACGGATATGGCACTATGGGCACAACACATGAACACATGAACACATGAACACATGAACACATGAACAGATAACACATGAACACATGAACACATAACAGATGAACACATGGGGATAGGGGCAAATGGGCACATCGATACAGGCACTGGACAAACTAACGGGCAGGAACAAAAACTTTTCTTACGCGCTCGGGCAGCCGTGCAGCACAGAGAGCGGCTGGCTCTCCCCATAGCTGATGTTGCACTTGGAAAACCCAAGCTTCACCCTCTCCCTGTCCGTGCCCTGGTGGGGGAAGTGGGGGTAGAGGAGGGGAGGGGAGGAGAGAAGTGGGGGCAGGAAAGGGGATGGGAGACTTTCACCAAGTATAGCAATAACGCACCGAGCCTGGCAAGAATGCACTGAGCCGCAGACTGCAAAGCTCATGAGCAACAGCAAGACAGTAAGGGGGGGTGACCCTAGCAGGCGAAGCAAGGAAGAACATACGGCGCCGCAGACTGCGAAGCTCATGAGCTTGGGGCTGGTAGGGTCCAGGTTGAGCTTTCCCTCGGATAGGTCGGCACACATGGCGACGCATGAACGCATTTCTGCAGTTTGCATGCACACAACACACAGTGGTGGCAGAGATGGGGTGAGACACAGGCGAGAGGGGTTGAGAGGGGTAGGGTCCAGGTTGAGCTTTCCCTTGGATAGGTCGGCACACATGGCGACGCATGAACGCATTTCTGCAGTTTGCATGCACACAACACACAGTGGTGGCAGAGATGGGGTGAGACACAGGCGAGAGGGGTTGAGAGGGGTAGGGTCCAGGTTGAGCTTTCCCTCGGATAGGTCGGCACACATGGCGACGCATGAACGCATTTCTGCTGGCAAAAGACACACAGCACACAACACACAGCACACAGCACACAGCACACAGCACACAGCACACAGCACACAGCACACAGCACACAGCACACAACACACAACACACAACACACAACACACAGCACACAGCACACAACACACAACACACAACACACAGCACACAGCACACAACACACAACACACAACACACAACACACAACACACAACACACAACACACAGCACACAGCACACAACACACAACACACAACACACAGCACACAACACACAACACACAACACACAGCACACAGCACACAACACACAACACACAACACACAACACACAGCACACAGCACACAGCACACAGCACACAGCACACAGCACACAGCACACAGCACACAACACACAACACGCAACACACAGCACACAGCACACAACACACAACACACAACACACAGCACACAGCACACAGCACACAACACACAACACACAACACACAGCACACAGCACACAACACACAACACACAGCACACAACACACAACACACAGCACACAGCACACAACACACAACACACAGCACACAACACACAACACACAACACACAACACACAGCACACAGCACACAACACACAACACACAACACACAGCACACAACACACAACACACAGCACACAACACACAACACACAGCACACAGCACACAACACACAGCACACAACACACAGCACACAACACACAGCACACAGCACGCAACACACAACACACAGCACACAACACACAGCACACAGCACACAACACACAGCACACAGCACACAACACACAACACAACACACAGCACATAGCACACAGCACACAACACACAGCACACAGCACACAGCACACAGCACACAGCAACACATGGGTTGCAAGTTACACCTAAGGTTGAGCTTTCCATTCCACTGAATATGTCAGCACGCATGGTGACACAGGAGAACACATAGAATATGTCGGCACGCATGGTGACACAGGAGAACACATAGAATATGTCGGCACGAAAAGCGATATGCCATCCCGCTTGTCTGCATGAGCCATAAGGGCTCACCTCGCTTGTCTGTATGTGCTATAAGGGCTCACCTCGCTTGTCTGTATATGCCGGGTAGTAGACGAGGAAGCTGATGCACATCTCCTCGTTGCTCGCCTCGCCGCCCATTGTCACCTGCAGGGTGGGTGGCATGGCATGGCATGACATGGCATGGCATGTGGAGGGATGGCATGTGGAGGGATGGCATGGGGTGGGATGGCATGGGGTGGGATGGAATGGTGTGGGATGGAATGGTGTGGGATGGAATGGGGTGGGATGGAATGGTGTGGGTGGCATGATCCATGGGGGTGGGATGGCATGGGTTCACTGGCGTGAGGTAAGTCCATCACCACTTCTCACCGCACACCACCATGATGTACCTCGGATCGGAGTGCGTGGTGGAGTTTCAGTCACTTGGTGGGCAGCTCATTTTGAGTCGACTAAAAAATCCATCACCGCTTCTCACCGCACACCACCATGATGTACCTCGGAGTGCGTGGTGGAGTCCCAGACACACTAGGTGCGCAGCTCATCCCCTGACTGCAGCTCAAAGGGCGGCTGCACGTGCCGCACCGCTTTTCACCACTCACCACTGCACACCACCATAGCTTACATTGGAGCGTGACGTAATGGAGTCCCACACGCACTTGGTGTGCAGCTCATCCCCTGGCTGCAGCTTGAATGGGGGCTGGAATCGCAGCTCATCCCCCCCCAGTACTCACCACCGCTCATTACCACTCACCACCGACTGCGCACCACCGCACACCGCCATAGCTTACATTGGAGCGGGAGGTGGAGTCCCACACACACTTTGTGCGGAGTTCGTCCCCTGGCTGCAGCTCAAAGGGCGGCTGCACGTGGATCATCTGTTGTGATGCGAAGTCACTGAGTGGGGGGGGGGGGGGGGGGGGGGAGAGAGAGGAGAGGAGATGATATGTTAGGGCACCTAATGAATAGGCCTCTGGGTGCAGTTCTAATGGCGGCTGTCCGTGGATCATCTGCTGCTGTGATGCATGCGAAGTCACTGAGTGGGGGGTGGGGGGGAGGAGAGAGAGAGAGGAGAGGAGATGATTATAAGGACGACTGGAAAAAAAGGGTCCTGGTTGAAGCTCCAAGGGCGGCTGCACGTGGATCATCTGCTTCTGTGATGCGAAGTCACTGAGTGGGGGGGAGCGAGAGGAGAGGACAGAGGAGAGGAGGGAGGAGAGGAGAGAGGAGAGGAGGGGAGAGGAGAGAGGAGAGGAGGGAGGAGAGGAGAGAGGAGAGAGGGGAGAGGAGAGAGGAGAGGAGGGAGGAGAGGAGAGGAGAGAGGTAAGGCTTAGGATTTAAGGTTGATGACAGATGAAAGAAGAATGATGGTAGAAGAGAGAGGAGAAGTGGAGCAAGAGGCGAAGGGCGGGAGGACACTCACTAGTAATCAAGGCGTGCGACTGTTGTGACAGGGTGTTTTGTGACAAGGGGTGGGGAGGAGGGGTGGTGAGGAGGTGAGAACGTTAGAAGCACCCAGCAAGTTGCAAGAGAGGAAGGGCGGGAGGACACTCACTAGTAATCGAGGCGTGCGACTGTGGTGACCTTGGCACCATCCCGATACACGTCCGTGTACATCTGATGGGGCGGTGCGATGAAAGAGGGGGGGGGGGGGGGGGGGTGGAGGGGGTGGGGATAGAGCATAGGGCGATGCGAGGGGTGGTGTGGTGAGAGGCGTGGACATGTGAGAGGCGTGGACATGTGACAGAGAGTGGTGAGGAGGTGAGAGGGGTGCGTGGGGCATGCATGGGGGAGTAAGGCAGGCATTGATGGGCGAATGCACCTCGATACACATCTGTGAGCTACCCATGTGCCACCTCTGTGTGCTGCCACCTCTGTGTGCTGCCACCTCTGTGTGCTGCCACCTCTGTGTGCTGGCACCTCTGTGTGCTGGCACCTCTGTCCTGGCGGCCCAGCGCGTGTTGGTGCAGGGCGGCCGCAACGATGTTGACCGACTCGTTCTTGAACACGGCCTTGGTGCACCGCCCCGGGCAGATGTTCTCCTGCGTCCACGAGGGCTGTGGAAGGGGGAGAGGAGGGGGATGAATGGGCGAGGAAGGGGATGAATGGGAGAGGAAGGGGATGAATGGGAGAGGAAGGGGATGAATGGGAGAGGAAGGGGATGAATGGGAGAGGAAGGGGATGAATGGGAGAGGGAGGGGATGAATGGGAGAGGAAGGGGATGAATGGGAGAGGGAGGGGATGAATGGGAGAGGAAGGGGATGAATGGGAGAGGAAGGGGATGAATGGGCGAACACCAGGGACGAGGAATGAGAGGGAGGGCCTGAGAACACAGCCTTGGTGCACCGCCCCGGGCAGATGTTCTCCTGCGTCCATGACGGCTGTGGAAGGGAGAGGGGGGAGGACGTGGAAATAGAGAGAGGGGATGCGATGGGGCGTGGAACACCGCCTTGGTGCACCGCCCGGGACAGATGTTCTCCTGTGTCCACGAGGGCTGCAGAGGGGCGAAGGGGGAGGGAGGAGAGGAGAAGAGAGAGAATAAGGATGGGATGGGATGCGATGCAATGGAGTAAGGGACTAACACTGCCTTGGTGCACCGCCCCGGGCAGATGTTCTCCTGCGTCCACGAGGGCTGTGGAAGGGGGAGAAAGAAGAGAGTGGGAGAGGGGGAGAGGTGGAGAGGGGAGAAGAGGGGGAGAGGGGGAGAGGGGGAGAGGGGGAGAGGGGGAGAGGGGGAGTGGAGGAGAGGGGAAGGGGGGGGGAGAGGGGAGAGGGGGAGAGGGGGAGAGGGGGAGAGGGGGAGAGGGGGAGAGGGGGGGAGAGGGGGAGAGGGGGAGGGGGAAGAGAGGAGGAGAGCAGAGGGGGATGCATGGGGTAAGAGTGGAAGTGGAACACAGCCACTAAGGAGGTGACTTTTGAGTCGACTCAAAAGTCACCTCGCAGAGGGGGATGCATGGGTGGAAGTGGAACACAGCCACTAAGAGAACCTTGGTGTTCTCCTGCCACCACGACACGACGGCTGGAGAGGGGAGGATGGTTGAGGGGGGGAAGAGAGAGTTGCGGGAAAAGTGGGGATATGATGGGATGCGTTGGTGCAGACTACCTCGGTGCATTGCCTGGGACAGACGCTCTCCTGCGTCCGTGATGGCCGCACGGAGGGAGAGGAAGGGGTTGAAGGAGCGAGCACCAGGGATGAGGGATGAGAGGGAGGGGGATGAGAGCAGGGAGGAACACTGCCTTGGTGCAGACTACCTCGGTGCATCGCCCGGGACAGACGCTCTCCTGCGTCCGTGACTTTTGAGTTGACTCGACTCAAAAGCTTCCTGCGCATCCATGACGTTTGGTCCGTGATGGTTGCAATGCAAGGAGGAAGGCGTGAAGTGGAAAAGAATGAGAAGAGGGAGGAGGGGAGGGGGAGAGAGAATGGGATGCTGGACTTTGAGCTGCCTTAGGTAGCTCCCTTGCATGCTTGTGCCCGATTCTATAAATTACATTGATGTATTGCATGTTACATCCAATGCAGGACCATTCGAGAATGGGATGAGATACTCTTTGGCACCACCCTGGTGCATTGCCTGGCGTGGCATGGCATTGCATGGCATGGCATTGCATGGCATGGCATGGCATGGCATGGCATGGCATTGCATGGCATGGCATGGCATTGCATGGCATGGCATGGCATGGCATGGCATGGCATGGCATGGCACGGCAAGGCATCGTAAGGCATGGCGTGGCATGACATGGCATAGCATGGATGGCATGGTATCGTATCCGGGTGTTACCTGGCCGGGTGGGATCTGCAGCAGCAGCCCGTAGTAGACAGGGCCAGCCATCATGATACCCATTGGTACGATTGGGTGTTACCTGCCCATGTGTTACCTGTTGCTGTACTTGGGTGTTACCTGGCCAGGTGGGTGCTACCTGGCCAGGAGGGTGTTACCTGGCCAGGTGGGATCTGCAGCAGCAGCCCGTAGCAGACGGGGCCAGCCATCATGATTCCCGCATCGTGCTTCCCTGGGGTAGAAGTTTCCAGGAATATTCCGCTGTTGTCGACAATGTCAGAGCGGCCGTCGGGATTGGTGTAGTGAATCTGAAGGGGGAGGAGGAGAGGGGGATACAGGGGAGGAGGAGAGGGGGATACAGGGGAGGAGGAGAGGGGGATACAGGGGAGGGGGAGAGGGGGATACAGGGGAGGAGGAGAGGGGGATACAGGGGAGGAGGAGAGGGGGATACAGGGGAGGAGGAGAGGGGGATACAGGGGAGGAGGAGAGGGGGATACAGGGGAGGAGGAGAGGGGGATACAGGGGAGGAGGAGGAGGGGGATACAGGGGAGGAGGAGAGGGGGATACAGGGGAGGAGGAGAGGGGGATACAGGGGAAGAGGGGGATGACAAAGGGTTTGGTTGCTTGAAAATAGGGGGGTTGGTTGGGTGAATCTGAAGGGGGGTTGGTCTGGCGAATCTGGAAAATTCAGGAAAGGAGAGGGATAAGAATGGGGTTTGGTTGGGTGAAAATAGGAAAGGAAGCGGAGGTGAAGAGGGGATAGGTGGGTGGGTAGCAGGGGAATACCGAGTCCTGACTGACACAGGGAGCAAGTAAGGGCTTGCTTGCACCATGTTCCACAGAGGGTTATGGGGCGAAAAAAACTGCACTGCTCCGCACCGCAACACACCGTACCGCACCCACCTGCAGCACGAACTTGGTGTAGTATCCGGGGCCGATGGGAAAGCCAACATCGGGAGGGAAGGAGTAGGGACGAGCACCCAACCCCCAGATCGCCACTGTGTGGCCCTGGCAGGGAGTTTCGTGCATGCACTCATACGCGCCCTGTGTTGCCGGCACATCCTTGTACTCCTCCCTGCCATGGGTAAGGTCCAGCGAGGGGGAAAGAGGGGCAGGGGTATGGCGTGTTGTGCATGCACTCATACGCGCCCTGTGTTGCCGGCACGTCCTTGTACTCCTCCCTGCCATGGGTAATGGGTTGGGGAAGAGGGGTGGAGGATTTTTTTGAATTCTCAAAAAGCATACGCAGCAAAGAGGGGGGGAGCAGGAGAGGGTGAAATGTCCAGGCAGTGGGAAAGAGGGGCAGGGGCAGGGTGTCGTCCCTACACCTTCCAAAGGGTGCCTCGTGCATGCATCGACTCGTGCATGCGTCGACTCGTGCATGCGTCGACTCGTGCATGCACTCATACACCCCCTGTGTTGCTGGCATGTCCTTAGACTCCTCCCTGCCATGGGTAAAAGAGGAGGGAGGACAGGACGGACGGGAGAGGTGGGGGGGAGAAGAGGGAAGGAAGGTTGGGGCGCATGGCAACTTTTGAGTCGACTCAAAAGTCACTTTTGGGACTCAAGAGTCACCTAGGAGAGGGAAGGAAGGTTGGGACGCATGACAACGGGGAGAATGAAGGAGGCAATGGGCAGGAAGAAGAGAGGAGGGGAATCACGTGCGGTGAGCGCGGGGGGGGAGAGGGAAAAGCACAGCTGGGGAGAGAGGTATGTAGAGGGGTGGAGAGGGATGTAGAGGTGAGGAAAGGGGGATGTAGAGGGGAGGAAAGGGGGATGTAGAGGGGAGGAAAGGGGGACGTAGAGGTGGGGAGGGGGGAACGTACTGGGGGCAGCCGAAAGAGCAGCGCGTGGTGCAGCACGGAGGGCAGCGTTGAGTTGATCTGCACGCCGAAGCGCGTGATGTGGCGCTTGGACGTCAGTGGCAGGTCGAATGTCTGCAAGGAGGGGGGGGAAGGAGAGGGCGGGGGAAGGAGAGGGCGGGGGAAGAAGGAATAGTGAGGCAAAGGGATGAGAGGGAGGGATACGCGTGGTGCAGGCAGCACAGAGGGCAGCGTTGAGTTGATTTGCACGCCGAAGCACGTGATGTGGCGCTTGGACGTGAGCGGCAGGTCGAATGCCTGTTGTGGTCGAGAGAGAGAGGGGAGAGAATGGGGAGAGAGTGGAGGGGAACGAAAGATTCAAACACTCATGAGAATTTTCAAGGAGGGCAGCGATGAGTTCATCTGCACGCCCAAGCACGTGATGTGGCGCTTGGACGTGAGTAGCAGGTCGAAGGCCTGCCCGCCGGGGAGAGCGGAGAAGGTGGAAGGGTAGGTGGGGCGAGGGTAGAGGGGAAGACGGAAAAGACGATGATTGAAGCGCCTCACAAGTCGTGATGCGTCGCTTGGAGGTGAGTGGCCGGTTGAATGTCTGCACGCCGGGGGAGGGGGGGAGAGGGCGGGGGGAGAATTAAGGGGGGCGAATGGAGGAGGGTTAGGGAGAGAGGAGGAAGGAAAGGAAGAGGAGGGAGGGGAGCAAGGCAGGAGATGAGAGGGGAGCAAGGCAGGAGATGAGAGGGAAGCAAGGCAGGAGATGAGAGGGAAGCAAGGCAGGAGATGAGAGGGGAGCAAGGCAGGAGATGAGAGGGAAGCAAGGCAGGAGATGAGAGGGGAGCAAGGCAGGAGATGAGAGGGAAGCAAGGCAGGAGATGAGAGGGAAGCAAGGCAGGAGATGAGAGGGAAGCAAGGCAGGAGATGAGAGGGAAGCAAGGCAGGAGATGAGAGGGAAGCAAGGCAGGAGATGAGAGGGAAGCAAGGCAGGAGATGAGAGGGAAGCAAGGCAGGAGATGAGAGGGGAGCAAGGCAGGAGATGAGAGGGAAGCAAGGCAGGAGATGAGAGGGAAGCAAGGCAGGAGATGAGAGGGAAGCAAGGCAGGAGATGAGAGGGAAGCAAGGCAGGAGATGAGAGGGGAGCAAGGCAGGAGATGAGAGGGAAGCAAGGCAGGAGATGAGAGGGAAGCAAGGCAGGAGATGAGAGGGGAGCAAGGCAGGAGATGAGAGGGAAGCAAGGCAGGAGATGAGAGGGAAGCAAGGCAGGAGATGAGAGGGAAGCAAGGCAGGAGATGAGAGGGGAGCAAGGCAGGAGATGAGAGGGAAGCAAGGCAGGAGATGAGAGGGGAGCAAGGCAGGAGATGAGAGGGAAGCAAGGCAGGAGATGAGAGGGAAGCAAGGCAGGAGATGAGAGGGAAGCAAGGCAGGAGATGAGAGGGAAGCAAGGCAGGAGATGAGAGGGAAGCAAGGCAGGAGATGAGAGGGAAGCAAGGCAGGAGATGAGAGGGAAGCAAGGCAGGAGATGAGAGGGAAGCAAGGCAGGAGATGAGAGGGGAGCAAGGCAGGAGATGAGAGGGAAGCAAGGCAGGAGATGAGAGGGAGCAAGGCAGGAGATGAGAGGGAAGCAAGGCAGGAGATGAGAGGGAAGCAAGGCAGGAGATGAGAGGGAAGCAAGGCAGGAGATGAGAGGGGAGCAAGGCAGGAGATGAGAGGGGAGCAAGGCAGGAGATGAGAGGGAAGCAAGGCAGGAGATGAGAGGGAAGCAAGGCAGGAGATGAGAGGGAAGCAAGGCAGGAGATGAGAGGGAAGCAAGGCAGGAGATGAGAGGGAAGCAAGGCAGGAGATGAGAGGGAAGCAAGGCAGGAGATGAGAGGGAAGCAAGGCAGGAGATGAGAGGGAAGCAAGGCAGGAGATGAGAGGGAAGCAAGGCAGGAGATGAGAGGGAGCAAGGCAGGAGATGAGAGGGAAGCAAGGCAGGAGATGAGAGGGAAGCAAGGCAGGAGATGAGAGGGAAGCAAGGCAGGAGATGAGAGGGAAGCAAGGCAGGAGATGAGAGGGAAGCAAGGCAGGAGATGAGAGGGGAGCAAGGCAGGAGATGAGAGGGAAGCAAGGCAGGAGATGAGAGGGAAGCAAGGCAGGAGATGAGAGGGAAGCAAGGCAGGAGATGAGAGGGAAGCAAGGCAGGCAAGGCATGAGAGGGAAGCAAGGCAGGAGATGAGAGGGAAGCAAGGCAGGAGATGAGAGGGAAGCAAGGCAGGAGATGAGAGGGAAGCAAGGCAGGAGATGAGAGGGAAGCAAGGCAGGAGATGAGAGGGAAGCAAGGCAGGAGATGAGAGGAAGCAAGGCAGGAGATGAGAGGGAAGCAAGGCAGGAGATGAGAGGGAAGCAAGGCAGGAGATGAGAGGGAAGCAAGGCAGGAGATGAGAGGGAAGCAAGGCAGGAGATGAGAGGGAAGCAAGGCAGGAGATGAGAGGGAAGCAAGGCAGGAGATGAGAGGGAAGCAAGGCAGGAGATGAGAGGGAAGCAAGGCAGGAGATGAGAGGGAAGCAAGGCAGGAGATGAGAGGGAAGCAAGGCAGGAGATGAGAGGGAAGCAAGGCAGGAGATGAGAGGGAAGCAAGGCAGGAGATGAGAGGGAAGCAAGGCAGGAGATGAGAGGGAAGGCAGGAGATGAGAGGGAAGCAAGGCAGGAGATGAGAGGGAAAGGCAGGAGATGAGAGGGAAGCAAGGCAGGAGATGAGAGGGAAGCAAGGCAGGAGATGAGAGGGAAGCAAGGCAGGAGATGAGAGGGAAGCAAGGCAGGAGATGAGAGGGAAGCAAGGCAGGAGATGAGAGGGAAGCAAGGCAGGAGATGAGAGGGAAGCAAGGCAGGAGATGAGAGGGGAGCAAGGCAGGAGATGAGAGGGAAGCAAGGCAGGAGATGAGAGGGGAGCAAGGCAGGAGATGAGAGGGAAGCAAGGCAGGAGATGAGAGGGAAGCAAGGCAGGAGATGAGAGGGGAGCAAGGCAGGAGATGAGAGGGAAGCAAGGCAGGAGATGAGAGGGGAGCAAGGCAGGAGATGAGAGGGAGCAAGGCAGGAGATGAGAGGGAAGCAAGGCAGGAGATGAGAGGGGAGCAAGGCAGGAGATGAGAGGGAAGCAAGGCAGGAGATGAGAGGGGAAGCAAGGCAGGAGATGAGAGGGAAGCAAGGCAGGAGATGAGAGGGAAGCAAGGCAGGAGATGAGAGGGAAGCAAGGCAGGAGATGAGAGGGAAGCAAGGCAGGAGATGAGAGGGAAGCAAGGCAGGAGATGAGAGGGAAGCAAGGCAGGAGATGAGAGGGGAGCAAGGCAGGAGTTGAGAGAGGAAGCAAGGCAGGAGATGAGAGGGAAGCAAGGCAGGAGATGAGAGGGAAGCAAGGCAGGAGATGAGAGGGAAGCAAGGCAGGAGATGAGAGGGAAGCAAGGCAGGAGATGAGAGGGAAGCAAGGCAGGAGATGAGAGGGAAGCAAGGCAGGAGATGAGAGGGAAGCAAGGCAGGAGATGAGAGGGAAGCAAGGCAGGAGATGAGAGGGAAGCAAGGCAGGAGATGAGAGGGAAGCAAGGCAGGAGATGAGAGGGAAGCAAGGCAGGAGATGAGAGGGAAGCAAGGCAGGAGATGAGAGGGAAGCAAGGCAGGAGATGAGAGGGAAGCAAGGCAGGAGATGAGAGGGAAGCAAGGCAGGAGATGAGAGGGAAGCAAGGCAGGAGATGAGAGGGGAGCAAGGCAGGAGATGAGAGGGAAGCAAGGCAGGAGATGAGAGGGGAGCAAGGCAGGAGATGAGAGGGGAGCAAGGCAGGAGATGAGAGGGGAGCAAGGCAGGAGATGAGAGGGGAGCAAGGCAGGAGATGAGAGGGAAGCAAGGCAGGAGATGAGAGGGAAGCAAGGCAGGAGATGAGAGGGAAGCAAGGCAGGAGATGAGAGGGAAGCAAGGCAGGAGATGAGAGGGAAGCAAGGCAGGAGATGAGAGGGAAGCAAGGCAGGAGATGAGAGGGAAGCAAGGCAGGAGATGAGAGGGAAGCAAGGCAGGAGATGAGAGGGAAGCAAGGCAGGAGAGAGAGGGAAGCAAGGCAGGAGATGAGAGGGAAGGCAAGGCAGGCAGGATGAGAGGGAGCAAGGCAGAAGATGAGAGGGAAGCAAGGCAGGACATGAGAGGGAAGCATGTCGCGTTATTAACACCTAGCCGGTGGCTAAGGTGTGAATTACACAGCAGCCAGGTAATGGTGCATTTCTGGTTATGTACTCTAATTTCTTTTTGTGTGCGTGGGATGTACTGTATATACGCTATAGAGCCGAGTGCAGGGGACTACAGGGAGGTTGGTGTGGAAGGAGGAATTCGATTCCAGCTGGGGAATTCGATTACAGCTGGGAATTCGATTTCAGGTTGGGAATGCAATTCCAGCTGGGAATGCGATTCCAGGCTAGGAACTCGATTCCAGCTGGAAGGCAGTGCATGCCTAGTGGGCCAGTGGGGCCCAGCTAGCACCTTGGAACCATCGCGAGCAGCTCAGCTGACTCGCGTTTGGCACTAGAGCTAGCGAGGGAAGGAAGGCTCCTAGGCAGGAGGAGGAGGGAATGTAGCCGGGGTAGCACTCTGGTTTCTCGCTTTTTGCTTGTATGTTTCTCTTCTTACTGTAATCTTGTTTTCCTAAGCCAAAGGAAGCTAGCAGTAGGGAGAAGCAGGAGCAATCTGACTGAGCCCTTGCGAGGGAGTTAAGACTTGTTCATACAAGCAAAAAGAGTGTAGTGCTGAAATCTCAGCAAAATAGGCACAACGCCTGGAGGGCCTGCGGTGATGTACCGTAGGGGATGAGCGGCCTTGATCAAGAGCTGCATACTCATCAACTGCGTTCAGGGCATAGATTTCCTGCGCGGAGGATGGAGGGACAAGATTTGCCGATTAAGACACCTGGGTTTCGAGCAGGAGAAGGAACTACGACCGCGAGTGGTACTAGCAGCGCAGATCAAGGAAAAGAAGGCGACAGACGGGGAGAGCCGCCACTGAGCTCGAACTGTAATTCGCCAGCGCCAGAGATGGGACCCGGGGCAGCTGGAGTTAGGGGATCTCAACGCGGAACTCCAGAGCCGAGAAGGGGAGACCATCAAGAAGATCAGCAGAGTCAGCGAGAGGGAGAGGCGGTACACGGGTTCTCCGCTGGAAGATACGAATCCATGGGGGCTGGAAGAGGAGATCCGCCTGTGGGGATCGGTGAGAGGGGAACGGCGAGCTGGGGATCAGGCAGAATGATGGGTGCGGCACCACCTAAGATTGAGGTGCCGGATCGATTCTCAGGGGCGCCTGGGGAGGAGCCCACGCTGAAGAATTACCTTATGATGGTAGATGACATCCGATACTGTTGGGAGAGAGAGGGGTTAGATCCCATTGCATTTTTCAGAGGATTAAGGAGAACCCTCAAGGGAGAAGCGCTGACACATTACCGGGTGGAGAGACAGGGGTTGTTGCTGCAGAGTAAACGAGGGGACTTCGCAGCGGCGGAAATCACCGACAGATTCCTGGAAAGCCTGCGAGAACAATTCCCGGGGCATTCGGCAGATCGGATGACAGAGTTTCAGGACTTTAAGAGAGCAAGGGGGGAATCTCTGCTAGCCTACTACAATCGGCTGCTGGAGCTGGCAGAAGACATGGGCTGCCTGGAAGAACGGACCCTAGTGTCGAAGTTTGTGGGCGGATTGGAGGAGGACCTGATGCAAAACATGCGGAGTCGACTATACGCGCTGGGGATGAAGGCGAAGTTGCGACAAGTGTATCAGGTGGCAAGGGAGGTAGAGGAGGGAAGAAGGTTCTTTGATGGGCTGCGCGGGGCGAGCGCAGGAAGATCAGGCGAACGCAGGAGGCCGGCGTGGGCTGCGGTGGAAGGAAAGAGGGTGGAAGAAGAACGAAGGGAAAAACCTTTTGAAGACAAGCGAAGGTGTCACAAGTGTGGGGAGCCAGGGCATCTGCGAAAGGACTGCGCCATTGACATTATATGCGACATCTGCAGGGAGAAGGGGCATTTCAGGCGGAATTGTCCCAAGGCGCCGAGCTGCACCTTCTGTAAGAAAAGGGGTCATACGGAAGAGAGGTGCTACAGCAAGAAGGAGAAGGCGGGAGAAAAGTCCGCTAGAGAGCAGCAGCTGGAGCGAGAGATAGCAAAGCTGAAAGCTCAGATGGGCAAGGCGGAGATTAGCGAAGACCCAGAGAAAGCGTTACTAGCTTGGGAAGATGAGGAAGAGGAAGAATACGAGGAGGAAGAAGCGGAGTATGGAGCTATGGCCATATCACCTAGAGACCGAGAAAGTTTGGGGTTGAGGAGTGGAGGGAAAGACGGCCGAACAGAGCAGAAGCAGCCGGGGAGGAGGACTACTAAAGCGGCCGAGGGGACTAGCAAGTCATCGACAGCGCGGCGGCACCCAGAAGAGCGACTGGTCTGCCAGCCTACGGCTCTGGTGGTGGATCCGAAGGCCGTAGCGGTACGAGGGATACTAGTAGAAAATGCCGTGGTGGATACTGGCGCGCAGATTGTGTTACTGGGAAGGAAGCTGACCGAGCAGTTAAAGGCGCAAGGAGGATGGGAAACCGTAAGGCGGGGGATACTGATCATGACTGCTGAAGGAGGGGCTCCTAAGTGGATGCCCTGTACGAAGGATCTAATCGAGATCACGCTGCAGCCGGGAGGGGAGGGAGAAACAACGATAAGGGTGCAGTGCGGACTGACAGAGTCAGACGATTACGATATATTACTAGGAATGGAGCTGCTATACAAGATAGGGACCACTATATGCACCTGGCAGGAACATGTGCTATACCGCTCGGATTTCTGGGAGGAGGGGAAGGAGCTGAGTGAATTGCCAGTGCGTTTCATCAAGACTGAACCCAAGAAAGCTTGGAGAGCGGGAAGCATGGGGCAAGGAGGAAGTAAAAGCGTTGGGAAGATCAGGGGTATTCGGGCGGGGGAAAGCTTAGACCAAGATGGTGTTACCCTGGTGGAGCTGTTCGGGGGGCTGGGAGCCGGTTTAGCGGCAGCGCTAGAGGCTGGCCTGAGGGTGAAGAAGTGGATCTATGTGGAGGTAAATCCTGAAGTTCGGAGGATGGCCTGGAACCACGCACGGGTACTACAGCAACGATACCCCGCTCAGCTGGGGAAGGCTGTGGTGAAGGAGGCTATGCAGAGCAAGAAATGGGATGTGAAGCAGATTACCAAGGAGGACGTAAGGGAGTGGGGCAAGGTGGATCTGCTAGTAGCTGGCTGGGAGTGTCGGGGCACCTCGAGGGCCGGGAAGGGAAAGGGATTGCAAGATGAACGCACGGGGCTAGTGACAACGCTACTGGAAATCATGAGATGGATAAAGGAGGCAGGAGGAGAGTACGCTTACATTTTAGAACACGTGGACATGAGTGGTGACGCCAGGGAACCGGTCCGAGCAGTACGCGAGCTGGTGGAAGCGGAATTGGGAAGGGGGGTTAGGTGTGACGGGGCGCAGCTGGGGGCACTAACCCATCGGGTTAGGCGCTTCTGGCAGAATGGCCTGCCGGAGGGGGAGTTGCGGGCTCGGTTGGCCGGAATATAGAGAGACGGGACTAGGATTGTGGAAGATATCCTCGAGCCAGGGAGGGTAGCTGCTCCAGTGGTCAAACCGGATCACCCCCTACAGTACCAGTGCAACCGGGTAGGGGAAGCGAGAAGAGCTTGGCCGACGTTAGTGGCTTACGCGAAAGCTCGAGGCTTTATTGAGCAAGACGGAAATCCCGGCCCAGGGATGGTGTACGATTACCGGAAAAGGAAGTGGGAAGAGCCGACCGCCTTGGAACGCGAGTTGGCCATGGGGTACTTTCCGGGAGCCACTGCAGCGGAGGGAGCGGGGGAAGAGGCTCGTCGAGCAGCCTTGGGCAGGGCTATCGATCAGCATTCGCTGAGATGGCTGGTGACTGAAATGAGGAAGGGTCCAGGGCAGCAGGGAAGGAAACAGGAGAGAGGAGGAGGTCAGTGCTATAAACAAGCAGCATACGCAGCAATAGAGAAGGTGGCTACAAAAGGGACACATGCAGAGGCGCAGGCAGGAGTCAAGGACACGGAAGCAGGCAAGGGATGGGAGATAGGAGCCAATAGGAGGCAGCGGAAGCTATCAGGCAGGTACTGCAGCAGCACAGAGGCACTTTCGCATACAACTTACAGGAGCTAGGAAGGTACAAAGGGGGAGAGCTGGAGTTAAACTTAACCACAGAGCTGCCCACTTATCAGCGCAGGAGGCGGATGAATGCTGAAGATGCGGCTATCTGCAAGGAAAAATGCGAAGAGCTGCTGGCAGCAGGGATAATACGCCTGTCGGAGTCGAGTTATGCTGCGGCCACAGTAGTAGCCACTAGAAAAGACATCACGGGGAAAGTGTTAGCGAAGCGGATGTGCGGGGATTTTAGGGACCTGAACAAGATCACCCAACCGGACCGATATCCCATGCCGACAGCGGATGAGATTTTCGATAAACTAGAAGGAGCAACGATCTTCTCCACGCTGGACTTAAGGCAGGGGTTCAACCAAATCGCTATCAAAGAGGGGGACAAGCGGAAAACAGCTTTCCACGGAGTGGACGGGCTGTACGAATACAACGTGATGCCGTTTGGGGTGCGCAATGCTCCAGCCGTGTTTCAACGGGCTATGGATCAGGTACTGAAGGGAATCCCAGCAGCAGCCTGCTACATTGACGACGTGCTCATCTTTAGTGAAAGCGACGAACAGCACGTGCAGGACTTGAAGCAGACGTTGGAGGCGATAGCAGCTGCAGGACTTACGTGCCACCCGGACAAGTGCAAGATAGCCCGCCGCACAGTGGCGTACCTGGGGTTTGAGGTGAGGGGGGGCTGACTGGCGATACAGGAAGCTAAAGTCAAGGTGCTGGAGGATTTGGCTGCACCGAAGGATAAATCTGGGCTACGGGCGCTCCTTGGCTTCCTGAACTATTACAGGAAGTTCGTGCCGAATTTCAGCCGCCGAGCACACGCCTTGAACCAGCTGCTCAGGGAGGGGAAGAGTTGGCAGTGGGGAGAGACTGAAGAAGCAGCCAGGCAAGATCTGCTAGAAGCAGTGAAGACGGGTACCCTGCTGCAGATACCGCGGGCGGATGCGCCATTCGTCCTGTACACCGACTGGAGCAGTATGGGGATGGGGGCAGTGCTCTGTCAGGAGATAGGCGGAGAGGAGAGAGTCGTAGCATTTGCCAGTCGTAGCTGCAGCCCTACTGAAGCTAATTACAGCTCGTACGAAGGGGAAGGACTGACCGCCGTGTGGGGAATCACCCACTTCAAGGTGTACCTGCAAGGCCGACACTTCACGCTAGTGACCGACCATCAGCCCTTGCTATGGTTGATGAAGAACCAAGAACTGACGGGCAGGAACGCCAGGTGGGCAATCAAACTGCTGGGATTCGACTTCGACATCCGTCACCGACCGGGCAAGACACTGCAACACGCGGATGGGTTATCTAGGAACCCGCCTCCACTGCAGCCAGTTGCACAGCTGATAGCGTTAGCGCAGGTGGCTGAAGCGACCTAGGGGCAAGAGAAGGGAGAGCAGCGGCAGGGGGATGTGTGGGAGGATCGGGAGACTATGGGGTGGATCAAAGGGGAGCCGGTAGACGACTCAGGAGTGAGTGAACGAGCCAGGGCTAGGGGGCAGCATTACCGATGGTTTCAGGATCAGCTACAACTGCGCACCACGGAAGGATGGCGAGTCGTACCACCGCCGCAAGACAGGGAGAGAATCATGTTGAAGGTACATGGGAAACTAGGGCATTACGGAATGGCTAAGACTCGGCAGCTGCTGTGCACGATGTACTGGTGGTCGGGTATGAGGAAAGACGTGGCTGCAATGGTGGCATCTTGCGAAGCTTGCCAGCGAAACAAGGCTGCTTTGGAGAGGGAAAGAGACGAGCTGCAGTCCCTACCGATCCGAGGTTTGGGGTACCGTTGGTCATTGGACTTCGCAGGAGAATTACCTCTGTCCACCAAGGGTAAGCAGTACATCCTGGTAATGATGGAGCATACCAGCAAGTGGGTGGAAGCCAGGGCTTTGCCCAGCAAGAATAGCAGCTTGATTGCGGAGGCCTTCGTGCAAGAGGTGCTCACCAGGTACGGAGCTTGCGGGGAGGTGCTGACGGGTCAGGGAACCGAATTCCAAGGTAACTTTGAGGAGATGCTGAAAGAGCACCGAATCACCCATCGGGTGACTTCCAGGTATCACCCGCAGTCGGATGGGTTGACTGAACGAATGGTACAAACCCTGAAGAAGGGACTGAGGGCATACGGGGAGAATAACAAGAGGAACTGGGATAAGGAGCTCCCCTGGATCCTGGCGGGGTACAGGTTTGCTAAGCAGTCTGCCCTAAAGGATCTATCACCCTACCATCTGCTATACGGTCGAGACCCAGTTTTACCCGTGGATGCGCCGAAGCTGTTGTCAGTGACCGTGGAGGCAGATGAGCCAGGTTTATGGGCCGAAGTAGCACAGAAGAGGGCTCGGTACCTGAGGGAGCTGACACCTGCAGCCTTGGATAATCTGCACGTGGCTCAGCTGAGGGATGCCCGTCGATATCAGCAGCGTAAGGAAGAGGGTAACGGAAAGCAGAGAGAGGCTATAGCAGCGGGGCAAGAGGTATACCTGAGGAAGGCGAAGAAGGACACGCTGGACTTAGCTGTGGGTCCCGAACGGTGGAAGGTGAAGGAAGTACGGGGGTCGGGAGTGTTAGTGCTGGAGGACCAGCGCGGAAGGAATATCAAGGAGCATGCGACGAATGTGGCTAGAGCAAAGGGAGTGCAGATTCAGGCTAAGAATCCCGTGACCCGAGCTGCAGGAGCTGCTGCTCAGGCACGGGAGGGGGCAGGGTCGCCTGGTACACGAGGAGGGGAGGAGAGTAAGCTCATTACATATGTCAGGAGGAACAAGGGGCGGAATGGATCACCTGCTGGGGGGAAGGGACAGTAAAGGAAGGGGAAGGAGGGAAGAGGAGAGAAAGAGGATAGAAGGCTGCAATGAGGAAGGTTCGACTGGACCTGCATCACGACAGCTGTCGCGTTATTAACACCTAGCCGGTGGCTAAGGTGTGAATTACACAGCAGCCAGGTAATGGTGCATTTCTGGTTATGTACTCTAATTTCTTTTTGTGTGCGTGGGATGTACTGTATATACGCTATAGAGCCGAGTGCAGGGGACTACAGGGAGGTTGGTGTGGAAGGAGGAATTCGATTCCAGCTGGGGAATTCGATTACAGCTGGGAATTCGATTTCAGGTTGGGAATGCAATTCCAGCTGGGAATGCGATTCCAGGCTAGGAACTCGATTCCAGCTGGAAGGCAGTGCATGCCTAGTGGGCCAGTGGGGCCCAGCTAGCACCTTGGAACCATCGCGAGCAGCTCAGCTGACTCGCGTTTGGCACTAGAGCTAGCGAGGGAAGGAAGGCTCCTAGGCAGGAGGAGGAGGGAATGTAGCCGGGGTAGCACTCTGGTTTCTCGCTTTTTGCTTGTATGTTTCTCTTCTTACTGTAATCTTGTTTTCCTAAGCCAAAGGAAGCTAGCAGTAGGGAGAAGCAGGAGCAATCTGACTGAGCCCTTGCGAGGGAGTTAAGACTTGTTCAAGGGTCGCCTGGTACACGAGGAGGGGAGGAGAGTAAGCTCATTACATATGTCAGGAGGAACAAGGGGCGGAATGGATCACCTGCTGGGGGGAAGGGACAGTAAAGGAAGGGGAAGGAGGGAAGAGGAGAGAAAGAGGATAGAAGGCTGCAATGAGGAAGGTTCGGCTGGACCTGCATCACGACAGCTGTCGCGTTATTAACACCTAGCCGGTGGCTAAGGTGTGAATTACACAGCAGCCAGGTAATGGTGCATTTCTGGTTATGTACTCTAATTTCTTTTTGTGTGCGTGGGATGTACTGTATATACGCTATAGAGCCGAGTGCAGGGGACTACAGGGAGGTTGGTGTGGAAGGAGGAATTCGATTCCAGCTGGGGAATTCGATTACAGCTGGGAATTCGATTTCAGGCTAGGAACTCGATTCCAGCTGGAAGGCAGTGCATGCCTAGTGGGCCAGTGGGGCCCAGCTAGCACCTTGGAACCATCGCGAGCAGCTCAGCTGACTCGCGTTTGGCACTAGAGCTAGCGAGGGAAGGAAGGCTCCTAGGCAGGAGGAGGAGGGAATGTAGCCGGGGTAGCACTCTAGTTTCTCGCTTTTTGCTTGTATGTTTCTCTTCTTACTGTAATCTTGTTTTCCTAAGCCAAAGGAAGCTAGCAGTAGGGAGAAGCAGGAGCAATCTGACTGAGCCCTTGCGAGGGAGTTAAGACTTGTTCAAGGGTCGCCTGGTACACGAGGAGGGGAGGAGAGTAAGCTCATTACATATGTCAGGAGGAACAAGGGGCGGAATGGATCACCTGCTGGGGGGAAGGGACAGTAAAGGAAGGGGAAGGAGGGAAGAGGAGAGAAAGAGGATAGAAGGCTGCAATGAGGAAGGTTCGACTGGACCTGCATCACGACAGCTGTCGCGTTATTAACACCTAGCCGGTGGCTAAGGTGTGAATTACACAGCAGCCAGGTAATGGTGCATTTCTGGTTATGTACTCTAATTTCTTTTTGTGTGCGTGGGATGTACTGTATATACGCTATAGAGCCGAGTGCAGGGGACTACAGGGAGGTTGGTGTGGAAGGAGGAATTCGATTCCAGCTGGGGAATTCGATTACAGCTGGGAATTCGATTTCAGGTTGGGAATGCAATTCCAGCTGGGAATGCGATTCCAGGCTAGGAACTCGATTCCAGCTGGAAGGCAGTGCATGCCTAGTGGGCCAGTGGGGCCCAGCTAGCACCTTGGAACCATCGCGAGCAGCTCAGCTGACTCGCGTTTGGCACTAGAGCTAGCGAGGGAAGGAAGGCTCCTAGGCAGGAGGAGGAGGGAATGTAGCCGGGGTAGCACTCTGGTTTCTCGCTTTTTGCTTGTATGTTTCTCTTCTTACTGTAATCTTGTTTTCCTAAGCCAAAGGAAGCTAGCAGTAGGGAGAAGCAGGAGCAATCTGACTGAGCCCTTGCGAGGGAGTTAAGACTTGTTCAAGGGTCGCCTGGTACACGAGGAGGGGAGGAGAGTAAGCTCATTACATATGTCAGGAGGAACAAGGGGCGGAATGGATCACCTGCTGGGGGGAAGGGACAGTAAAGGAAGGGGAAGGAGGGAAGAGGAGAGAAAGAGGATAGAAGGCTGCAATGAGGAAGGTTCGGCTGGACCTGCATCACGACAGCTGTCGCGTTATTAACACCTAGCCGGTGGCTAAGGTGTGAATTACACAGCAGCCAGGTAATGGTGCATTTCTGGTTATGTACTCTAATTTCTTTTTGTGTGCGTGGGATGTACTGTATATACGCTATAGAGCCGAGTGCAGGGGACTACAGGGAGGTTGGTGTGGAAGGAGGAATTCGATTCCAGCTGGGGAATTCGATTACAGCTGGGAATTCGATTTCAGGCTAGGAACTCGATTCCAGCTGGAAGGCAGTGCATGCCTAGTGGGCCAGTGGGGCCCAGCTAGCACCTTGGAACCATCGCGAGCAGCTCAGCTGACTCGCGTTTGGCACTAGAGCTAGCGAGGGAAGGAAGGCTCCTAGGCAGGAGGAGGAGGGAATGTAGCCGGGGTAGCACTCTAGTTTCTCGCTTTTTGCTTGTATGTTTCTCTTCTTACTGTAATCTTGTTTTCCTAAGCCAAAGGAAGCTAGCAGTAGGGAGAAGCAGGAGCAATCTGACTGAGCCCTTGCGAGGGAGTTAAGACTTGTTCAAGGGTCGCCTGGTACACGAGGAGGGGAGGAGAGTAAGCTCATTACATATGTCAGGAGGAACAAGGGGCGGAATGGATCACCTGCTGGGGGGAAGGGACAGTAAAGGAAGGGGAAGGAGGGAAGAGGAGAGAAAGAGGATAGAAGGCTGCAATGAGGAAGGTTCGGCTGGACCTGCATCACGACAAGCAAGGCAGGAGATGAGAGGGAAGCAAGGCAGGAGATGAGAGGGAAGCAAGGCAGGAGATGAGAGGGAAGCAAGGCAGGAGATGAGAGGGAAGCAAGGCAGGAGATGAGAGGGAAGCAAGGCAGGAGATGAGAGGGAAACAAGGCAGGAGATGAGAGGGAAGCAAGGCAGGAGATGAGAGGGGAGCAAGGCAGGAGATGAGAGGGAAGCAAGGCAGGAGATGAGAGGGAAGCAAGGCAGGAGATGAGAGGGAAACAAGGCAGGAGATGAGAGGGAAGCAAGGCAGGAGATGAGAGGGGAGCAAGGCAGGAGATGAGAGGGAAGCAAGGCAGGAGATGAGAGGGAAGCAAGGCAGGAGATGAGAGGGAAGCAAGGCAGGAGATGAGAGGGAAGCAAGGCAGGAGATGAGAGGGGAGCAAGAGGAGGGGGACGAGAGGAGGGGGAAGTGGGAGGAGCATGAGAGGGGGGAGGGGAGGGAGGAGAGTGAAGAGAGGGAGAAGAGGGAGAAGAGGGAGAAGTGGGGTGAGGGCCTGAGGGAGGGAGGGACGCACCTTGCACATGTAGGTGGAAACACGGTGGGCACACAGAGTGTCGGTGGGCACACAGAGTGTCGGTGGTTTTTGAGGCGCCTCAGAAGTCGACGCACCTTGCACATGTAGGTAGTGTAGTTGGTAGAAACGCGGTGGTTCACCATCGTCAGATTGAACCGCCCATCACCGCCCATCGCCATGCCTTGCCCCTTCGCCTGCCCGTTCTTCTGCCCGTTCGCCTGCCCCTGGGCGTACGCAGCGAGCTTGCCTGCTGACGTGATGGCGGGCCAGCTGGCATCAGCGGATTGGGTGGTGGTGGTGGGAGGGGTGGTAGGGTCGAGGATGGAGGGGCCAGGCGCGGGCAGCAGGACGAGCGAGGTGGCGCCACGTGTCGCGCTGTGATAGGCGAGCTCGTCAGTCGTGCCTGAAAGTGGGAGATATCATAGGGTGGTGTGAGGAGGGGAAAGTGAGTGAGAAGAATAGAGAGAGATACACACACACGCACACACACGCACGCATGCACACACCCACACGCACACATACACAGGCCTCCACTCCCCATCCCTCTCACCCATTCCTCTCACCCATGCCTCTCACCCATTCCTCTCACCCATGCCTCTCACCCATTCCTCTCACCCATGCCTCTTACTCCTCCTCCCCTGCCCAACGCACCCATGGCCCAGATGACGAATGAGAGCGCGCCAGCTGTGATGGGGCGGTCGTTGCAGTCGCCAGTGTCCAGCTGGCGCCACACGTGCACGGTGGTCCACGTGTCGCCCGTGGATTGGTCGGTGGTCTGGCTGCCGCCCAGCACACGCCAGTCCTGCTGCTCGTCCAACGCGACGCCTTCCCCAGTCTTGTTGAAGACGAAGCGGTCCGTCGCGTACACACGCCCCTCGCGCTCCGCCACCCACGCCACCACCACATCTGCTCGCAGAGATGAGAGGGAGATAAATGTGATTTCTGAGTCGAATAATTATGCGTCTCGGACGGGTCTGGTGCATACACGCGGCCCTCGCGCCCCGCCCCGCCACCCACGCCACCGTTACATCTGCTCGCAGAGCGATCACGGAGCGAGGAGCAAAAATAATAATAATAAGACTTTTGAGTCAACACATAAGGCATCTCGGACCGATCCCTCGTGCTCCGCCAACAGCCGCGTCTGAGAGTGTCAGAGAACGAAAAGCAAAGAAGTGGTATCGTTTGTTTATATTTGTTTCCACATGACATGAATCATAGGAGAACAATATTTGAACCACGTGAGGGATCTCCGCGAATTAGGGAAAGCTCCACGTGTTGACTCGGGTAATGAGCGCGGGGCGCGCAAACGAGCGGAGAGAACGCGGGAAAATGCGAATGAGCGGATAGAACGCGGAATGCGAACGAACGCGGAATGAGCGCGGGGAATGAGCGCGACGAATGAGCGCGGGGAATGAGCGCGGGGAATGAGCGCGGGGAATGAGCGCGGGGAATGAGCGCGGGGAACGAGCGCGGGGAATGAGCTCGGGGAACGAGCGCGCGGGGAGGAGGAACGAGCGCGAGAAACGGGCGTGGAACGAACCAGAGCCGAACATTCCGCCGGATTCGGAAAGGCCAATTGCGAGCCATCCCGCCGTCTGCGCCCGCGCCGCCATGTGAATGGTCGCGTCGCTCGTGTTGGTGCTCCAATAGAGCTCGAAGCGCGGATCTAGCAGCGCCATGCTGGAGTAGGACGAGAGCTCAGGCAGGGCAGCCGCGTCAGCGAATTTTGCGGAGAGATGGTGGGACGAGGAGAAGACGAGAATGAACGCGAAGAGGAGCGAGAGATGGTGATGGAGGTTCTGCCTCGCCGCGCCGCGAACAACGTCGCCGCGGGCGCCGGTGGTCGCCATTCTCGTCGTAAAATGGTCCCTTGCGCGCGTGCCTCCAAGAGGTTGGACGCGTGGCTTATCTCCGAGTCTCCCTGGGATACGGACGATCCTTTTGGAATCGTGTACTACCCACGGCGGCGGCACAGCTGTGATGGAGGCGAGGAGAGGTGCTGCAGGAAAATGTGTGGGCGAGGGATTTTAGAAGAGTTGTGCACCGAATGTGTTTTATGTTTGGCTGACCTGAGCTGCGATTGGTGCGATTGTGGTTGTGGGTGCTTGTGGGTGCGTGAGATTCGAGTGGGCTTGTGTACAGTTCAGTACAGAGCATCCCTGAAATGGGGAAAGTGCATCCCTGGAGTCAGCGACGCGGAACCAACTACCCCTGTATTGCTCATGGCATACGAGGCAGACGTGCGATGGCATACGAACGAGAAAAAACTCTCGGCGAGGTTCGCCGGGGATGGCGAACTAGCACATGTCGGTGGAGGCGCAAGTCATAGATAGGACGGTGGATGCAGCGACTGGCTGGCATAGTTACGGCTCGGACATGACTCACGTCGCGTACCCGTGATGTCCTTTTCAGGCCTTGCTTTTCTTCACGCCATTGTTGCTCTCGCTCGCGAAAGGGTGGGGGGGGGGGGGGGGGGGGGGGGGGGGGGGGGGCGTGGAACCGCGGGCAGCTGACAGGCCCGACAAATCCACAAATCCACTTGGGAGATGTTGCCCAGCGCTGGGATACCCAGTCAACACCGTTGCCCGCACCTTTGAGTACACTTATGTGTTTTATATGCACAAGGATGCACTCTGGTTCAAACAAAACAATGTTTAGGGCGTGTCGAAAGTGTACGTCCGAATGCGGTTGAGTACGTTTCAGAACAATAAAAAGTAATTTTGCGAGTACATACTTTTTGGACCCGCCCTTACGGTGGCAATCACAATCTGTGTTTTTTTTTCGAGTGCATGTGTGCAGTGCGAACTGTGTAATGTATTTTTCCTTGTGACCAAACAGTAGTGTTACCCCGTACAGTGATGTAACCGACAGTAACCGTACAGAGGCGAACTGAGGCACGAGGCGTGTTGTGCAGCACATGTGTGCTTCACACAGGCAGACACCCACAAAACAAATGCAGATAAAATTCCATAGTTTTGCATGTTTTTCCGACTCGTGTGCACGACTTGGAGATTTCCTAGGCTAGAATGATTTGACACTCAGACTTTTAGACATCGATGGTTAAATACAACGGAACTTGGATTCCCACACCGCCGAAATCCAGCAGAAGCAAATAGTCGCCGACATCCAGAAACAGAAAAAATTGAAGAAGCGTTCAGCCACAATTAGCCATGAAGAGTCGAGATTGGAAAGCGAAAAATGGAACGATACTCTTCAGAACCCTCATTTTTCAAAATTGGAACGGTGAAATAGGACAGAAGGCTCTCCTTTTGGAGTCACTTGGAAGAACAATTCAATTCTTTCGACAATTCTTCCACATACACGTCACACGCGTCACATTTCTTCGAATACAATTCTGGTCGAGCACTTTTATGGATGAGGGCAATTCCGTTTTAGGGCGCGTGTCTTTTGCAAATTAGGTAGAAGTTCATGTTTTTTTCTCGAATTTTCACATTCGAGATTTGGTCGACGTGTGGTCGACCATCTCGAGTTTTGATGGTCGAGGAGCAACGTCAACAAGTCCGAGTCGCACATGGAACAACAAAGTTCGACTATCAAAGCTCAACTTTGAATAGTAAATCACGAGTCGCGCTCAACTTTCGTAGGTTACCTGGTTGGGTGGTGCGATTCGTTACCGTATCAGGCTTCGGTAACCTGGTAAAATGTACCTCGTTCTTGTCGCGAATATCGTGACTTTTCGTGCGTGCGCACAAGAACACACGATTAGGTAAATGTTAACATAAAAATGCGAATGCAGGTCGACTTTAGTTCAGTGTCCAACTTCTTTCACAAAGTTTAAACTAGGACACACGATCTCTTCGCGAACAATTTCTCGAAATTTGCGAGACTGGCTACCATTAAAAGCTCGACCTTTTTTTTGAACGTCTACACCAAAAGACACGCGCCCTTATGGTGGAGGGTGTCCGCTGTTGTAGCATCCTCGCACCGACATGCAGGCTATGAACAACACTCCACCGGGCTTCACGTAAAGTGAAATAAACGTGTGAAAACTCATTAGTGTGTGCACCAGCTCCACCATTTCACTCTACTCCAAGTTTACAATAATTGACAACCAGAAGATAACCATTCATATAACACCGATTGATCCCCCATTTTGCTGATATACCTACAACAAAGATATGGTAAGGCACCGTCTGAGGCCAACCTCCATATTCCTTGAAAAAAAACCATCCATTCCCACTTGCCAACGTGCAAATCATGGCCAAGTACCGTACAATCCCCCGTTTGACCATTGGTCTTCTTTTTCCAGATACCCAAAATTTTTAGTAGTTAGGAAAACTGGCCCTGAATCCACACCCATTAGGAGAAGCTGGTCTATAGGGTTCGACAGATTAGGATCAACATTAATTTACTGCACCATGAGGGTCTCAGCTCTGCTTTCCTAATGGGCACAACACAACAGCCACCCACTGGTCCTTACATATGAATGTTATGCCGACGACCGGGAACAACGGCTAGCATTCAACAACTCGGGCAGTCAACCTAACAGACTCCAGTGAGCTACACTCTGCTAAGGCAAACGGTGATAAATATTAACGATCACGGGTTACGTGCCGCAAATCCAGTGCAATGTCAATTTTCCGCCTCGCTCTCGCTTTCACTATCCCAAAGGAAAAGGGCATAGCTCGCGAGAGCATCTGAGTTGTCCGGAGACTCGCTCAAGGCCTTCTGAAATAGGTCTTCCGCCTGGGTCTTATTATGGAGTCGTTGCCACGAGAACTGTGCGAAGCTCGTCAAAAGTCGCACGTCATACGGAGATCTTCGCATTGCGTCGCGAAAGTATTTCTCCGCGGTAACGGTCTCTACCCACACCTCGTTAACAAATTCCGCGAACTCCGTCGGCAAGCTCGGCCGCGCTTGGCTGCTCTCAGCATTCCTCTCCATTCGTTGTCGAAACGCAACCGCCCTGCCCTCAATCTCCGCACCATCCAAAGACGAGCAAGGACCCGACGATGCATGGCCGTCGGTGCCGCTTCTACCGGACTCAGTCACCTCTGGCGACCACGGCTGTCTGAAGACGGGTCTGCACCCTCGGCTGTTGCATTCCACAAGACCCACGGACGCCTCTGCTAGGAAAAACGGCTCGTTCCACGCCATGCTGACATCGTCCTTCTCGAGTATGCTCATTGGAGAGCACGGTGAGTCGACAGCGAATCGCGCGGCCTGAGAGGATCTCGGGCGCTCGGTGAAGCGCTCGGGTTCAAGAAACTTGGAGGATGTCGCAGCGGGGGTAGCGGCGGAAGGGTAATGGTGTTCTTGGGAGCATCCCCAGCCGAGATGGTTCTCTCTTTTAGCAGATGCAGTCACGATGTTGCTGGGGGAAGATTTGTTGCTCGAGACCCGACATTGCCGTGACGACGACAGCGAGAGGGTGATGGGTGAGCGAATTTGCATAGCGATGGCTCTGGCGGATGCGCACTCCATTGCCAATGCTCGGGATGAATGTGGGCAGAACGATGAGTAGGATCATGCACTGATGGGAGTTTTCCTGTGGCCTACTTGTGCTTCTTGGGAAGAAAGAAAGAGACTTAGTATGCCCAAGTTGAACCACACAGACGAGTGAGGATGTCAAAACCCTAAGCAGAAGCTCATGAACGGAAGAATGCCGGGGTCTCGCATGGATGGAGGACAATCATGAGCAGAGCAGACTGAAGGTTAGGTTTAGGACGAGAGACAGGCTGCTGGAGCAGTAACTACAAAAATCACAACAGACAGCAACAAGAACGAGGGAAAAGAAACGTACAATATCTTCTTGCAAGCACGCTGGCAGTCTGGCTGGCAGCCTAGCGCAGCAAGCCCAATCACGGCAAAAAGCTGATGATGGACGGACAGTCTGTTCTGCTGTGGCATCATTTCCGCATTACGCTGGCAGATCTCCGTTTTCCCGCCTCTTCTCCACCGTGGCCTTTCCGCAAACCCCTCAACGTTACCAGTCGCATTGCTGACGTGGGACGCAGCCCGCCACTGGGACGATTTGGACCACAGGTCTTGGAGGCATTGAGGGGATACTTTGGGTGAAAGGGAGTGCCAGCCGTGCCCGGCATTGCAGGAGGTCGACCAAGTGGCCGCCCAAATGAGGGGCTACGAGAACCACGAAGTTTTCCGCCAACAGAGTACGGAGCAGCTTGCGACTAATGGAATTGGTCCCAATAGCACGGCTGCGGGAGAAAACATCCCGGGAAACCTGCGAGCAACCGCACTGCTGCAGGTAGGCAGATGTAAGCACGTGGTGCCCAGCATGCTGCTGACATCACCAGGATGTGATGCTGGGAGTGGGAAAAAAAAATACTACTACGCTTTTTGCGATGGTTGTGGTGTTCACTCTAATAACGGAGTCACTTTGCTGCGAGATGCCACAGGATATGACATGCTGTAACTACAGATTTCATGAGAACCTCCCAGTGATGTGATAACAACACAAGATTTGCGGTCAGGAATACCCTCATAACTTTTTCCTGAATAGTTGCAGATATTCTGATGATTGTTTTCACGTGTTTTCTGACAAGCGAGCGTGAATCAACTCGAGGCCTGCGATTGGCGGGTTCTGGTTGCACACCGTCCATGTTAGCTTTACACTAGTTGTAGATGTTCTTAATAAAATTCGGTAACAATAAATGCACTACAGGAATCTCTAATATTCAAAGTAGGCATTGTTAGTCTGCAAGCAGGGTATTGCCAACATCATCTTATTCCACCTCCCTGGTCAACTTTGCAAAGAGTTGGTGACTAATACCTACCAAATAGACTTTCTCACCTGAGTGAGTTCCTATGTGACCACTAGCAGGTTGTTTTCATGGCCGCTCGATGTGTAAACAATGGCCCTTCGAGGATCAACCTTCCAATTTCCATCCACGATAAATTTGACCTGCAGCAATGAAGGGAGGCTATTTTGAGCGAGAGCATCGCAATACAAATGCATACACAGAGAGAGCTAGAGAACACTGCGGGTAAAGGCTTAACCACGTCCACATGAGGTACCGTATGGTGGACTCTGTAAAGCCATGCTCATGAATTTGTAGAGCTTTGACAAAGGCGAGATAGCATGCCTCGTAAACAATTATCCATGTCAGAGTAGTAGTTTGACACTCCATGAGGTTGGTATGGCAAGGACCGTAAAAGAGTTGGTGATGATAACGAGCGTACCTCATATTGTCCGGGGTACAGATGAAGAGTTGTTACAAACACCCCCGCATTTGACTTGACCATCTTGATCTGCCATCCGGACCAGAATAAGAATGACAAAATGAAGATACAATCAACGCTCGATACATGCACAGGCAAACATACGTAGGAACCTATCCAAGCATGCATACAAGCTAAAAACAACATATACTAAGAAGACATTGATCAAACCATGGCGGTGCGGAAAAGGGCAATTATCATTCGTACCTGGTTGGTCCATCCCATGCGTACACGGTTGGTCCATCCCATCCATACCCGGTTGACCCATCCCATGCATACCCGGTTGGTCCAGCCATTGAAGGAGCCAGTGAGAAGCACTTCGTTGCCAGGGTTGGGCCACACCACTCGCGTGGGCCTCAGCTGCACATATGCCACCTGCAGCTCCCCCAGCTGCTGATCCTTCTCCTCCAACACGCGCCTCGTCTCCCTGATGAGGGGTAGACCGGGAGGGGACGGAGGGTGGCGGAACATGGGAGGGAAGGGAGGGGAATATGCCAGACCACTCGCGTGGGCTTCAGCTGCACGTACGCCACCTGCAGCTCCCCCGGCTGCTAATTCTCCTCCAACACGCGCCTCGTCTCCCTGCCAAGAGCAGCACAGTGAGGGGGACGGTGGCGGAATATGGGAGGGCATTAGACTGGTCATCGGCTGCTAATCCTAATCTCAAGAGTGCATGCTGCTCGCAGCTCCCCCAGCTGCTGATCCTTCTCATCCAACACCCGCCTCGTCTCCCTTCCCTGCCACAGGCAGCACCGAGAGCGGAAGGAAAGGGAGGGATGCTGGACACACTGCATCCACCCTGCTTCGATGGATATGACCTCCGTTGTCCCTGTTCCCCGCACCCGAATACCATTTCTCTAAACACCCGAACCCCCCCCTTTATACCAGAATTCCCCCCCACGCACCTGAACTCAGCAGCAAATCTGCCTTCGAGAGCTGAGACCTCAGCGCGAGTTGAGCGCAGCTCTGCTCGCGTGCGCAGCATCTCACTCTCTCTGAACTCCAGCGAGTCTGTAAGTCTTAGCAGCTCACCCATGGTGCGGCTGCGCATCTGATGATGTTGATGGGGAGTGGTGGTGAGTGGTGGTGAAGTAAAGTGAGGGGACGAAGGGGAAATGTGAGGAAGGGGGGCGAGCAGGTGGTAGGGAGGGCACAAAGCAGGAACAGCATCTCTCTCTCTCTCGGAACTCCAACGAGTCTGTCAGCCGCAGCACCTCACCCAAGGTGCCACTGCGCATCTGATGATGTTGATGTGAGGGGTGGGGTGAAGTGAAGAAGGGACGAGGGGGGAGTAGGGGGGTGCAGTGAAGAAGAAAAGGGGATGGGTGGCAAGATTGGGACAAGCAGAAAGGAGGAAGGGGAAACGATGAAGGAGAAAGGAGGGAGGAAGGAGGGATGGGGCATCACGGAATGTGTGTGATTCGAGGATTTTTTAGGGACCTCAAAAGTGCAGATGGTGAGTGGACTGGATCTCACCACTCAGGGTAGCTCATTTGTTTGTTTGAGATCCAGAACCTGCAAACAAACCAATCAGCTACCCTGATCATCTACAACATGTCTTTGCCAGATGCCACTGCCCTGATACAGATCAAACAACCAATCAGCTACCCCGTCCACCTCAGCACTGACCTGTTCCAGCTCAGCATCTCGCCTACTCAGCGCCTCCCGCCCCTGCCTCAGCGCTGCACGCGTGGCGGCCAGCGATTGCTCGAGGGATCGGATGCGCCCTGTCACGCCTGCCAGCTCATCCGGGTCGCGCCGGAGGAAGGCAGCAGCTGGGGGAGGCTCAACTGGCGACGCAGGGGGAGGTGGTAACCGAAACTTGCGCACCGGTGGCGAGGAAGGTTCCTTGCTCCGTGGTCTGTTTTCTGATGGCCGTTGCGAGTCTGTCGGCAAATGCCCTGTCTTGTCTGCGTATGCTGCAGCTGGTGGTGGTGCTGGCTGTGCTGCTGGTGCCTCGCGTGCTGCGTCTTCTTCTGCTCCCGCCCCTGCTGCAATCCCTGGCCCCTCTGTTGCAGAAAGGGCAGAAGAACCACGCGCAGTGGAGGACGTGGCAGAAGGCGATGGGGACGGTGGGAAGGCGCCCACAAGCCGTGACAGCACGGCTGCAGCTGAAGCAGAAGCATCCTCACCATCGGTACTACTACCACCACCACCTGATAGATCAACAGCAGCAGACCCACCAGCACCAGCATCAGCAGCCGAAGTAGCACCAACACTAGCACCAGCACCAGCACCAGGACCAGCTCCAGCAGTGAGTGTTTCAGCAGACGAATCCCCAGCATCAACTCCCATCCGTCCTCTCCTCCCCACCTTCCCCTGGCTCCCTTTCCTCCCCAACCTTCGCCTCCTCTTCCTCACGCCAGGTTCATCTGGGGAAGGCGCCACCTGCTCTTGCACCCCACTCGCTGCCTGGGCCTCGGAGGCAGGCGTTATCTGCGCTAAACGAGAAAGGAGGTTTATCTGATCTTGGGGAGGGGGAGGCGTTATCTGGTCCTGTGCGGGTTCTTGGGTTTGCAGCAGTCCCTGCAGCAGCTGTGCCGCCAGCTGTACCGCCAGCTGTGCCGCCAGCTGTGTCGCCAGCTATGCCGAGAATTGTGCCGCCAGCACCAGCCTCCAACCCCTCCAGCCTCTTCCTGAACGCCATCAGATTCGCCAGGCTGGCACTCAGGGCTGCATCAAAGCCGTCCAAATTCCCCACACTCCCCTCGATCACCCTCTCTTCCCCCACACTCCCCTCTCCCACACTCCCCTTCCCCACTCTCCCCTCCACCGCACTACCTGCACCCACGCCCCCAACATAACCTCTACTTCTCTTCTCCTCGTCCGCGGCCTCCTCTCCGCTCCCCTTCTTCCCATCGTCCTTCTCCCGACCCCCCTCAACGCCCCCCCCGCCAATGCTTGGCCCCACACCAGCCTCCTGAGCTGTTCCCCTCCCTGCCTCCTCTGCTCGCCCCTGGTTTGCTGGGGGGGTTTTCCTCGGGCGGCCCACTGGTCTCCGTGGCTGCAAGGGGGGAAAGGGAGAGGAGAGGGAGGGAGAGAGGGAGGGAGGCAATGCATGTTGTATGAACCCATGCGCATGTCTGTACCCGCTCAGATCTAATACATGGACCGCTTGAGGGAGGCAAGGAAGCGTGTTTCCTCTTCTGACCCTTGTATCATTGCCAAAACTCTCTTGCAGCAGAGGTGACTTTTGAGTCGACTCAAAAGTTTCCTCTTCTGACCCTTGTATCACTGCCAAAACTCTCTTGCAGCAGAGTGATCCTGCTTGGATCGGAGTGACTGAATCACAAAAAAGAAGTGATCACTTCAGCATCCTGTGACAGGCATCCAGATTAGCTTTGTAATGGTTTAGGCGACTAAACCATTGCAACGAGGAGGTGCTCTGTGTCGCCCCAACCAACCGCATGATAAAAGCAGTTGTTTGGTTTGAGACGCCTCGTCTCGTCTCGTCTCGTCTCGTCTCAAAGCACGACTTGTATCACGTGACTAAACCATTGTAACAAGGTGGTACTGTGTGTCGCCCCAACCAACCCACACCATGCTACTCACCATCGCAACCATATGTGGCATACATCATGTTATATGATATGGTATCACATCACATTGTATTCTACTTCATCGCATCATATCGTACCATACGGTATCATATCATATCGTATCATACGGTATCATATCATATCATATCATATCATATCATATCATATCATATCATATCATATCATATCATATCATATCATATCATATCATATCATATCATATCATATCATATCATATCATATCATATCATATCATATCATATCATATCACATCATCTCATATCATATCACGGCACCAACCAGCCAAGCACCCACCTTAACAGGACTGCTCATCACAACCGACTCCTCCGGGACAGCCTCACCCGCACCACCCCCCTCATTCCAGCCCTCGCCCTCATCCACCCCCTCTCCACTCACTCCCCCTCCCTTCCCCTCCGCCCCCCCTGCTGCCCGCCCCCTCCTCCGCCTGCCCAGCCCCATCAACCTCGCCACCGCACTCCACCCATTGCCCCTCCCCACCGCCCCCCCTGCACCCCCCTCCTCCACCCCTCCTGCGCCCTCTCCCCCCTGTCTTGCAGCAGCTGCTGCTTCACCCCTCGCTTCTCCTCCCCCCCTCTCCCCTTCCACACGCCACACTTCCCGCCCTGCGCCTGTCCCTTTCGTCCTTAAATCCTCTGCAACCCCCTCCTCCGCCCCCTTCCACCCCTTTTGCGCCTCCCCCTCCCCTGCCCGCCCTTCCCCTGCCCACCCTGCGCCTCCACCCGACTGCTCCCTGGCCAGCTGCCTCAGAGCGGCTGCTAGGTCCCCCCTCCCTGCGTGCCTCAGCTGCTCCTGAGTCGGCATGATGCCCGGCTGCCCTAAAGCGGCTGAGAACGCCTGCAGCTGCTGCCTCAGTACCAAGGGGCTGGGAAAGGGGAAGGGGGGGGGGTGGGTAGGGTGGACACAGAAGCGAATGTTTTTTGAGAATTCTAAAAAAACATAGGCTGGGAAAGGGGAAGGGAAAGGGGAAGGGAAAGGGGAAGGGGGGGGGTAGGGTGGACACAGAAGCGTGAGAGACAAAGGGTGTCCTCCCCTCGCCCCGTGTGCGTGCCTGAGCTGCTCCTGAGTCAGCATGATGCCCGCCTGCCCTGCTGCTACTGAAAACGCCTGCAGCTGCTGCCGCAGCGCGGCCGGGCTGGATAGAGAGGGGGAGGGGACGGGGGGATGGGGAATGGGGAGACGGGGGACGAGAGGATGGGGAACGGGGAGATGGGGGACGGGGGGATGGGAAACGGGGAGATGGGGACGAGAGGATGGGGAAGGAGAGGATGGGGAACGGCGAGATGGGGGACGAGAGGATGGGGAACGGGGGACAGGTCAAGGAGCCAACGAGACAGACGGAACGGAGATACGAGCTACTATAGGAAGTAGCCATGCACTCAGCCACGCACTCAGCCATCCTCCCAGCCATGCAGACAGATCAGCACACACACACACACACGTACTCGAGCGGGAGAACCCCCTCCTCCTCCATTTTCCTCCTCTTCCCACTCGGTCGCCTCCTCCTCCTCCTCTTCCGCTTCTCCCCCTCCTCTCCACTCCCGTACCCTCTCCTCCCGCCACCTCTCCGCGCCCTACTCCCCTCCGAACTCCCAGCGCCACCATTCCCCCTCCCACCCCTTTCCTCCCCTCCCTCACCTCCACTGCCATCACTCTCACCATCACTCACACCCTCGCTCTCACTCCCACTCTCGTCCCGGCCCCACTCCCTGTCCTCCCGATCCCCGAGCCTGCTTCCCTTGCCCCAATACCTGCTGCCCTGCAACCCATGTTTCCCCCCCAGTCCCTCTGTCAAGCTGTCTGGTGCGTTTGCACCGGAAGTACCAAAAGAGCTCTCTGAATCACCTAACGAGCTCTTTGAATCACCTAACGAGCTCACTGAATCACCTAACGAGCTCTTTGAATCACCTAACGAGCTCACTGAATCACCTAACGAGCTCTTTGAATCACCTAACGAGCTCACTGAATCACCTAACGAGCTCTTTGAATCACCTAACGAGCTCACTGAATCACCTAACGAGCTCTTTGAATCACCTAACGAGCTCACTGAATCACCTAACGAGCTCTTTGAATCACCCAGAGTGTTTGGACCTTGGTGGCTTCGACCGCTGGCACTGGGAAGGCCCAAAGCACTGCTGCCAGGGCCGCCCAGAGAGCTGATGCCAGGCCCAGCCTCGCTTAGAGGGGTAGAACCAGAACTAGAACTAGAGCTGGGGAGGTTGAGAGCGGTAGAGCTTGAAGAGGGTTCGGTGAGAGAGGAAGAGGTGGAGGCGGAGGAGGGGGGGTGCCACTGAATTGGGGGCAGCCCAAGTTGCTGGAAGAGCGCAGACAGGCGCTTCTGCGCGCCCTGCACTGCACTCCCAGACACCGTCCCCTCGCCGCTTTCAGAAGCCCCTGACCCTGACGTGCTCGTCCCCCCCCGCTTTCAGAAGCCCTCGCCTGCCCGTCTGAGCCTGAGGCAGCGCCTTGTTGAATTCGTGAAGCGGGTCCTCTCTCGTCAGCTGACCTGGAGTCTTCCTCCTCTGATGGGGATGACGCGGAGGAGGAGGAGGATGGGGAAGGCGACAATTCCTCCCACTCGCTGCTGCTTCCGCCCTCCCCCTCTGACCAGCCTTCCCCCGCAGACCATACTTCTTCCTCCTCGGATGAAGAAGAGGCGTCCTCGTTAGAAGCCTCGAGTGCCCAGGATAGAGGCTCTGGTAACGAGTTACGCGAGGCGAAGGGAGGGGCGGGGGCGGGGGAGAACCTGTAAGAAGGACCCGAGGCAGGAGGTCGGGGAAGGGGAACGGCAGGGGGGGACCCAGAGGCCGGAGCAGGCGCAGGGAGAGGAGCAGGAGGAGGAGCGCGGGCAGAAGGAGGAGGAGCAGGAACAGAAGCACGGGCAGATGAAAAAAATCGAGGTGTGGGCTGTGGGGGCGTGTCAAGCCCAGGCAGTGCGTCCGCTCGCCAGTCCTCTATTCCTGCTCCTGATCCGCTCCCTGCTCCTGTCCCTACCCCACTAATTACCCTGCTCGCTGCCCTGCTCGCTGCCCCACTAGTTGCTCCACCCGACGCTCCTTGCCCCACGCTACCTCCGATTCTCCCGTCCGCCCTCCCCACGCCTGCTCCTGACTCTGACCCCATTTTTCCTCCTCCCCCGCCTACGCCTGTTCCTGATACTGATCCCATTCCTCCCCCTAACCCTCTTGGCATGGCCCCATTTTCGGTGACTCCCCCTTCTGCCCAACCCTTCCTACTGCTATCCGCTCCTGGGGGAGGGACGCGCGGAGAGGGCGGGGGGATGGGCGGGGAGAGCATGGCGGACCAAAACCCTGAGTCTGAGTCCATTCCGTCATCCACCGTTTCCACCTGCCGTTGACTCCCTTGACTTGAGTTGCTCGATTGACTTGCAGCCCGTTGACCCGGTTGACCCTCCCTGCCATTCCCAAGTCTTTCATCCCTCCCACTTGCCTCTCTTCCCCCCCATCCGCCAATCACACTGCCTCTCCCCGAACCCCCCACTCCATCCTCCCGCAACCATCCCTCCTCAAACCCTTTCCCCCCTGCTTCCGCCACCTCTGCAGCATTTTCCCCCGCATTCCCCTTCCCCGCATCCGCCGTCCCCGCATCCCCCGTCCCCCCGTCCCCCACGTCCCAGCCGGCGCTGAGCCACCCGCCGTCCGCCAGGCACGCCGCCACGAGGTCGTGCCGGCCGGCGGCGAGCAGCTCGCGGCGCGTGGGGAAGCGGTCCGGGTGACCGTTGGCCACCATGAACTGGAAGATCGCCACCTCCAGCTCCACGCCGCCCTCCCACGCCGCGCCGCCTCCCACGCCGCCTCCCACGCCGCCATCCACTCTGCCTCTTCCACTAACGCTGCCGCTGCTGCCGCTGTTACCACTGCTGCCGTTGCTGCCACTGGTTCTGCTGTTGCTGCCACTGCTGCCGCTCCTGCTACCACTGCTGCCACTGTTGTCACTGCTGCTGATGCTGCTGCCACTGCTGTAGCCATTTGTAGAACCTGAGGCAGCAGGTCTCGAACCATACCCGTTACTGGAGCTTCCGCTAAAGCCTACAGTACCGGAGCTGTTCCTGTCATAACTGCTGTAGTCGCCTGTTCCCGAGACCGCATTCACCATCAGCCCGCTTCTCCTCTGTCCTGAAAAACCAACACCTTGTAACGCGTACGGCGCTTTTCTTTTATTTGAAAAGCAAAACGGGTTACCCTGAAGAACACCCCTTCGCCGGACGCCTGGTCTCCGTTCCAGCCGCGTAATCCCCGAATTCTGCGTCACAAGATGCTTCGTTACAAGAGGAGGATGCCGTCCCTTCCAGTGGCCACAGATACGCGGACATCGCGATTCATCGCGAGAGGAGGGGCCAATCAACAAGCCGTTCAACGACCGGCCTGAAAAGACAGGCCTTTGGACTGATCCCAAAACAAAAGCCCGCGGGTAATTCGCAACACCAGCAGGCTGGAGAAACGCAGGACGAGCTTGCGACCAATGGGAAGTTCGACTCGCCATCCGGACAGCACTATATGAGCGACACGTGGCAGCTGCTGGGGTGTGCCAGCTGGCTCCTGTTGCTAAGTCCATGGGGCCGCTTGAATCTCGAGGCCCCAACTGGCTGGCGAGAGTTAAATTGCGCGGATTCGGCGGACATGCATCGGTTGTAAATACGAGAAACCTATGAGGGCGGAATGATAGGAGCTACTACTCTGCGGCTGTTGGAAGACGGGGAGATACGATGGTACGTGTGACGGGTTATAAACTGTATAATGCAGCTCCCTTCCGCCGCATCCTTAGCAATACTAGCTCCATTCCGCTGCACCTGGACCATCCAGCTGTATTCATAGATTCCCGATTGCGAATCCTCTCGAGAGATTGTTGAGATTTCTCTAAAATCTCTCGCGAGGACTGCCGTAAGCCGAGGTTACATTCCGAGTGGGAGCGAGAATCGTTCTGTCATTTAGAAAGCTGTTCGAGCGGTGCCCAGTTAATAAACTCCGATACGATCATACCCTAAAAGCCATCTCTCAACAACTCTGAACAAGCTCTGCTTTCAGGCTTGTTTCGAGGTTTTTCATTTTCGAGATTCCTGATGGCCTATTTGCTAGAGGGACATGCAACGGACAGAGTAACTAGACCAGGCTCCCGCACTCTAGCGGCGTTCTTCCGCGAGTGCGCGATTCGACATATCCATCCTACAGACACAGCATCTTGCTATTCTAGCTAGTACATGCTGGCAAGAGTTGAACAAGACCAGTCTTCTGAATTCCCGAGGATCCTAGCATTCCAGGGTGTGTTAGCAGGAAGGGAGATTGTCTGGAAAAAAAACTTGGCGGGAGAACTTAGCCGCGTCTTCAAGGTTCACTTCACCTGATACCCTATCCAACCGAATTCAAAATCGATTCACCGCTATTGAACGCAGGATAACGTGTAGGGCCGTGGTTTGGTAAGTTTCTGGGACCCACCCAGCCGCCACTAGAGGTCGGTTTGATGCAACCCCGACGTGCAATCAATCTGTGGTTGTTTTTCGAAACGCTAACCAGTTTCGCGACCTGGCGAAATCGTACGAATGTTCTCGAAAGCCCTCCGACACCACATTTCCACAGATCGCGTGGCTGGGATCAGGGTCAGGGCCTAAGTTCTCAGGGCAATTACCCTGTTTTGACTGAAATTATAGGGTTTTGTTTCTAGGAGCCCTGATTTTCACAAGGTTTTTTCCGGACCAGCCCGTAAAACTGAAGGGTGATTTTTGAGTCAGCTCGGATCACTTCGGGGAGTTCTCAAGGGGACCCGTATAATTTTAGCAGACATGTTCTCCCCGACCTGCCTTGCATTCCTCTCGGTCTCCCTCTAAACACACGTTGGGCCAATTTTAGTGAATTTCCTAACCACTCTCTCCTTGTTGGCCTCCATGTGTCTGATTGCCCCGTTCTACGTCGACATGGCTTAGAAGGCCAATAAGGAGAGAGTGTCTGATTGCCCTGTTCTCCCGATGTACTCTTCCTCATCGTATTTTTTTCTAAGTCTACAAAAAGTATCTCGCTCACCCCTCCAGAGCCACTCCATCTCCAATCTCCCCAGCCCTCGCGCAACCCACTGTGAGTTTCCCGCGAAATTCTGGTAATGCATGTTTTCAGGCCTTTTCTGGCTCGAACCCGGATTCGTCAAGGTTTTTTTCCCGCTGGCTCGGATTTTACAGGGTCTTTTTCACAGGGGCCCGGATCGTCCGAGCTAGCAAAAATCCTAGCAATAGCCCTGATCAGGATGATCACACACGCAGTCTTGGTTTGCCTTGCCACGTGGAAACTTGAGCAAGCCGTGTCTCTATGACATGTGGTACGGATTCTGCTGACGAGATCCAGCGCCCAGCAATAGTGGGACGGCGGCAAAGTCTAGACACGTCAGCTCTGCGTCAGCGAAGTGTGACCACACGAGCCTTCTTGTTGCACCGATGTCCACACGCGTCAATTCAATGGTGGGGATTGATCGCCTAGTACACTACAGTGCGATCCATATTTAAGTGAAACAGCATTCACATATTACTTGATTGCACTGAACATGCAATCAAGTTAAGAATAAATCCATATAATCCAATTCATAAGTGCACATCATCGAAAAAAAGGGCATTCATCCTTGGGATTTCTTTTCAGCCATGCGTCTCTGGAGCTCCTTCCGCAGACTGCAAGCAAGGGAAGGTTAGGAAACAATGAACCCAGAACATGCCATAGTCAGTGCAGGAAAAGGAACAACAGAGGGGACGGAAATCCATAGAACATAAGCGCCTGTACAAAACCGAAGAACAAACAAACAAACAAAAAAACTCGCCTGCAGTTACACCGATAAGTACAGCGAGGTTTGTACATACCCTTGCTCGCGCTCGATTCGACGAATCTCCTTCAGCTCCTTCTCCTCCTCCTGCTGCTTCTGCTCCCTCTCGCCTCGTCCTCGTCTCCTCCCATTCCTCTCCTCTCCACTCCCACTACCCCCCTCACTTCCACTCCCACTTTCGCTCCCACTCTCTCTCCCTCCCACGCGCCCATGCCTACTCTCACCACCCTCCCTGTCCCCGTTCCATCTCTCATCCTCACCCCCATCTCTTCTCTCACCACCAACACCCCCCACCAACCCCTCACCACCTCTCTGAACCCCCCCCAAACCACCTCCCACACCACCCTCCCCCTCATCCATCTCATCGGACCCACGTCTGGCCCTCTTCCTCTCCCCTCCTCTCTCCTCCTCGCCATTCCCCTTCACCCCATCTCCCTGCTTATCAGACCCTTCCGAATCAGAATCATCTGAGCGCCCTCTGCCTCTCACACCACCTTCCCCAATCCCCTCTCCCTCAACCCTCCCCTTTCCCTCAGCCCTCCTCTCGCCGTCACGCCTCCCCTCCGCTCTCCCAGGGCTGTTGCTGTGTTTCCCTCCTCCTCTCCCTCTTGGGCCAGGGCTAACGCTGCTTCTCCCTCCTCTCCCTGCGCGCTCCCAAGGGCTAGAACTGCCACTGCTTCTCCCTCCTCTCCCCTTCAAATCAGGACTGCGACTGCCTTTCCCTCCTGCCCCTTCTCTCCCTCCGTGCCCCCGGGGGCTAGGGCTAGGGCTGCGGCAGTGCCCCATGTGCTTGGGGGAGGGGCTGCGCCCTCGCGGTCGGGGACTGATGCCTCGCCCCCGCGGACTCACCCCCCTCCGCCTTCTCCCCTCCCTCGGACTCCTGTCCCTTGCGCCCCTCAAATCCCTTGCATCTCTCCCCCTAGGGCTGCCCCCCCTAGGGCTCGCACTGCTGCTTCTGCCCCTCCTGCTGCCCGCTGCTCTCCCTCTCGGGCTGGGACTCGGGCTTCTGTGGGCCCTGCGGTGATCTACCCCCCTGCGCTCAGGGCTTCTTCGGAAACTACCCCGGTACGGGCTCCTTTCCCTCCCTCTCTCGCTGCTGCCCCGGCCCCTATACGGACTCCCATCATCCCTCCCCCTGTAAGGACTCCGCCCATCTCTTCCTCTATACGGACTCCTTGGCCCATCCCTGCCTCTGTAAGGGCTGCTCCTCCTGTCTCGGCCAGTGTCGTACGGCCGTGACCGAGTACCGGGGCTGGGGCTAGGGCTGCGCTGCCGCCTCCTCACCCCATGCCTGGGACTAGGGCTGCGCTGTCGCCTTCTCACCCGGGGACTCGGGCTACGGCCAGGCCTACGGTTGGGACTTCTGCTCGCGCTTCTGTTGTATCGCCCCCTGGGCTCCCGGTCCCGGCCCGCGCTGCCCTCGCGTCGGCCCGTCCTCTCATCATCCCTCCCCCTGTCAGCCCGCCCGTGCTCCCTGCCTCCTGCACGTGCGGCAGCAGAGCGGCCTCTCTGCTTCGGGGCAAGGGGTGCGAGCAAGGAACAGAGGGATGGGTGACGAACAGAGCAATGGACACACATCACAAAACGAACCCTGCTGTACCTGATCCCCGCCTCTGCCCGCCCGTGCTCCCTGCCTCCTGCACGCGCTGCAACAGAGCGGCCTCTCTGCGTTTCAGCACAATGGGTGAGCACAGTGGCACAGTGACAGCAACAACCGACGGATAGGTGAGAAAGAAAACTCGGATGGATGGAATGGTCAGATGTGAGCTTTGGAGACGTCTCAAAACTGGAATACGGATGGATGGCATGGTCAGATGTGAGCTTTTGAGACGTCTCAAAAGTGGAATACGGATGGATGACATGGTCATATGTGAGCTTTTGAGACGTCTCAAAAATGGAATACGGATGGATGGCATGGTCAGATGTGAGCTTTTGAGACGTCTCAAAAGTGGAATACAGATGGATGGCATGGTCAGATGTGAGCTTTTGAGACGTCTCAAAAATGGAATACGGATGGATGGCATGGTCAGATGTGAGCTTTTGAGACATCTCAAAAGTGGAATACGGATGGATGGCATGGTCAGATGTGAGCTTTTGAGACGTCTCAAAAATGGAATACGGATGGATGGCATGGTCAGATGTGAGCTTTTGAGACATCTCAAAAGTGGAATACGGATGGATGGCATGGTCAGATGTGAGCTTTTGAGACGTCTCAAAAATGGAATACGGATGGATGGCATGGTCAGATGTGAGCTTTTGAGACGTCTCAAAAGTGGAATACGGATGGATGGCATGGTCAGATGTGAGCTTTTGAGACGTCTCAAAAGTGGAATACGGATGGATTGCATGGTCAGATGTGAGCTTTTGAGACGTCTCAAAAGTGGAATACGGATGGATGGCATGGTCAGATGTGAGCTTTTGAGACGTCTCAAAAGTGGAATACGGATGGATGGCATGGTCAGATGTGAGCTTTTGAGACGTCTCAAAAGTGGAATACGGATGGATGGCATGGTCAGATGTGAGCTTTTGAGACGTCTCAAAAGTGGAATACGGATGGATGGCATGGTCAGATGTGAGCTTTTGAGACGTCTCAAAAATGGAATACGGATGGATGGCATGGTCAGATGTGAGCTTTTGAGACGTCTCAAAAGTGGAATACGGATGGATGGCATGGTCAGATGAGAGCTTTTGAGACGTCTCAAAAGTGGAATACGGATGGATGGCATGGTCACGGATAAAACACGAGATCTGAAGAGCGGAGCGGTGCTGTGCGGTGCCGTGCGGTGCAGCGCCTTGACCTTGTTTGTGTCACTTTTGACAACCCTCAAAAGTGACCCTCAAAACCTCACCTGTGTCGAATTACCTGAACTACCTAATCTCGACCTGCCCATCTAACAATCTCACCCCAAGGCAGCTCACCTCATCCAACAGCATCTGTCTCAGCCTCTGTGCTTCTGCTGCCACCTCGTCTCCTCGCCTCCTCTCCTCCTCCATCCTCCTCCTCTCCTCCTCCATCCTCCTCCTCTCCTCCTCCCTCCTCCTTTCCTCCTCTTCCTCCTCTATTCGCATCCTCTCCATCCTCTCCTCCTCCTCTATCCACTCCCTCTCCCTCCGCTCCTCCTCCTCCTGCATCCTCCTCTCTTCCTCCTCCTAAGTCACACAGAAAGAAAGACAAACAGAAAGACAGTCCAGGCAGAAACGAAATGACTGGGAGGGACGGAATCAAGCAACATCCAGACACAAACGATTGACCCCAGCTAGTCAAGGTTCCGAAAGTAGGAGCATGCTGCTCCAAAGAGAGGGCAACAAACATTTTAGAGACAGCAGCCTCACTTGTAGCTGCCACATTTCCTCCGCTTCCTCCAACTGTCTGAGCCTCTCCGCCTCCTTCTAATACACCTCGCAAGTGGTTCTCATCTAAGGTGCGTATACAATATTTCTAAGTGTAGCAATGATTTTTTTTTTAGAAGGTTCAAAAAGTCTCTGCTAAGGTGCGCAATAAGTTGTTTCGAGAATAGAGGGGCCTCACCTCCTGCCGCCGTCTCTCCTCCTCTTCCTCCAATTGCCTGAGCCTTTCCGCTTCCTCCTCCTCTTCCCGTCGCCGCTGCTCCTCCTCCTCCCTGCAAAAGAGAGAGCCATGAGAAAGAGGCGTTAGGAATCATAGCGAAGCAGAGAGAGGAAGGTCACCGAGGGGTTTGGCAGCGTCTCAAAACTCAGAACGCGAGAGGGGACATGCGTTGGTTCTGTGAATCTAGGTGACTTCTGAGCCGACTCAAAAGTCAACTCAGAATGCGAGAGGGGACATGCGTTGGTTCTGTGAATCTAGGTGACTTCTGAGCCGACTCAAAAGTCAACTCAGAATGCGAGAGGGGACATGCGTTGGTTCTGTGAATCTAGGTGACTTTTGAGTCGACTCAAAAGTCAACTCAGAACGCGGGAGGGGACATGCGTTGGCTCTGTGAATCTGTAATCCTCACCGGCGCACCCTCTCTTCCTCCTCCCGCGCCTTCCGCTCCTCCTCCTCCTTCCTCTCCCTCTCCGCCCGCTCTCTCTCTGCCCTCCTCCGCTCCTCCCGCTCCCGCAGCTGCCTCTCCTCCTCTGCTCGCTGCTCCCTTGTAAATCGCCTTCTTCGCACGTTCCTCTCGTCAAAGTAATCACCACCGTCGATCTCCAGCTGCACCCTCGCAAGAGATGACGATCCTTCCTGCAAGATACCGTTAAAGGGGAAGTTGAGAAGGAGAGGGAGGGGTATGGGGGGAACTGTCAATAGCGGACAGGTGGGCTGCGGAGGCCTTACTTCCATCAACTCGTGCTGCAAGAGATGACGATCCTTCCTGCAAGATACCGTTTAAGGGGAAGTTGAGAAGGAGAGGGAGGGGTATGGGGGGAACTGTCAATAGCGGACAGGTGGGCTGCGGAGGCCTTACTTCCATCAACTCGTGCTGCAAGAGATGACGATCCTTCCTGCAAGATACCGTTTAAGGGGAAGTTGAGAAGGAGAGGGAGGGGTATGGGGGGGAACTGTCAATAGCGGACAGGTGGGCTGCGGAGGCCTTACTTCCATCAACTCGTGCTGCAAGAGATGACAATCCTTCCTGCAAGATACCGTTTAAGGGGAAGTTGAGAAGGAGAGGGAGGGGTATGGGGGGGAACTGTCAATAGCGGACAGGTGAACTGCGGAGGCCTTACTTCCATTAACTCGTGCTACAAGAGATGACGATCCTTCCTGCAAGATACCGTTTAAGGGGAAGTTGAGAAGGAGAGAGAGGGGTATGGCGGGGAGGGGAGAGAAGGGGGGGGGGGGGGGGGAGCAATGAAAAGGAGCCACACTCGTTTCTGTCGTCTAGAGCCCCACCATAAAACGCAAGCTGCACTCTCGCTAGGAACGTGCGTGTGAATGTGTGCTGTGCATGTGTGTGTGCTGTGCGTGTGTGTGTGCTGTGCGTGTGTGTGTGCTGTGCGTGTGTGTGTGCTGTGCGTGTGTGTGTGCTGTGCGTGTGTGTGTGCTGTGCGTGTGTGTGTGCTGTGCATGTGTGTGTGTGTGTGTGTGTGTGTGTGTGTGTGTGTGTGTGCGCGCGCGTGCACATATCACTCCCTCTCACCTTCTTCACAGCGTGTCGAGCCAGCGCCTTAACTGCATCACAGAACGTGCTGTGGCTGCCGAACCTCACCATCACGTCCGTCTCCAGCTTTAGCGCCAAACCTGCTCCCAAACCTAATCCCAAACCAGCCCTTCCCGATGCTGCTGGACCAGCAACCCCCAGGGTTCGTCCTTGTGTGACTTTAGCGGAGGGGAGCTCCTCGTTGGGGTCTAGAAGCTCGATGTTCCTGTAACGAGGGAGGGGGGGAAAGAGGGAGGAGGGTATAAAGGACCAGCCGCTTAATAACCGCTTTGTTAGAGTAGCAGGGGGAGGAGGGAAGGGGGGCTTTAATGACGCGCACATATATGACAGCGAACTTTGAGATACCTAGAAGTGCTGTTGTTCCTGTAACGAGAGATGCAATTCAGGACGAACGTGAACCAAGAGGGTCAGGGAACACGTGAACGAGAAAGGTAACACTTAAGCAGTATACGTAGTAATCCAGATCCAATCAGCTGTCCTGAAAATCCTACCTGGCTATGCATCTGATGAGCCTACCTGATTCTGCACCTGATGATCCCACGTACAGCTGGTGCCCCCACCTGATGTATCAACTGACGATCTCACCTTATGATCTTATGTGATAATCTCACTTGATGTAGCGCCTAATGATTTCACCTGATTTTCCACCTGGTGGCTCTACCTGACGGGACCAAACGAGGAGAAGACGGTGTGAGCGATCAGCAGCGACGGCTTCGTGGAAACCCGCTCTTCCGCCAACCAACGGCACGGAATGCCGCATACCCTCAGCGTATCCGGGCGCTTTTCCGAACCACCCTTCCTTCCGGAATCGTCTGCCAGCCAATCACGCATCAGCTCGCCATAAGACGGCGAATCTGCTGACTCAGCATGACACGTAATCCGAGCCGCGGAAACCCTAGTTTCCCATTTTTCGAAGTTAGAGACCACAGAAGATGCTACGGATCCTCCTGAAGTTCCCCATAATAGAAGCGTCGCCACGGCAATTGGCTCGCCACGTGTGATCTTATCGAGGTTCTTCGTCCAAGAAATCGTGAGATCTTTCTCGTTATAAGCCGGCCAATTGGAAGCCGACGCGTGGGATCTGTACTTCGCCTCGATCGCTTCGCGCAGCTCCCATTGGTTGACGAGCTTCGGTAACCCGTCTTGTCGCACGAAGGAAAGCGAGATCGCACGGTACGGCACAAGCGAGAGGCCATGGCCGACACGCAAGTCTGAAATATCTTCCTTCTCCTTCTGAACTAGCACAGGAACTAGGCTTGTCGCCATAGCTCCTCCGTCTCGCGAAGCACGATTTTAGGTCAGTAAACTAACTCCCACACAAGATTCTAGCATCTGGAGATTCTCGGTTGAGCCGCCTCCTGGTCCTGGATTATGGTGTCAACAAATTCGAAGGAGAGCAGGAGAGTTGAAAATGCATATAAGATCAGGTTTTTGATAGTAGTTGTGAGTACACCGCAATGCAACGCGCAAAAAATTTGTTGCATATATTGCCTTGTCATATAACAGAAAACAGCTGATACCAGTATTATCTAAGAACAGCAGTAACAAATACTTGCTGGTCATATCAGTTTGCGCATCATAACCCCTGATACCTAGCGAATACTAGAAAATCCAGGTACGGTAAATTAGTCGGCATGAAAGGACAACCTCAGCGAGGAGAGGCAATCCAAAAGATCGCCATCAGCCATCAGAGTATGGTGTAATCATGAAATAGGATTTGTTACGATGGCGGAGGGAGGCAGTAAAGGTACAAGGGAGTTCTGTCAGACAAGATGGCTTAATCAAGGCAGACGGAATCCTGAGGACAAAGGGGGCCAATCAGGCATACAGTTTCAAATCAAGGGAGAAGAGCATAGAGACAAGGAGGAAGACTGTTCCGATCGAGGTAGAAGAGCGTCTCAGTAGAGGAAAAAGATTGCTTCAATCGAGGTAGAAGAGGGTGACGATTTTGCCCATGTCCTTGGCCTCCTGACACGTCTCCATGAGCAGCCGACTGTCATGGAAGGCGAAACAGATCACATGCTCCACCTCCGATAGAATGTCCATGTTGCACAGCCTGTGAGGCAGAAAGAGGGCGGGGGAGGGGAGAAGGGGGGGGAGAGAGAGGAAGACGGGAGGAGTGAGGAGTTGCTGTTGATGCCAGAGCAAACAGACAGTCACCCGGACGCAGATGACATATTTCACCTCCAATAGAATGCCCATGGGCCTAAAAATTGGAGGTAGACGGGGGCACAGGGGAGCACAGGGGAGTGAGGAGTTGCTGTTGATGGGCCTGAAACTTCATGCCAGAACAAACAGACAGTCACCTGGATGAGGATCACATACTCCACCTCTGATAAGAGCCCACATGTTGCACAGCCTGTGCAACACATGGGCAGAGGAAGCACAGGGGTGGAGGCTAGTGCAGGAGAGAGGGCGAGGGTGACGAAAGCGAGGGGCTTAGGGGATAGGGGATATGAGGTAGGAATGAGCGGGAGGCGGGCGAGCGATGCAGCTCACATCACATCCACATTCCCCATGCTCGCCTCCCACAGGTCCCCCAAGCGGCATAGGCTGTGCGCAGGACTGAGAATTCTCAAGTGGCACACAGACAGCAGGTGCGCACATGGCACATGGGCGGAGCGATGTGGGAAGGGTCCAGCGGGCAGGTTGAAGCAGAAGCAGGAACAGGAAATGGGGCAGGTTGAAGCAGGAACAGGAACAGGAAATGGGGCAGGTTGAAGCAGGAACAGGAACAGGAAATGGGGCAGGTTGAAGCAGGAACAGGAACAGGAAATGGGGCAGGTTGAAGCAGGAACAGGAACAGGAAATGGGGCAGGTTGAAGCAGGAACAGGAACAGGAAATGGGGCAGGTTGAAGCAGGAACAGGAACAGGAAATGGGGCAGGTTGAAGCAGGAACAGGAACAGGAAATGGGGCAGGTTGAAGCAGGAACAGGAACAGGAAATGGGGCAGGTTGAAGCAGGAACAGGAACAGGAAATGGGGCAGGTTGAAGCAGGAACAGGAACAGGAAATGGGGCAGGTTGAAGCAGGAACAGGAACAGGAAATGGGGCAGGTTGAAGCAGGAACAGGAACAGGAAATGGGGCAGGTTGAAGCAGGAACAGGAACAGGAAATGGGGCAGGTTGAAGCAGGAACAGGAACAGGAAATGGGGCAGGTTGAAGCAGGAACAGGAACAGGAAATGGGGCAGGTTGAAGCAGGAACAGGAACAGGAAATGGGGCAGGGCAGCAGGCAATACGTGCTGGCTGGAAAGGCCTCGAGCCATACCTGCTTGCTTCAAGCAGTGGCAGATGGTCGTTGTGGGGCTTCTCCACCAGATTCTCCACCTGCCAGTCCATGGGCAGCACACGAGGAGAGGGGGAAAGGGGGGGGGGGGGGGAGTGAAGGGAGAGAGTACGAGGAAGAGGAGGGCAAGGGGGGAGAACGATGCATGAGGCAGATGGTCGTTGTGTGGCTTCTCCATTAGATTCTCCACCTGCCAGACTTTGGGCAGCAGTCTGAAGAGAGAGCAGGAGGGATTAGGAGCAGGAGGAGAGAAAGCAAGGGGATATGAGGCAGAAAGTACTTGTGAGGCTTCTTGTCTAGGTTCACGTTCCTAGCACTCGCCTTTGTCCTCTCCTTCCCTATCCCTTCTTGACTCAACTTTTCCACCAACTCCCCGTTCTCACCTTTTTTAGCACGCTCCTCCTGGCTCTCAGGCGGCTGCTTTTTCAGCGACTGGGGCAGGATGATCAGCAGCTGCTAGCTCTCACCTTCGTCCTTTCGCCCCTCTCGCCCCTTCACCTTCTCACTCACCTTCTTGAGCAGCTCCTGACTCTCAGGCGGCTGCTTCCCTAGAGACTGTGGCAGGATGACGGTGAGGAGCTCTGCCTTCTCCGCCCTCAGCGCCCCGCGAATCACTGCTGCGTTCGTTCCTGCTGCGCCTGATGTGTAGATGTGGTTGTTCTGCACGCAAGGAGGGGAGGGTGGGGGGAAGGGGGATGTTTCACATGTGAGGCGACTGCTTGCCTCAGCGCCCCCGCGTATCACCGCCGCGTTCGAGCCAGCCAGCCCCGACGTGTAGATGTGGTTGTTCTGTGCGCGGGGGGAAGGCGAGGGGAGAGGGAGGGGGAGGGGAACAGGGGGGGAGGGGGGAGGAGGGGGAAGAGGAAGCATAGGATCAGTGCCACGTTTGTGCCCGCTGCGCCTAATGTGTGGATGTGGTTTTTTGCACGCAGATGGGGGGGGGGGGGGGGGAGAAGGGAGGGGAAGGGAGATGCTCCACATGTGAGGGTGAAGGAGGGGACAGGGTTTATCACACATGAGGATGTTGAGGGAAGTGGGGGGAGCGTGAGTAGTGAGAGGGGGAGCGGGGACAAGGGGATCGGGGAAAGGAAGAGTAGGGACCGGCGGTTTTAGTTATTGTGGCTGTTTTGGTTGGAAAGGAAAAGGAGGAAAAGTGGGGATGGGAAGTGGACAGGACACACAGCACACAGCATACGGCACACAGCACTCAACACACAGGAGCACACGGCACACAGAGCGCGTCTCACAGTGATGATCATCGCATAGCTGAGGATCTCGATGAGCTGCTGATGCATGAAGCCCATGTTGCGCGTGCCAGAAAGAACACCCAATACAGCCCCCCTCAGGTGGTCATACCGTAATGATCATGGCGTAGCTGAGGATTTCAATCAGCTGCTGGTGCATGAACCCCATGTTGCGCGTGCCAAAGAAGCCAATGTTCCGCGGCCCCGATTGCTGGATGGCCAGCAGCTCCTGCAAATAGTCCACGTCAGGGGGGCTCCTCTTCACCTCCGTCACCAGCGTCGTCGCCCCCGTGGTGATCGCCTCCATCTGTGTGGGTAGATCCTCTGTGAACATCCGGACCTGCATGCCCTTATCCATTCCCCGCCCCTGCCGCATCTCCACGCCCCTCCCCTCCTGCCGCCCAGCTAGCCTCCCCTCCTGCTTGCCCCCCAGACCACCTCCCCCAGATGATTGTCCATCTGAGCGTGCCGATCTCGAAAATGAGTCTTCTTCCTGTCCTGCGGTGGCAGCTCGCGGTCTCACGGTCCGGGCACCCTGTGAACCGTGTGTACTGTGGGTGGAGTCAAGGGAGCAGAGATGCTGCGGTTGCTGGCAGTGCAGCGACGGCCCGCGGAGAGGCCAGGAACGCCTTGGGAACGCCGAGCTGCTCCAGCTGATGAGGGTCGCTCGGTGGTGACTGGTGATTGGTGTGAGTGGTGCCACGTGTCGGCGTAGGTGTGACGTGCACCTGGGGAAGGAAGAGGGATTGGACAACTGGTGAGTGGCCTGATTGTTGCGGGCTCATGTATTGAGTAATGAGACACCTTATCTTGTAAATAGTGAGTGAAATGGTTCTTGGGATGGCTTCTGAAAAGTGCTAAAATGCGTGACTATGAGGTCGCGAGGGGGCTTGAAGATCTGGATTCGGACGGTAAATGATTTGGCTGACAGGCATTGTGATTCTTTACTGCAGAGGCTGAAACGAGGAGCGGAGTTTCACTGTCCCAAGGTTATATGTAGACTTGTGCGTTGTTTCGTGGGGAATATGCTCCGTTATTAGCACTGTGTTACTGGCCTGTTTGTTTCATGAAACGCAGTACAGAAGATCATGGCAGGTGAACGAGAGAGTGCGGGTGAATGAGATGCGATGACGACGGGGAAACAAAAGCGGCAGGTAGAGCAGAACGAGAGGGATGCCAAGAATTCAACCGAATGAAGGCGACATGGATACATATATCCATTTATCCATCATATGTGACGCTAGGGAATCACTTTTTGAGAAGTCCCAGAAGTGGTAAATGGCAACATGGATCCATCTAACGTCACGGGTGACGCTAAGGATCATAATGATAAGATGCTCTGCCATGACAAAAAGCGGAGCCGCGGATTGCGAGCTGCTTCTTTTCTTAATCAGCCCCATCACGTACCCGACGCTGTGCAGCTGCGTCGGCGAAGCGATCACGGATGGTCGAACAGCCAACATCAGATCTCCGTGAAGGATCCAAAAACTTATGTTACTTTCAAATATATCTCCAAAATGTGTTTCGAATCCCTGAAATAATCAATGGCTCGCGTGAACTATGGGTGTTGAAGGTGCACCGTACGGTGACAAGCTCAAGATGGGGATTCAGGCCAGGTCGACTGTAAGAATCAAAGCTCGCTGACAAGCCTTCAACCAAATCCACTTTGAACATTCAGACAGCTAAAGCTCAAGCTCCATTATGCTTAGGAAACCAGTGTCACGAATTGCTAGGACGCCATGAAGCTACAATGGGACCAGGAATATGAGCTAAAATCAAGGCTGGTCCAAAATACGAGATACTACGTTTGGCTGGAGGAATGCGCCTGCGGAGTGTTAGGCTGCGCAGAATAATCGGCGCGAATGCTGGGTGCAAACTCGAAGTACCTGGTCCGGGCAGCCGAAATGGCGGAGTCGAAATTCTTTATTGGCGAATGAAAACACGCCTGGGGGTGAGAGCTGGAGCGATGATTGGGTCACGTGGTAACGAAGACAGCTTCGATTGGTCGGTATACGATTTTGTCCACGACGAAAGGGTACCTTCCGCCTCAGCCACTGTCCTTTCCGCGTCAGCGCGGATACGCCAATGACGTCTGGGGCTTTGGCGAAATAATCGTCTCAATAACTACAACAGTAGGTTACGGTTGTACCGTAATATATTTCGCTAGATCCTTTCACTGACAAGCAAATGCATTCTTGCTCATTCTGCACCGATTGCCAACAGATGCATATGCGTGGCAAAGAAGAACTGAATAAAGGCTGGGAACTCCAAGAACTCAATGTGAGCCGCTCTTCCCAGCAGACGGTTCAGATTATGTTGCTGTTGTGGCAACTCAAAGTTAACGTCACATCGGGTGAATGATCGATCCCCAGACGTCCACGAAGGATGGGAGAGAAATGGCGCAAGGCAGCCTTCCACCATGGATGTGTACACGCCACCAAGTCGAGCATCCCTCAGCACCGCACCGAAGACCTCAAGACGCGCGGAATGATATGGCACATATTCATCCTGAGATGGTTCGGGGGTGGGTGGACAAATGGGTGGCAGGTGAGAATGATGAGCAGAAGAACAAGGGAGGATGAGAGGAGTGCAGAAGGGGGAGGGTGTTTAAGAAATAACTCGAGTGAACGGGAATATGCGTCTAGTGTATGGACAATGAGAAAACAGGCATTTTCCAGGGAGGCAGAATGAGGTGAGGCAAGGGGAGGAAAGCACCTGGGGCGAGGCGAAGAGAACAATGTGCTTGAAGTTGACCCACTCCTGGCGCTGCAGACATGAAGGAGAAAGTAAAATTGAGAAAGAAAAGCAAGCACACAGCGAGTTCAGCAGCGCGTGGATTATTCATTCATCCAGGGGACGAAGTTGAGATTGAGGCACACGGATCATGGCACATTGCAAGTCAGAAATCAAGTCAGGGATTTTCTTCAGAGAAACACGGGCAGGCTAACCTGAGAGAGGCGGTAGATGCAGGAGTCGCGGACGTTGAGTGAATCAGAGAAGGATAATTGGCGCATGAGGGAGGAGGGGTCGAGGCGCTTGAGCAGCCACATGCCGCCCGTGACAAGGGAATTGGAGTGGTACATGTAGCCCAAGTGGGGGCCGCAGAAGGAGAGGTACAGGTGCAGGTAGGGCAGGTAGGGACGCATGCTCTCGTCTGGAAGAGAGGGAGGCAAAGTGGGGTGTGGATGGAATGAAGAGGAATGTACAAAGGAGTTGGAGTGGTACATCTAGGCCAGGTGGGGCCCGCAGAAGGAGAGGTAGAGATGCAGGTAGGGCAGGTACGGACGCATGCTGTGGTCTGGAAGAGAGAGGGAAGGAGGGTTGAATGAAAGCGTGAGTACAAACGAAATGAGAGGTGCGGCCCACTGAAGGACCGGTAGAAATGCAGGTAGGGCAGGCAGGGGTGCATGCTGTCATCTGGCGCCAGGTGCAAGTCATGGGGATGGAGGGCATGGGTTTGGAGGGCATGGGGTTGGAAGGCGAGTGACAGAATCATTACCCCCCAGTGCCATCATCACCCCCCAGTGCCATCATTACCCCCCAGTGCCATCATTACCCCCCAGTGCCATCATTACCCCCCAGTGCCATCATTACCCCCCAGTGCCATCATTAATCCCCAGTGCCATCATTACCCCCCAGTGCCATCATTACCTCCCAGTGCCGCCCATTACCCCCCAGTGCCTCCCAGTGCCGCTCATTACCTGCCAGCACCGCCCATTACTTGCCAGTGCCGCCCATTACCTGCCAGTGCCGCCCGCACGACAAGGTTGCCAATGGAGTAACCCACAAAGGACAACCGCTGCAACACGTTCTTCCTATTGGGCCGGTCGATCGGCCCAAACATGCTGCGTAACGCGGTTACCACCTCGTGCGCCAGGCGAGCACCCATCGCCTCCACTCCACTCAGGTCGGGCGCGCGGGCGGGCGAGTGCGACGAGGAGGACGGGGAGGGGGAGTGCGGGGCGGCGGAGTTTGTTTCGTTGCTCTCGGCCATGAGGCACTCAATGTCCGGGTCTAGCAGTCGCCAGCTGTCGCGCACGAGCCTCAGGTCCATGCGGTGGCCCTGATAGCCATGCACAAACACCACCACATGCTTCCCCCGTATCGCCTTCCTGCCACCCTCCCCTCCTGTCGAACCTGCACCAGATAAACCTGGAGATTTCGTGCCTGCTGCTGCTGCTGCTGCTGCTGAGAGACGAGAGGTGGTTGAGATGGGTGGGGATGGGTGGACGGTGGGGCGAGGAAAGGCAGAAGGGTATGGAGGCGGGCGGGTGGGGTTGCAGGGAGGAGAGGAGGGAGTCGAGAGAGGTGGAGGTGGTGGGGAGGAGGGAGGGGGACATGGGGAGGGGAGGACTGGGGAAGGTGAATGTGGGATTACTGGCGTCGATGGCAGCAGCAGCAGCAGCAAAGCTGGCAGAGGAAGCAGCAGTGGTGGGAGTGGAGGGAGAGGCGGGGGTGGTGGGGGTGTGGGGCGTGGGGGTGAGAGGAGGGGAGGAGATTGAGGAGGGGGCGGTGAGGAGGAGAGGCAGCAGCGAGTGGCAGAAGAGCAGCGGCTGCATGAGTGGGCGGGAGTAGAGACGCATGTCCTGCAGGCAGGCCGACACGGAAGGCAGTGAGCGCTGGGGGGAAGCAGAGGCGAACAGGCAGGGCGGGATGAGGGAAGAAGGGAGGGGGATGGCGGAGAGGTGAGGCACACTGTGAGTGTATTGGGCATGAGCGGGCGGGAGTAGAGACACACGTCCTGCTGGCAGGACGGCATGCAGGGCAGTGCACGCTGGGGGGAAGCAGAGAAAACACATGGGAAGGAGGCTGAAGGAGAGGTGGGGGCAGTGTCAGGGTATTGGGCATGAGTGGGCGGGAGTACAGATGCTAATGGTGCAGGGCGAACAGCAGGCACGCACAGCACCAGCAAGTGGAACGCACGGAAATGAGGAGTAACCGAAGAACAAACAAGTAAAACAAAGAGCGTGGCAGGTAGCATCAAGAGAAGAAGAATACCAGGTTGAGAGTGGAGGTAAGGACGGGTCGAGGCAGCAGCTGCGGCCGGCAGGGAGGAAGGGCGAGCACGGAGGAGGGCACTGCTGGCATGGCTGCCCGCACCTGGCGAGCCAAGGCTGCTGACAGGAGCGCTAGCTGAGAGGGGTGTGGGGGGTGAGAGTTGTGGCGGAGGGAGGAGGAGGGATTGGGGATGCAGTTATGGCAGTGGTGGGTTGGCAGGGAGATTATAGAGGAGGGCGCTGCTGTCATGGCCGCCCGCACCAAGGCTGCTGACAGGAGAGCCAGCTGAGAGGGGTGTGGGGGGAGAGAGGTGTGTTGTGAGGGGTATGGGATAGGGACGCAGCAGTCAGATGAGGACTGTGGTGGGTTGGCAGGGAGAGCATGGCGGGGGCACGCTTTTGAGTCGACTAAAAAACGGGGAGCATGGCGGGGGCACTGAAGGCATTGCGGGCTGCACCTGGGGAGCCAGGGCTGCTGACAGGAACCCCTGCTGAGAGGGGTGTGGGGGGAGAGAGACAAGCGATATCGTTCCGCTTGTCTTGGACCGAACTGCCTGGCTGTGGTGACATCGGGCCAGCGGTTGAGGTCGAATAGCTGCTCCGTCTGCACAGGCGAGGAGGATGCATGCACTTATGGCGCTGCCTCCCTCCCCTGCCTCACTCAACTCGATTCTCACTTGGACCATTTCACACGCTCAGCAGAAGGCAAACGACTCACATCCTTCTGTTTGTCTTGAGGCACGAACTGCCTGGCTGTGGTGACATCGGGCCATCGGTCGAGGCCAAAGAGCTGCTCTGTCTGCATGGGAGAGGAGGAAGAATACACCCACAGCGCTGCCTCCCGTGATTGGTTTGCCACCCACTGCTGCCGCAGCACAGCGCAAAGCTCCACGTGGCACAGCCTGGTTGGACGGGAGGAGGGGCGTGGACAAGTGGGATGCATGGATGAAGGACCAACCTTGAGAATTATCAAGAGAAGTAGGGGTGGGAAGCGCATGCAGAAACAGTGCGCATGTCAGGAACCTGCTTAGGTTAGCAAGTGCTTTGGCTTTATCGCTTAGGAGGGGTGACGAGGAAGGAGGGAGGGACCGAGTTGGGCAAAAACGCTTTCACTGGCACGCAAAACTCTTGTGGCACAAGACGTACATGTGCAAAAGTTCATGTGCATGCCACTCACTTGTGCATGCTGAGGAAGGACGTCCAGTACGCAGTCACGAGACTCCTATTAAAACAACCAAGAGCAGTGGAGGCTCACTTGTGCATGCTGAGGAAGGACGTCCAGTACGCAGTCACGAGACCCTTTGCCGCAACCTTCACTGCTTCCACTTCTTCCTCCGTTAAACTCACCCTCCCAGCAGTCACAGCCACCCTGGTGGTGGTGGTGGTATCCCTCTTCCCCACCTGACTGCCTGTCCCATCCTCTGCACTCAACTCCCCTTTCCCATCTTCCTCTCTGCTTCCACCCCCAGCATCGTTAACCCCATCACCCACACCATCACTACCATCACCAACGCTCGTCACCGTGCCCGACCCACCACCACTCTGCTCCCCACCCCCATCACCCCCCACAGCCACACCTTCTCCCTCCCCCTCCTGTGCTCTCCCCTTCAATCCATTGTCACCTCCGTTACAGTCACCTTCACCCCCTTCACGGCCCTCTGCTGTCTCCCCACTCCCACTCGCGCCTCTCTCTGCTGCTGCACCTGGCCCCTCACTTCTGCTCGCCTCCACTCCACCGGATTTCGCCCCTGCCCTGTCAGCATCTGCCCCGTCAGCATCTGCCACGTCAGCACGTTCCCTGTCAGAAGATGCCCTGTCAGCATTTTCTCTGTCGGACTGACCCATCAGCTTACGCAGTGCACTGGCGAGCACAGGAGAGCAGAGTGACTGGAAAAAAGGGGGAAGGAGAAGGGCCAATGGAGGCGGGATTTTTGAGACGTCTCAAAAATACCCTCTCTTCACAGGGCCAATGGAGACGGGAGGAAGGCAGTAGGGATGCGAGGGAAAGTGCGGAGCGGCAAGGGGGCCATGAGAGAGTGCAGGGTGACTTTTGAGTCGACTCAAAAGTCACCTCGTTAGAGTGCAGGGTTGTTTGTTATCCCCATAAGCTGCATGCACTCCGATGCAAAAGAAACTCTGTAACTGCAAATGGTTATGTGACCATGAAGAAAAATCATACACCTACACCCACACACACACATACAACCACACCCACACCCACACACACCCACACACACACACACACACACACACACACACACCCACACACACACACACACACACACACACCCACACACACACACGCACCCACACCCACCACCTCCCCTTCCCCCCACACGTGCACACACACCCACGCACACCTGCTCAGCCATGTCTGGTGGAGGCAGCAGGTGGTGCAGGTTGTATGTGGCAGCAAGGGCAGTGTTAAGGGAGCGCAGGAGGAGAGAGGACTCGAGCAGCAGACACGCCATGGTCCTTGTTGATGGGTCTGCGAGCTGCTCTTGGCAGTAATTTCACAGAAAGCAAAGAGTTGGGAGGGGAGCGGGGGGAGGGAGTACGGGTGTGTGTGTGTGTGTGAGCATGGTGACAGGACCCAAGTAGAAGACACGCCATGGTTGTTGCTGAGGGGTCTGTTAGCTGCAAGGGAGGAGGGAGTACGGGTGTGTGTGTGTGTGTGAGCATGGTGACAGGACCCAAGTAGAAGACACGCCATGGTTGTTGCTGAGGGGTCTGTTAGCTGCAAGGGAGGAGGGAGTACGGGTGTGTGTGTGTGTGTGAGCATGGTGATAGGACCCAAGTAGAAGACACGCCATGGTTGTTGCTGAGGGGTCTGTTAGCTGCAAGGGAGGAGGGAGTACGGGTGTGTGTGTGTGTGTGAGCATGGTGACAGGACCCAAGTAGAAGACACGCCATGGTTGTTGCTGAGGGGTCTGTTAGCTGCAAGGGAGGAGGGAGTGGCGTGTGACCAGAGGAGGTGGTCTGAAGGGAGAAGATAGTGTGAGAAAAAGGACTCAAATAACGGACATGCCATGGTTGCTGTTGAGGGGTCTGCTAGCTGCAGGGGGGTAAAGGGAATGGGGGTGTGATGGGCGGAACTGGAGTGAGCAGAGGGAGAAAGAGGAGTTGAGCGAGAGACACGCCGTGCTCTGCGCGGATGGGTCTGTGATGTGAGCTGCAGGCAGCGCAGTGAGAGGCACGGAGAGCCCAGGGGAGGAGAGAGTGGGTGTGACGGGACAGGAGCAGCTGGTGTGTGAGCGCACAAAGAGAGGACCCAAGCAGCAACCAGTGGCATGGTTCTTCTGGATGGGCTTGCGAGCTGCAGGGGAAGATTTTTGAGTTGACTCAAGTATTGCCTCCAAGTTTGCGGGCTGCAGGGGAAGAGGGAGTGAGTGTGAAGGGAGGAGCTAGTGCGTGCACAGAAAGAGAAGAGGACTCAACCAGCAGACATCCCATGGTCCTCGTGTGGATGGGTGTACGGGCTACATCCCTAATTCTGCACGCTCACAGCCAGACGCACATTCCTCTTCCTCACATTCTCCTCTTCGCCTTGCCGTTCCTCTCCTCTCCTCTCCTTCTCCCTAGCTCCACAACCCCCTGTTCCCCCGCCCACCTGCCAAATCTCAACGCATCTGAACAATCCCCTGTGCTGCGTGATCACAGCCCAACAAACACACTCTACTCCGCTCTTTATATTCTCACCTTTGTCTTGCCATTCTTCTCCTGCTCCCCCGCTGCAGAATCCCCTTTGCTCCCCTGCCTGCTCGCCACTGACCCCTCTGCATTCCCATTACCCGCCACACCAGCAGCAGCCTCCCCACCCCCGATGGGAATGCTCGTTAGCACCTCATCTGGACTCGACTCGCCTGCCACAGCATTACCCACCACCACGCCGCCACCCACCACACCACCCTCCTCCCCTGTGCCCCACCAAAGCTACCCTCCGCCTCATGGAACTCCTCGCTGCCCTCCTCCACATGGTCTCCTGCTGCTGCCCCTGCTGCTGCCCCTGCTGCTGCCCCTGCTGATGCATCAGCACCTGCTGCATCTGCTTCTGATGCACCTGCCCCTGCTGCACCTGCACCAGCTCTGGCTGCATCTGCTGCAGCTGCTGCGTTTGTCACTGCACTTGCAGCTACAGCAGCGTCATCTGCAGCTGCAAATCCGTCTGCACCACCCGCACCAGCCAAGTCCCCACCATCACCAGCCCTGGGAGCATCAGCAGCAATCTCAGCAGGGGCGCCAGCAGCCTGGGATGTAGTGGCAGGGGCGCTGTCACCTTTGGATGTAGCGGCAGGGGTGGGCTGCTGGGTGAGCGGTTGTGAGGAGTTGTCAGTGGTGTAGAAGGTGATTGGAGGCAGGTCGGCCGGTGGAGGGAGTGTGGCAGGAGGGGGTTTCACTGGACGCACAACCCTGGGAGTGGCACGGGAGGACAGGGAGTTGAGAGTGGTGGTAGGGGGTACGGAGAAATTGTGGACAGGGTGCTGAGATGCTTGTGTGGGGAGGGATAAAGGGAGGCAGTGAGAGAGCGGAGGGGAAGGAGGAGGGGAAAGGGGAGGGGAAGGGGAGGGGAGGGAGGGAGAGAGGGGAGGAAGGGGTAATATATATAGAATGCTTCAAAACTTGATTATTCCACATGCCATCCGGGGAGTAACACTGTACTATACCTAACAAGCTAATATGTACCGACCTGGGTCGAAGCGCCGAGTGCAGAGGCGGATTGGAGAAGTGCAGCATGGTGGCATCCACTCCTACTGACCTGGACCGTAACATCCAGTTTTGAGGCGCCTCAAAACTAGGCATGGACCGTAACATCCAGTTTTGAGGCGCCTCAAAACTAGGCATGGACCGTAACATCCAGTTTTGAGGCGCCTCAAAACTAGGCATGGACCGTAACATCCAGTTTTGAGGCGCCTCAAAACTAGGCATGGACCGTAACATCCAGTTTTGAGGCGCCTCAAAACTAGGCATGGACCGTAACATCCAGTTTTGAGGCGCCTCAAAACTAGGCATGGACCGTAACATCCAGTTTTGAGGCGCCTCAAAACTAGGCATGGACCGTAACATCCAGTTTTGAGGCGCCTCAAAACTAGGCATGGACCGTAACATCCAGCTGGGCGAAGTGCATGGTGTCAAATGTGACAGGCGTGTACTCATGCACGTGGTGCCACATGCCCATGCTGCCTGCTGCCACAGACCCACATGTTCCCTGTTTCTGCCACACATACACATGCAGCCTGGTACCGCATGTCTGCCTTTTGAGTTCATTATTCCACTCCTACTGACCTGGGTCGAGGAGCGGAGTGCAGAGGCGGCTTCGAAAAGTGCAGCATGGCGGCATGAACCGTAACATCGAGCTGAGCGAAGTGCATGGTGTCGAATGTGACGGGCGTGTACTCGTGCACGTGGTGCCACATGCCGCCCGGAATGCGCACTATCTGCCGCGCCACCGGGTCGAGATCGTCCGGAGGCACGTTGCCGCGCCCTGCTGTGAAGGGCGCGTGGAGGAGCTCAAAACGGAGAGAGACAGGCTCGTCAAATGGTCTCTGGAGGAAGGGGAACTCGGGGCGCACAAGTGGGAGAAAAGATGCGGGACATAGGGGCATGTCCACACAAGTGGGACATGAGAGGCATGCCGCACGGGTGAGAGTAGGGTACAGGTCGTCAGGAGGCACGTTCAATGTGTACTCGTGCACATGGTGCCACATGCCGCCCGGAATGCGCACTATCTGCCGCGCCACAGGGTCCAGATCGTTTGGAGGCACGTTCCCCCTGCCCGCTGTGAAGGGCGCGTGGAGGAGCTCAAAACGGAGAGACACAGGCTCGTCGAATGGCCTCTGGGGGAACGGTGAACACGGGGTGGACGGATAGAATCACATACACGCACGCGCTCACCAAGCACATCCAAGCACATACAAGAGCATGCAAGTGGGAGAAGAGAAACAGAGCATGAGGGGTCGCACGTATGTGAGTTGGGAACAGGCCGTCAGGGGACACATGGCCTCTGCTCGCTGTGAAGGGCACGTGGAGGAGCTTAAAGCGGAGAGAGACAGACTCGTAAAATGGCCTCTCGTCAAATGGGACGAGAAGGACACAGACAAGCACGAACATACAAGCACACAGATGCGCCACACGTACAACCACCGCCCCACCCACATCCACACACCACTGTGCCACATATACGTACCTTCTGGCGCACGGGCAGGTGGAAGCAGGCCACTTCCCGGAGCCCCACGTCCTGGCGGGCAAAGCGGATGCGGAAGTAACGCGAGTGGTAGCTGCTGTCACTGTCGTCCACCCGCCATGACGTCAGCGCCTCGCCCTTGTGCGTCTCTGGGACTGGGATGGAAAGAGAGGATGGATAGAAGAGGAGGGCTGGGGAGAGTGCGGATCTCTGGGCTGATTTGTCAGTCTGGTCTGGAGTTGATGGGATGGGATGGCAATTGACTTAAATTGAAGCGTCAGGGACTGATGCGATTGACACATCAGGGATTGACGGGATGTTAATGAAACGCCATAAATTGGATGTCACAGAATTGTTAGAGATCGATGTAATATCATAACAATCTCAGAGATTGACAAATACTATGTTGTCAGAGACTGGTTGAGTATCACTGAATCGTCATGAACTGATGGAATGTCAATGAAACGTCAGGACTCAGAAATTGATGAAATGTCAGGGATTGATGGGATGTTGTTGAGATGTCAGGCATTGACGGGAAGTTATTGATTTTAAATGTCAGGCATTGCTGATGGAATGTCTAAGAAATGATGATAAAATGTCAGTCAAGGAGGAAAGGGAACGGAAGGCTGTCGGCTCACATGCGTATTGCAGAACGCGTGACGGCGACGCCAGTCGGCCGGAGCTGTCCCACAGGCACTGCACCTTCACGCCGTACCACCTGCGATTGGACGATGACACGTCAGCACGGACTGAAACCACGGAAAGCCATCATAGATATAATCTTGAAACACACGCACACAGCACAATGACTTGAATTCGGTATGCGCTGCCTGACGTACCCTTGGCATAGCACATAGCAACGCCATCTCAAATGCGTACCCTTGTTTCAGCAGGTCGAGTTTCGAGGGGGCCTCAAATGACGTACCCTTGGCATAGCACATAGCAACGCCATCTCAAATGACGTACCCTTGTTTCAGCAGGTCGAGGTTATGGAAATTGTGGAGGTACACCGCTATTTCCAGCTCTGGCTGGTTCGCCATACTTGACCGTTGATTCGCTTCTATCAACGACGCTGCTCAGCAGGTCGAGACCAGACCTTCGCCTTGAGAGTATCAGCGGATATGCCAGCTCTGGCTGGTTCCTCATTCAGTGTCAGGTCTGGCCCCGAAATACAGTGTCAATGAAGAATGAACCGTTACGATAAAAAGCAGCAAGAAAAGCAGTTACATCGCACATGTCTTGCACGAACGAGAGGCTAGAACGGCGCGTTAGCCATGGCGAACAGAATCATTTACCAGGGACATTGCGGTGAGGGAATGAGAGAGGGAATGCAACTAACGCGTCAAATGCCCCCAATCCCGAGGCTCTCCCATTCCATCTCCCAAACCAACCCAACCAGTGCTGCCGACTGAATTCGGAGAAAAAAAGCTTGGTTGGAATAAGAGTGATTGCACTGTACATTTAGCCTTATTTTGCCATAAAATCCTGATTGTGATTTACATACCATATTCGTTCGATGTCCAACTCTCCTGAACACCGCTGGCCATCCCTTTCTACTTTTGGTATCAGTAGCACCAATTGGGCCGCATTCACATGAGGCTTTTCAACTATGAAATTAGCTAGCAATTGATCAAACTAGCTATCTAAAACGATATCAGCTTCTCAAGGCTCCAGTGCAATGCTATGTTGGCTTCTCATACGTGTTGGTATCCATCCAATCACGACACATCTTCTGCACCATATCTGCTGCATCTGCCACGATCAACAGACGAGTGTCGTCTAGAACCTGGGGAATGGCACAGAGCGAGTGGTGTAACATAAATCAAACGGACAGTCATGCCTGCGCGTCAGGAACATGCTGTTAGGACACAGGTAGGCCACCGCCGAAAATTTTAGAAAGCAGGTCAAACAAGAAAAGAAAAGGTAGTTCGCAGAAGTCCATGGCACCTGAAGAATAAACTTCTCGGCGCCTCCCCGTTTGCTGTCCAGAAAGATAATATACTGTGCCATGGGAATGTCGCTGGAAGAAACGGAGCGAGAGAAAGTGGGGGGAGGAGTCGACGTAAGAGATCGAACGGCTAGAATCAATGTATTGCACATATTGGGACAGCTAGTACCGATAGTAATTGCACAACATCAATGCTGCAGATACCGAGGCGATAGGCGCAACAAGAACCATGGTTGGAAAAGCGGACGAACGGACGAGCGGGTACAGCTGAGCACTGACCATTCAATAAGAACTCCCTTCTGGGCGTTCACCATCCTGCGCGCATCGCTGTTCACAGCCACTAGTAATTCACGCTACTGCGTCGTTGAGCCGCCGTTCATACCACAATCGAATCGCCTGTATTGCCTGACGGAGGTAGGCACGCTCCTAGCTAAGCCGGGCAAAGCCGCGAGGGTGACTGATTGACAAACGAGCTTGTGGTGGCGAGAAATTTGTGGTGGTGAGGAAAATGAGAATCGTTTGAAGTGCCATCGTAACCGTTATTGAGTCAACAAAAATGGATTCAAAAGCAGCTGACTAAATCGATCCTGCATCAACAAGAACGAAACAAGCTGTACACTCGCGGCATGATATATATTGGCTTTCACGGTTTGCTTTACGGTACTCATTTGATTCAGCGTTTACAGCTCAGCACAGAGCACATGACTTCTCCTCACGCCTCAACTTACAAGCGTCAATCAGGACTGGGAGTGGGTTGTGCTGGCAGACGACGGCCTGCGGTCAAAATTGAGCGACACCTTGTCAAATATGTACCCAAACGTCCAATCGTACGATGCCACGTCGACACAGGAAGCCAGTGTGGGGTTTCTTCGCATGGCAAGCTTCCGTGCCATGGTGATCCGTGCCGGCAAGGGCAGCTGGTTGAGTGCCCACTCCAAGAGACCAGCATCTGAATCTGCAAAGTCAGTTGCATGCCTGGAGGGAAGGAGGGAAGGGGTGGATGGACAGCGGATGGGACGGAATGACGGCAAGACCTTTGAGGCGCCTCAGTACCAACCCAACCATGCAAGGGCAGCTGATTAAGAGCCCACTCCAAGAGATAAGCATCTGAGTTTGCCAAGTCAGAGGCATGCCTGGAGGGCAGAAGGACTTGTGACATGATCACCCAAAAAAAGAAAGAAAGAAAGTAAGAATCTGTGCAGGCAAAGAACCACTCAGGTCCCATCACCACCACCACCACCACCACTAGAATCATGACCAGTGTTCCCACTAGCACTGACCACTTGAGGAGGCGGGGGAGGCACACACGGTTGTCAGCAGTCATGCCAATGCAGCTGGCAAGATAGAGGTCCCTCGCATGCTCCAGCTGCGAGTGCAGCGAGTGCGGCAGGTAGGCTCGCAGCACAGGCGCGCTCAGGGACCCCGGCGAGAGAGCAAACGACACCAGCGGCTCCGCCTCCCCCACCACCCACTGCTGCCTTGGATCATCCGGCGGAAAAGGTGTGGCGTCTAGTGCTTTGGCCTGGGAGACGGGAGGGGGAAGACAGGATAGACAAGAGGGGCGCTCAGGGACCCCGGAGAGAGAGCAAACGACACCAGTGGCTCAGCCTCCCACACCACCCGCTGCTGCCTTGGGTCATCTGGTGGGAAGGGCGTGGCGTTCAGTGCCTTGGCCTGGTAAACGGGAGGAAGAAAGGAGAGACAGGACGGGGAAGCAGGAGAGGCAAGTTGTCGGGAAAGGGGGAGGGAGGAAGATGTGAACACGAGGAAGACAGAAGAGGAATGGAGGGAGTGCAGGGACTGTGGCAGGTAGGCTCGCAGCACAGGCGCGCTCAGCGACTCCGACAAAAGAGCGAACGATACCAGCGGCTCCGCCTCCCCCACCACACCACCCACTGCTGCCTCGGGTCATCTGGTGGGAAGGGCGTCGCATTCAGTGCCTTGGCCTGGGAGACGGGAGAGGGAGGACAGGATAGACAAGAGGGGCGCTCAGGGACCCCTGAGAGAGAGCAAACGACACCAGCGGCCCTGCCTCCCCCACCACCCACTGGGTGAGGAAAGAGCAGGTTGAGTTTAAGAAGGCGGCATGGGCCCCGAGGGGAGCGTGTGGGGGATATGCCCGGTCAGTGGTCGGGGTAATGGCATCAGAGCTACTCATTAAGGGGGAAAATTTAGAAGCAGGGGCTTTGAGAGTTGCAAACTCAATGTCCGTGGCTGTCACTGCATGGCCCCCTATGGCGTAGCAGTGCAAAGTGTCAATGTATGATGCCTGGCGTGTGGCGGAGAGGGAGCAAAGTGTCAATGTATGATGCCTGGCGTGTGGCGGAGAGGGAGCAAAGTGTCAATGTATGATGCCTGGCGTGTGGCGGAGAGGGAGCAAAGTGTCAATGTATGATGCCTGGCGTGTGGCGGAGAGGGAGCAAAGTGTCAATGTATGATGCCTGGCGTGTGGCGGAGAGGGAGCAAAGTGTCAATGTATGATGCCTGGCGTGTGGCGGAGAGGGAGCAAAGTGTCAATGTATGATGCCTGGCGTGTGGCGGAGAGGGAGCAAAGTGTCAATGTATGATGCCTGGCGTGTGGCGGAGAGGGAGCAAAGTGTCAATGTATGATGCCTGGCGTGTGGCGGAGAGGGAGCAAAGTGTCAATGTATGATGCCTGGCGTGTGGCGGAGAGGGAGCAAAGTGTCAATGTATGATGCCTGGCGTGTGGCGGAGAGGGAGCAAAGTGTCAATGTATGATGCCTGGCGTGTGGCGGAGAGGGAGCAAAGTGTCAATGTATGATGCCTGGCGTGTGGCGGAGAGGGAGCAAAGTGTCAATGTATGATGCCTGGCGTGTGGCGGAGAGGGAGCAAAGTGTCAATGTATGATGCCTGGCGTGTGGCGGAGAGGGAGCAAAGTGTCAATGTATGACGCCTGGCGTGTGGCGGAGAGGGAGCAAAGTGTCAATGTATGATGCCTGGCGTGTGGCGGAGAGGGAGCAAAGTGTCAATGTATGATGCCTGGCGTGTGGCGGAGAGGGAGCAAAGTGTCAATGTATGACGCCTGGCGTGTGGCGGAGAGGGAGCAAAGTGTAGCAGTGCACTCACCAAGGGGGAGGGCCTGGCAGCAGGGGCTCTGAGAATGGCAAACTCAATATCGGTGGCTGTCACTGCATGGCCACCGATGGTGTATGATGCCTGATGTGAGGCGGAGAGAGAGGGGCGAAATGGGAGGGGCGGGATTACATGGAATGGGACGGGATGAGCCGGTTCCTGGGGTGCATAGAAAGAGGACAGAGTTAAGTGAAGTGAAGTGATTTGGGAAGGACTGTGATGTGGTGGCGGGTAGAGCAGGAGCAAATGAGATGGGGTGGAAGGGGCACTGCAGAGTGTCTAGTGGGGGGGGGGTACTCACGGTCTGCAGCAGAGTGTCTAGTGGGGGGGGGGTACTCACGGTCTGCAGCAGAGTGTCTAGTGGGGGGGGGTACTCACGGTCTGCAGCAGAGTGTCTAGTGGGGGGGGGGTACTCACGGTCTGCAGCAGAGTGTCTAGTGGGGGGGGGGTACTCACGGTCTGCAGCAGAGTGTCTAGTGGGGGGGGGTACTCACGGTCTGCAGCAGAGTGTCTAGTGGGGGGGGGGTACTCACGGTCTGCAGCAGAGTGTCTAGTGGGGGGGGGGTACTCACGGTCTGCAGCAGAGTGTCTAGTGGGGGGGGGGTACTCACGGTCTGCAGCAGAGTGTCTAGTGGGGGGGGGTACTCACGGTCTGCAGCAGAGTGTCTAGTGGGGGGGGGGTACTCACGGTCTGCAGCAGAGTGTCTAGTGGGGGGGGGTACTCACGGTCTGCAGCAGAGTGTCTAGTGGGGGGGGGTACTCACGGTCTGCAGCAGAGTGTCTAGTGGGGGGGGGGTACTCACGGTCTGCAGCAGAGTGTCTAGTGGGGGGGGGGTACTCACGGTCTGCAGCAGAGTGTCTAGTGGGGGGGGGTACTCACGGTCTGCAGCAGAGTGTCTAGTGGGGGGGGGTACTCACGGTCTGCAGCAGAGTGTCTAGTGGGGGGGGGGTACTCACGGTCTGCAGCAGAGTGTCTAGTGGGGGGGGGGTACTCACGGTCTGCAGCAGAGTGTCTAGTGGGGGGGGGTACTCACGGTCTGCAGCAGAGTGTCTAGTGGGGGGGGGGGTACTCACGGTCTGCAGCAGAGTGTCTAGTGGGGGGGGGGTACTCACGGTCTGCAGCAGAGTGTCTAGTGGGGGGGGGGTACTCACGGTCTGCAGCAGAGTGTCTAGTGGGGGGGGGGTACTCACGGTCTGCAGCAGAGTGTCTAGTGGGGGGGGGTACTCACGGTCTGCAGCAGAGTGTCTAGTGGGGGGGGGGTACTCACGGTCTGCAGCAGAGTGTCTAGTGGGGGGGGGGTACTCACGGTCTGCAGCAGAGTGTCTAGTGGGGGGGGGTACTCACGGTCTGCAGCAGAGTGTCTAGTGGGGGGGGGGTACTCACGGTCTGCAGCAGAGTGTCTAGTGGGGGGGGGGTACTCACGGTCTGCAGCAGAGTGTCTAGTGGGGGGGGGGTACTCACGGTCTGCAGCAGAGTGTCTAGTGGGGGGGGGGGTACTCACGGTCTGCAGCAGAGTGTCTAGTGGGGGGGGGGTACTCACGGTCTGCAGCAGAGTGTCTAGTGGGGGGGGGGTACTCACGGTCTGCAGCAGAGTGTCTAGTGGGGGGGGGTACTCACGGTCTGCAGCAGAGTGTCTAGTGGGGGGGGGGTACTCACGGTCTGCAGCAGAGTGTCTAGTGGGGGGGGGTACTCACGGTCTGCAGCAGAGTGTCTAGTGGGGGGGGGTACTCACGGTCTGCAGCAGAGTGTCTAGTGGGGGGGGGTACTCACGGTCTGCAGCAGAGTGTCTAGTGGGGGGGGGGTACTCACGGTCTGCAGCAGAGTGTCTAGTGGGGGGGGGGTACTCACGGTCTGCAGCAGAGTGTCTAGTGGGGGGGGGGTACTCACGGTCTGCAGCAGAGTGTCTAGTGGGGGGGGGGTACTCACGGTCTGCAGCAGAGTGTCTAGTGGGGGGGGGGTACTCACGGTCTGCAGCAGAGTGTCTAGTGGGGGGGGGGTACTCACGGTCTGCAGCAGAGTGTCTAGTGGGGGGGGGGTACTCACGGTCTGCAGCAGAGTGTCTAGTGGGGGGGGGGTACTCACGGTCTGCAGCAGAGTGTCTAGTGGGGGGGGGGTACTCACGGTCTGCAGCAGAGTGTCTAGTGGGGGGGGGGTACTCACGGTCTGCAGCAGAGTGTCTAGTGGGGGGGGGTACTCACGGTCTGCAGCAGAGTGTCTAGTGGGGGGGGGGTACTCACGGTCTGCAGCAGAGTGTCTAGTGGGGGGGGGGGGTACTCACGGTCTGCAGCAGAGTGTCTAGTGGGGGGGGGGTACTCACGGTCTGCAGCAGAGTGTCTAGTGGGGGGGGGGTACTCACGGTCTGCAGCAGAGTGTCTAGTGGGGGGGGGGTACTCACGGTCTGCAGCAGAGTGTCTAGTGGGGGGGGGGTACTCACGGTCTGCAGCAGAGTGTCTAGTGGGGGGGGGGTACTCACGGTCTGCAGCAGAGTGTCTAGTGGGGGGGGGTACTCACGGTCTGCAGCAGAGTGTCTAGTGGGGGGGGGGTACTCACGGTCTGCAGCAGAGTGTCTAGTGGGGGGGGGGTACTCACGGTCTGCAGCAGAGTGTCTAGTGGGGGGGGGGTACTCACGGTCTGCAGCAGAGTGTCTAGTGGGGGGGGGGTACTCACGGTCTGCAGCAGAGTGTCTAGTGGGGGGGGGGTACTCACGGTCTGCAGCAGAGTGTCTAGTGGGGGGGGGGTACTCACGGTCTGCAGCAGAGTGTCTAGTGGGGGGGGGGGGTCTCAGGTCTGCAGCAGAGTGTCTAGTGGGGGGGGGGTACTCACGGTCTGCAGCAGAGTGTCTAGTGGGGGGGGGGTACTCACGGTCTGCAGCAGAGTCTCACGGTCTGCAGCAGAGTGTCTAGTGGGGGGGGGTACTCACGGTCTGCAGCAGAGTGTCTAGTGGGGGGGGGTACTCACGGTCTGCAGCAGAGTGTCTAGTGGGGGGGGGGTACTCACGGTCTGCAGCAGAGTGTCTAGTGGGGGGGGGGTACTCACGGTCTGCAGCAGAGTGTCTAGTGGGGGGGGGGGGTACTCACGGTCTGCAGCAGAGTGTCTAGTGGGGGGGGGGGTACTCACGGTCTGCAGCAGAGTGTCTAGTGGGGGGGGGGTACTCACGGTCTGCAGCAGAGTGTCTAGTGGGGGGGGGGTACTCACGGTCTGCAGCAGAGTGTCTAGTGGGGGGGGGGGTACTCACGGTCTGCAGCAGAGTGTCTAGTGGGGGGGGGGTACTCACGGTCTGCAGCAGAGTGTCTAGTGGGGGGGGGGTACTCACGGTCTGCAGCAGAGTGTCTAGTGGGGGGGGGGTACTCACGGTCTGCAGCAGAGTGTCTAGTGGGGGGGGGGTACTCACGGTCTGCAGCAGAGTGTCTAGTGGGGGGGGGGGTACTCACGGTCTGCAGCAGAGTGTCTAGTGGGGGGGGGGTACTCACGGTCTGCAGCAGAGTGTCTAGTGGGGGGGGGGGTACTCACGGTCTGCAGCAGAGTGTCTAGTGGGGGGGGGTACTCACGGTCTGCAGCAGAGTGTCTAGTGGGGGGGGGGTACTCACGGTCTGCAGCAGAGTGTCTAGTGGGGGGGGGGTACTCACGGTCTGCAGCAGAGTGTCTAGTGGGGGGGGGGTACTCACGGTCTGCAGCAGAGTGTCTAGTGGGGGGGGGGTACTCACGGTCTGCAGCAGAGTGTCTAGTGGGGGGGGGGGTACTCACGGTCTGCAGCAGAGTGTCTAGTGGGGGGGGGTACTCACGGTCTGCAGCAGAGTGTCTAGTGGGGGGGGGGTACTCACGGTCTGCAGCAGAGTGTCTAGTGGGGGGGGGGTACTCACGGTCTGCAGCAGAGTGTCTAGTGGGGGGGGGGTACTCACGGTCTGCAGCAGAGTGTCTAGTGGGGGGGGGGTACTCACGGTCTGCAGCAGAGTGTCTAGTGGGGGGGGGGTACTCACGGTCTGCAGCAGAGTGTCTAGTGGGGGGGGGGTACTCACGGTCTGCAGCAGAGTGTCTAGTGGGGGGGGGGTACTCACGGTCTGCAGCAGAGTGTCTAGTGGGGGGGGGGTACTCACGGTCTGCAGCAGAGTGTCTAGTGGGGGGGGGGTACTCACGGTCTGCAGCAGAGTGTCTAGTGGGGGGGGGGTACTCACGGTCTGCAGCAGAGTGTCTAGTGGGGGGGGGGTACTCACGGTCTGCAGCAGAGTGTCTAGTGGGGGGGGGGTACTCACGGTCTGCAGCAGAGTGTCTAGTGGGGGGGGGGTACTCACGGTCTGCAGCAGAGTGTCTAGTGGGGGGGGGGTACTCACGGTCTGCAGCAGAGTGTCTAGTGGGGGGGGGGTACTCACGGTCTGCAGCAGAGTGTCTAGTGGGGGGGGGGTACTCACGGTCTGCAGCAGAGTGTCTAGTGGGGGGGGGGTACTCACGGTCTGCAGCAGAGTGTCTAGTGGGGGGGGGGTACTCACGGTCTGCAGCAGAGTGTCTAGTGGGGGGGGGGTACTCACGGTCTGCAGCAGAGTGTCTAGTGGGGGGGGGGTACTCACGGTCTGCAGCAGAGTGTCTAGTGGGGGGGGGGTACTCACGGTCTGCAGCAGAGTGTCTAGTGGGGGGGGGGTACTCACGGTCTGCAGCAGAGTGTCTAGTGGGGGGGGGGTACTCACGGTCTGCAGCAGAGTGTCTAGTGGGGGGGGGGTACTCACGGTCTGCAGCAGAGTGTCTAGTGGGGGGGGGGTACTCACGGTCTGCAGCAGAGTGTCTAGTGGGGGGGGGGTACTCACGGTCTGCAGCAGAGTGTCTAGTGGGGGGGGGTACTCACGGTCTGCAGCAGAGTGTCTAGTGGGGGGGGGTACTCACGGTCTGCAGCAGAGTGTCTAGTGGGGGGGGGGTACTCACGGTCTGCAGCAGAGTGTCTAGTGGGGGGGGGGTACTCACGGTCTGCAGCAGAGTGTCTAGTGGGGGGGGGGGTACTCACGGTCTGCAGCAGAGTGTCTAGTGGGGGGGGGTACTCACGGTCTGCAGCAGAGTGTCTAGTGGGGGGGGGGTACTCACGGTCTGCAGCAGAGTGTCTAGTGGGGGGGGGGTACTCACGGTCTGCAGCAGAGTGTCTAGTGGGGGGGGGTACTCACGGTCTGCAGCAGAGTGTCTAGTGGGGGGGGGTACTCACGGTCTGCAGCAGAGTGTCTAGTGGGGGGGGGGTACTCACGGTCTGCAGCAGAGTGTCTAGTGGGGGGGGTACTCACGGTCTGCAGCAGAGTGTCTAGTGGGGGGGGGGTACTCACGGTCTGCAGCAGGGCAATGCGGCGCAGATGTGTGTCGGGACAGCCGTTGGTGATGTAGGTCTGCCCACGGCGACGGATGGGAGGGGAGAGGGGATGAAAGGGGAGGGGATCCGTCAGGGGACTATATCTGAGGAACCTTAAAAGCAGAGCAATGCGGCGCAGGTGAGAGTCAGGACAGCCGTTGGTGATGTAGGACTGCCGAAGGATGGATGGGAAACAGCAGTTGGGGAATGAAATCGGGGGATGCAGGAAACAGCAAGGTTGGGCGACAAACTGTAAGAGCGAATCGACAAGGGCAGTGGAACTGGCATGGGCACAGGCACGGGAGCAGCACTCCAAAGGCGGTTTTAAGAAATCCAGAGAATGGCTTGGAACATACCGAGAGCTAAAAGAGATGTTTTGAGATGTCTCAAAACATCTCTTTTATCACGTGGCACTCCAAAGGCGGTTTTAAGAACTCCAGAGACTGACTTGAACATACCGAGAGCAGCAGGGCATTGTACACGTTGATCCAAAAGACGGGCCTCTTCGTGAGCGAGAAATTTCTCACAAGTTTTTGAGAATTCTCAGCGACACCTTTCAGACTGACTGATTGACTTGAACGTACTGAGAACAGCAGAGCATTGTACACGTTGATCCAAAAGACAAGCCTCTCCGAGTTTTGAGTTGACTCAAAACTAGACTGACCGATTGACTTGAACGTACCGAGAGCAAGAGAGCATTGAACACGTTGATCCAAAAGACAAGCCTCTCCGTGTGCGAGAGGGTGGCAGGATCCACCAGACGCAGCTGATCCACATAATGCCTGGTGGGGGGTGTGGGCGGAACAGGGGGAGACGATGGGGAGGGACAGGGGGAGAAGAGGGGGACGAACAGGGGGATAACAGGAAGGTACCAGGGTGAGCGGTGTGAAAGGATGAGGTCAGTATGGGTGTGGTGTGGGTGACTGGTGTAACCGGAGTGCTAGGATGAATACCCACCAGAATCAATGGCCATGCAAGCGGGGATGGCTTGGAATTAACTTCGCAGAAAATATAGCTGAAGTGCTCCACAAGACTAAGTGGTCGTAATCAGCAGATGGGTGTATTTTTTGGAGACAATATAAACTATCCAGGGCTTTCGTACCGGTGTCTCTTGAGTGCCGCCACGTCAGCATGCACATATGCACCTTCCTCAGGTACTGCCTCTGCCACCACCAGCTCCCACCCTGCCCCTGATGCTCCCTCCCCTCCCCTCCCACTTCCCCCCATCTCCGCCCTCCCACTCCCCATCCCTTGCCCCATTCCCCCTTCCGCCAGCACCGTTCCTCCCTCTCCTTCCCCCCCTCTGCCTCCTCCTGCACCCCCCCCTGCTCCCCCCCAGGATCCTCTCCAAGCTTCTGCTCCATCCAAGCCTGAGGTTAGGACCCGCCGCCGGGGGCGAGGGGCAGCTTCGGCAGCAGCGGCAGCAGCAGCAAGGGCGGCAGCGGTGGTGGCAGCTGCAGCAGCAGTGGTGGCGGGGGAGAGACGAGTGTTGATGGGAGGGTGGGGAGGCTGGTTCTCCCCTACTCCCCCTGCTCCTCCTCCTGCTCCTGCTCCTGCTCCTGCTCCTCCTATCGCTCCACCTCCTCCCACTGCTGCTCCTCTCCCCCTTCCACCACCACTGCCACCACCACCACTGCTGCCGCCAACACGCTTGGGGCCCAAGAGGGAGAAGGAGGGAGACGCAGCCGAGGGGGAGAAAGAGGGACCACCACCCTCAGAGGGAGAAAGGCAGGAGGCGGCATGAGGAGTAGGGCTCCTGGGGGGTCGGCCAGCGTACGAGCTTTCAGAAGGGGAGAGACAGGAGGCGGCAAGAGAGGTGGGGCTCTTAGGGGGGCGGCCGGAATATCCGCCTTCAGAGGGGCTTTTGGGGAGGAGCAGCCGTGCGCGGATGGGGTTAGCTACGGTTGAGCTGCCCGGGTTGGTTGTGCCGTTTGGGTGGGGTGAGGTAGAGGTGGTCCGGGCCAAAGCCTTGGTGGAAGCAGTTGGGTTAAACAGCTTGGTAGGGGTGGACTCAGGTGGGAACTCTTGCTGCTGCTGCTGCTGCTGCTGATGTGGACTCGTAGCGAGTGTGGAGGGGCAGAGGCGCGGCTGCAGCTAGTGGCGTCATGGGATGCTGTCTGCGGGAGGGATGGTTTCGGGACGCTCTGGGACAGAGGGGCCCCGATTGGGACTTTCGAGCACGAGAGGGGTCAGGTTGAGAGGGCTGCGAGGGCTGCGAGGGCTGCGAGGGCTGCGAGGGTTGGGAGGACTGAGACAGCTGGGGGCGGGAGGGGCCAGTATGGAAGGTGTGGGAGCGGGGAAAGTCAAGAGCGGAGAGAGGCAGATGTGTATGGAGTGCATTGCTGGCAGGTAGGAGAGGATCAGAGCCTACCCCCTGCTGCTGAGAGCCTAACCCCTGCTGCTCCCCATGAGCAGAGCTGGGCTGCTGAGAGCCTACCCCCTGCTGTTCCCCATGAGCTTTATGAGAAAGGCTGTGCTGCTGAGAGCCTTCCCCGCCCCTCCACCCCCTGCTGTACGCCCCACCCATGCGCAGCGCACCCGCAACCGCAGGCATGCCAGGCATGGCGCTGGGGATGTATGTTTTTTGAGAACTCTCAAAAAACGCACCAGCAGCAGGCATGCCAGGCATGGCGCTGGGAGCGGGTGTCGAGGGGTGCACAGAGGAGGAGAGGCGCGCTGAAGGCGGGTGCAAGGGCGGAAGGTGCAGGGGAGGCGGGTACCTGCCGGGGACACCGTCAGGTGCTGCTGCTGCGAGCTTCCAGGGTGTGCTTATGGCACTCAGCTCTGCGGCACTGCTGCTCTGTGCACGCTGCATCCTCCTGCCCCCGCCTCCTCTTCCGCAACTCCCTGCACTGGTACCAGTAAGACTGCTGCCCCCACCACCAGCAACAGCAGCAGCACCGCCGCTACTATCACCAGCAGCAGCAGTGCCGCGTCCACTGCCCATTCTTGCTCCTCGCCCTGCCGTGGCACCCACCAACGGAGCCCTCCCTCCCTGTACCATCATCTGCCCTCTCCCCTGTTCCTTCCCCTGCCCCTGCTGGCCCTGCAGCCTCTGCTGCTGCTTCTGGTGCTCTTGAAACGCAAAAGAGGATGTCTCTAACGCGGACTGCGAGTGTGGAATCATCATTCTCCCATTCTCCGTCTTCCCACCTCTCCCTCTGATATTCCCACTGACCCTGTTCCCACCGCTCCCACCACCACTCCCACTGTCGCTGTTGCCTCCCACACTGTCAGAGTCGGTATCCTTGCTCCTATCCTCATCAGCGTCACCGCGCTGTGGGGTGCTGTCTGCTCGTCTGAGCACTCCGCGTTGTCTCAGCTGCTTTGGGGGCAGCTGCAGCGGCTTCCCTGGGCTTCGCTGCTCTAGATGCTTCTGATGCTCCCGTTGCTTCTGCCCCCCTTGCTGCTGCTGCTGCTGCTGCTGCTGTCGTGGCTTCTCGTCCCCTGCTTTCTCACCCATGCCCGCACTGTTCACTCTCGCCCCTTCTTTCGCCTCACCCCCATCACCAGCGGGAGCAAACGGGGAGGTGAGGGGGGAGAGGGAGTCGGAATCAGACAGCAGCGAGGCAGTATCCAGAGGGGTCACAGCAGGAGGGCGCTGCAGGGAGGATGGCGTTGCAGGGGGGACCTTCACAGTGGAAGAGGAGGGGTTACACGGATTCTGATGCTGTGGGCTGATTTCAGGGGAATTACCCTCAGAAAGAGGCTCATGCACGGATTCTACCCCAGACTTCAGGACGCCCTCGTCTAAATCCCCCTCAGCTCCACCACCTTCCGCCTTGCCCGCTGCTGCCCCCTCGTGCCCCCTCTCCCTGCCCCTCGTTCCTCCTTGGAACAGCCTCAGCAACCCGCCCCGTACGCCCTCCCTAACAACATCTCCACTTTGATTGTGAGAACCCAGGGACATTGACAGGGGAAACCTGGCCTTGGCGGCAGCTTTAAGATGAGGAGAGGAGGGATTCGACCCTGTCCAATCATCTCGTTGCCCCCTTACCCTGCTTCCTTCTCTCGCTCCTGCCTTTCCCCACCCTCCTGTCCCTTCTCCCCATCCTGCCCCGTCTTTCTCCCCTGCTGCTCCCCCTGCTGCCCCTTCACCATCCCCTCTCGCCTTCCTCCCCAGGGACGACTTGTGAGGGGGGCGGGAGTGAGGGAGAGGGAGGGGGAGGGCAAGAGAGGACCAGGCGGAAGAGGAGGAGGAGGAGGAAGAGGTGGTCGATGAGGGGGGCATGCGAGGCGAGAGGGACGAGGACACAGAGGTCGATGTAGACTCACTGGCAGAAAAAGCAGCAGCCACCACGTCCCAAGGATTCTCGTTCTTCACTGAAATAGCCAGCAGCTCGAGAGACCTCGGGTCAAGAATACGGGCCACGTCCTCCCCCCCACCCCCGCCCCCACCCACTCCGCCTCCCCCTCCGCTTCCTCTTCCTCCCCGCCTGCTGCCGCTGACGCTGCTGCTCCTGCTGCTGCTCTTCACAAGCCTGCTCCCCTGAAAGCTCCCGCTCCTCCCTGCTACATCCCCTCCAAACCCTGAAACTGATCCGTTCAAACCAGAGCCTGGCCCAGGCGGCATTTGTTGGCTGCGTCTGGCACTGAGCGCACTGTTCACGGAGCCTTGGCGAGGGAAGGCGGCAGCCATATCCGCCATAACCCCAAGTCCCCCACTCAATCCTCCCAAGCTCCCTCCGAGACCTCCCAGGCCTCCTAAGCTTTGCCTCCAGCTGCTTCTCCTCTCCCCTCCCTGCTCTGATGCCTGCCGAAACAGCTTCGGACTGGCTGTTTGCTGGGATTTCCCCTGAGATTTCTCCTGGAAATCCCCCTGCTCCTGCTGCTCCCCCCCAGCACTCATCTCCCAGTGCTGAGCTCTGGTCACTGTGGCGTCTGGGAGTGCCATGCAGCCCGGGGGCTGGTCAGGGCTGAAAGCCTCTTCTCCTTCTGACGTGCTGCTGCTGTTAGGAGCCCTCACCGCATCCTCCGATCCAGCCGCATCACCACCAGCAGCACGAGCAGCAGGACCACCGGTATGATTAGCGCCAGTAGCACTAGGAGACGCAGGAGGAGGGCCAGCGCTGCCAGAGTCCTGAGGGGCGGAATCTAAGGCAGGGGCGCGGGATTTGAGCCCCTGGTGGAGGCCTGAGACGTTCACGCCCCTCTCGTCCCAGAAGGCGTGGGGCAACGGCACGTGCGTGCCATGCCTCATGTATACAGATGCCACAGTGCGAAGCAGAGCCACCGAGAGGTCACAGGGCCGTGAGGAGAGGTCCCTCACTGGGATGCCACCTGCTGCCCCTGCTGCTGCTCCTCCTGCCCCTGCTGCTCCTGCTGCTGCTCCTGCTGCCCCTGCTGCTCCTGCTGCTCCTGCTGCTGCTGCTGGTTGACAGGTCGCCTGCAGCAGAGGAGTGCTTCGTGTGGTTTCGGCCTCTGGGCGTCCTACCCTCCTCGTCAGCAGGGGAGTCGCGGGAGGAGGGCGCCGGGACAGTCTCAGAGCGCGCAAATGCAGGAGAGCGGGCGGGAGTAGGTGGGTGGGCAGAAGCAGGAGATTGAGCAGAGGCAGGGGAGCGGACAGAAGCAGGAGAGTGGGCAGAAGCAGGCCCGAACCTACCACTATCTCCTCCCTCAGTTCGCTGATTTTCTTCCACTCGACTGATGCTCTCCCCTTCCGCTTTTCCTCCACTCACATCCCCTCCTTGCATACGCGCAGCTGCAAAGTCCAGAGACCCCTGCCTCTCAGGAGACTCTGCATCAGGGCCATGCCCCCCGCGCTGAGACTCTCCTGCACCTGCTGCCCCTGCTGCCCCTGCTGCCCCTGCTGCTCCTGCTGCCCCTGCTGGCCCTGGTGGCCCTGCTGACCCCCTTGCCCCTGCTCCCCCGTGTGCAGGTGGGGAGTCCAGGAAATCACGGAAGCTTCCGGTGGCGGCTCGCTGCCGAGAGGGGGACGGGGAACAGGGCGCACCACTCGCAGTCTCAGCTTCGTCACCTGCCTCTGCTTCTCCCTCTGTGCCTGCATCTGATTGAGAACCTGCTTCCGCTCCTGCATCACCGTCTGCTGCTGTTTCTTCTGCTCCTGCCTTGGATTCATCTGCTGTGCCTGCTTCACACGTGTCTGCCTCTGTTGCCTTTCTCCCTAGTGATACAATTGCTTCTCTCACTGCCGTACCATCTGCTGCTGCACCGTCCACAGTAACGTCTGCTGTTCGCCCCACTGCACTTTCTGCTGCTTCGGTTTCAGCATCTTCTGCTGCCTCCTCCGCCTTTGCCTTTGCATGCATCGCTTCTGCCCTATCTGTTGCTCCACCACCACCGCCCCCCAGACCCTCAGCAGCACCCAGGCCCGTCTCATCAGCAGCCCAACCATTCAGTAACTCTCCATTACAATCATCTTCGATTCCAGGCCTCTGTTCTGTACTGTTCTGTTCCAGGCCTCTGTTCTGTTCTGTTTTGTTTCCATTCACATTCCTATCCTTGCCCACCTCTCCCTCTACACCTCCCACCTTGCGTCTCCCTCTCTCTCTGCCTCCACCCACTCCCTTCCCTCCACCTCTCTGTTCTCGCTCATCTACGTCTAAGTATCCATTCTGAATCGACTCCACGCTCGCAGCTCCCACCACATCATCATCACATCTAGGCGACCCCCTCTCGACCAGCCCCAGCGGTTGCTGCGTTCCCCAGCGCTCAGACTCCCCACTGTCCTCCCCATCAACCTGCCGAGTCCACTCTCCTTCCAGCGCATTCACCGCGCATGCCTGTTCCCCCGGCTCAGCCACTCGGTCAACCACCTCAGCTGCCTGCCTACTCCACCTGTCTACTTGCCTCGTCTGCCGCTCTTCTTGCCCACTCAGCTTGCTTACCCGCTGGTTCAGCTCACCTGGACCACCATTCAGCTCACCTAAACCACCATTCAGCTCACCTGGACCACCATTCAGCTCACCTGGACCACCATTCAGCTCACCTGGACCACCATTCAGCTCACCTGGACCACCATTCAGCTCACCTGGACCACCATTCAGCTCACCTGGACCACCATTCAGCTCACCTGGACCACCATTCAGCTCACCTGGACCACCATTCAGCTCACCTGGACCACCATTCAGCTCACCTGGACCACCATTCAGCACATCCACCCTGCGGGCCAATACAGCATCTGACGCCGCTTCAGCTGTAAAAGTTGCTGATTCTTCTCCTGCTGTGACCTCTGCCGATACCCCTCCAGCTGCAGCAGCTACTGAATCCTCTACAACCAGAGACGCCGCTACTCCTGCTGCTTCGCTGCTTTTCACTTTGCCACTTTTTCCCTCTTTAGTTTTCCTGCTCGTTTTTGCCTCCTTCTGACCAGCCTTCACTCCCTTACGCCCAACCGTCTTCTCCGCCCCGCTGCCTCTCCTCCCTTCATGCTTCTTCTCTTCATGTTGATTCTCTTCATGCGTCTTCTCTCCCTGCTTCTTCACTTTCTGCTTCCTCTTGACAGATTTCTCCCGAATCTGTTCCTTGCTGTTTGCACCCTCTTTCTCCCCCCATTCTGCTCCTTTTTCCTCATTGAAACCATCAATGAAGAACCCGTTACCGTTGCATCTATCCCCGCTATAGTGCATCCCGTTTCCCACAGGCTGGTCGATTGTAATAACAGGAACCTCTGTAGAGTTCCGCGTTCCAGGAGTATCGTGGGTCGTGAGCATGTGCATGCTGACTCGGCGTGCTCTGTGGTGTGGTGGTGGGAAGTGACGTGACGGACGGGACACAGGGGAAAGCAGAGCAAGGAGGGGAAGATTGAACAAGGTGCGAAGAGAAGATTTGGGAACCGCAAACAGCAGCTACGAGCGCATGAGCTAAGCTAAGAGAAAAAGAACCTACAGCGGACAGGGGGTTGCAGAAAGGGGCAACCTCTCTGATATAAAGTAAGGGCGCGTTGCATTTGCTCAAAGTTCAAACTCTCACCGCTTTGCACCATGGCATAACGCTTTGTAGCTTTATTTTACCGTGTAGAAGCTCTTTTAAAGTTCGAGCCTTGCCATAAGTTCGAACCGAAACGCAACGCGCCCTAATCAGCACACGGATGGAGCATTGGTAAGGAGCCAGGATGTCTGTAACAAGGCTATCTGTCACGAGGCTGCTTGTAAGGAAGCTATATCTGTGCACTCACAGCTGACTCGTCAGCACATTCAATCGCTGCTGCAGCTGAAGCAGCAGCTGCAAGTGTTCCGTCTCCCCTCCCCCACCCTTCTCCACCTCCCCAACTTCTGCCCGTCTCTCTGCTTCCAACCCTACTTCCCCTGCATCTACCCCTACTCCTGCGATCTCGCCCCTCTCAACCACACCCAGTTGCACAGAACCAGCTCCAGCACTTCCAGGCTCCGCCCTCCCTTGCTGCGCCAGTCGCTGCAAGGCCTGTAATTCTCCAGCCACCCAAGCCACATGAGCGCGGACGCTATCACCTCCACCAGCACCATCAGAACCCCCACCAGCAGCAGCACCACCACCACCACCACCACCCACTCCAGCAACAGCACCACCGCCGCCGCCTTGCGCTGCGCCCCAGGGCCAGTCGTCGTTCGCTCTGAGACCGTCCCCTTTGTCGCCCCCATCCACGCTCTCCACCTTTCGCTTCACGCACCGCCGCCAAGAGCCCTCCACATGCGGCTCCTGAACTACCGTCTCCTTCTGCTGCAGTAACTGCCGCTGCTGCTGCTGGGGTAGCTCATTATGGTTCTGATGGAGAGACGATGAGAAAGGATCTGTCACGGGGGTGGAGGAGGCTGGCAAAGGGGGCTCGGCGAGCTGCGACGGAGTGACAGGAGCCAACAGCCTTCGCTCATCTGTAGGAACCTTAGGAACCGCAGCGCCAGATGCAGTCCGTGCCTGACGCTCGTCAGGCCCCGCTGGCAGGCCCGCACGACCAGATTCAGACAATGTGGTGATGGACTGAGGAGTGGCAGATTCTCGGCATCTGGTCATATGCGAAGACCGTACTGTCCTGCTCTGTTCTTTGCTAGGTAGAGACGACATGCCACTAGCCAACACGCCCTTGTGCTTATTCAAGGACTTCTTTTTCAGGCCGCCACGTGCGCTGGAGTTTCGCTTCTCGTCATCAGTCACTGCAGCCTGGTAGGTGTTCTCGCCGGGTGTAGACGATGGGTCATCACTGGAGCGTGCTCTTGGTACATGGTCACCAGAAGAGTGTGACAATCTCTGAGAGCGAGCTGCAGGTCGTGGTAACTGATTACTAGAAGGTTCTAAGCTGCTGGTGGGTCGGAAGGAGCTGCTTTCGTGGGAAGGAGCTGCTGGTGGCTCGGAAGAACTCAGTCGCGCTCGAAGAGAATGTTGCAGTGCCTTAGCTGGTGTTTTGCGTGAATCAGTTGTGGGACCGGGTGAGTCAGGCGTGGGACGGAGTGAGTCAGTGTGTACCGTGGTGCTGTCAGCAGGGTCGGCGATCTGAATGTTGGACGTCACGCCATGGTTTGTGATGGCTGGCGGAAGCGACTGACGGTGATTTGGTCTTCTTCTTCGCGGATTTTCTGCCAAACAACGAAATGAAGGTCGGGGAGATGCAGGAGGAAGTTACTCGCAACTTGATAAACTTTCAGGATAGTGATGCCTTCAAGAGCACATGGATGTCTAGCAGTAAGCACGTTTCGGAACTGATCAGGATTGGAAGACCGACACGGAATGCGGCGTCATCATGCGACCGCAATGACAATGTGGTACAGACGAGTGAAAGACTAACGGACCTCTGCTTCGTTTCGCCTGCCTGGAGCTCCATGGCGATTGGAGCGACACCGTCCCTTGTATAGCTCGCCGATGATGCTAATGGAAACTTCTGACGATTTTGTCTGAATAAATAAATAGATTCATAGCAGGGTTGGCTGCTTGATTACGCTAAGATATTTTGTGATATGTATCTCGCTCGATGTTTTTACAACAAACGTTGGCGTTTTTGGTGCCAAACGTGAAGACTGGAACTAGGTGCGAAGGGACATAAAGCTCCTTTCGGTAACTCTTGTGGCAGCCAAGGCCCGACATACTAGAAAATATATTTACAGGGAGCACGCGTGGACGAGCGCAGAATATGTTCCCTACGAAAACCTACTTCAACTCGAAACCCAGCCAATAGTCTAGAAATGATACCTCGTGATACCGCGGAGAGAGAACGATGGAACAGGCTAGAAGGCAAGAAGGCCAGGCAAGCAAGTAGCAGACAGTCTAGCACGACAGTCAGCGACCAACCGACAACTCTCCCCCTCAACTGATCCCAGCTGACCCATCCCCGGGGTCAGGCGACAGGCCAAGGAAAAAATTCCTTGGGAACTTCCCGGGCAACGAAATTGTTATTCACTAATTTTCGCTGCTCAAGAAGATTTCGAGGTTTTGCGCAGTCAAGGACGTGATTGGAGAGGGGAACCTTGGGAGCTCCCCATTTGCTCAACTGTAGGTGCCGGGGAGGAAAGATTTTCGCCGCGGGACTTCGCAGAAAAAAATGATCTGTGGGCTTGCGTTTCGTACCCATCAGAAGAGGCAACAGCTTTTCAAGAGATATTCGCTATAAGGCGAAACCGTGTTTGGTTTGTGAACATAGATTCGCACCGCAATACATATCTGGTGCAGCTGACAAAACTCCCGCAGGTTTCCCCATCAAATCCGACTTTCCCTCGCACCTTTTTCCTCTCTCTTCTTGCCCTCTTCGATCAGAAGCAGCGCACGAGTAGGGTTAGTCGCGCGTCGTTGACCCGTCATCGCTCGTCACGCGCCCACCTCGCTCACTCTTCTTTCCGTCCTCGTTTTAGAACCTTTAAAGCATGGGTGCCCGCAGGGAGACGTTTCGCTGGGGAGATGCGGAGGAGGAAGAGGAGGGATTAGATTCCGTTCTCCCGCCGACGCAGGTGATCGGACCCGACGAAAAGGGAATTAAGATTGTTATCGAGTGGCGTCTTAACGAGGAGGGTCAGCGCGTTAAGGTGACGAAGAAAATCCGCGTTAAGAAGCAACTCAAGAAGCTAAAGCCCGAGGTTATTCGTCGCCGCAGCCTCAAGAAATTCGGCGATGCGGTTGGACAGGTAAGCGATTTGTCTTATTCAATCATCCCTCTCACTCTAGTGTCGTTCTATCTGGTCGTGTTCGGCTGTTGTCTTCGCTGGCGACTCACGGCTGCGTTCGCCTATTGTATGACCGTTTCAGGGTTTAAGCAACCCGGCCCTTTTATCGAATCTTTTCGCGCCTCTACGGAGGAGTTTTTCTTCTAGCGCCCCACGGTGGCGCTTAAGTCAACTTAAGACTCGTTTTTTCACCCCTTTCCACCCCTCCCCGCCCATCCCCACCCCTCCGCAGGTTGGTTCCGACAACTTCACCATGGTATCCACGGAGGAGATTTTCCTCGAGCGGCCGAATCATGCGCTTAAGTCGACTCAAGTCTCGTTCACACCCTCCCGCTCCTCCCCACCCCGCCGCACCCTTCCCAACCCCTCCGCACCCCTCTCCACCCCTCCCCATCCCTCCGCAGGTCGGCTCGGACAATTTCACCATGGTCTCCACGGAGGAGATTTTTCTCGAGCGGCCGAACCAGGCGCAGGCGAAGCAGGACGAGCAGGCGAAACCCTCCGGCGACCTGGCGGCGATCGGCAGCGCGTCGCTTATGGTGTGCCGCATCTGCGGCAAGAAGGGCGACCACTGGACCTCCAAATGCCCCTTCAAGGACCTCGCCGCGGCGCGCGGGCTCGCCGTTGGGGAGAAATTCGACGAGGACGGCGCCGCGCCGGCGGCGGCCGCGCCGTCCGGGAAGACGTCCTACGTTCCGCCGTCGCTGCGCGCGGGCGGCGCGGCGTCGCGCGCGGGCGAGGACAGCGGCGGGAGGCGCGGAGGCGGCAGGGATGACAGTAACTCGGTGCGGGTTACGAATCTGTCGGAAGACACGCGCGAGCAGGATCTACAGGAGCTGTTCGGGCCGTTCGGACCCATCTCGCGCATCTACGTGGCGTTCGACCGCGAGACGGGGCTCAGCAGGGGCTTCGCGTTTATCAACTTCATCAACAGGTGCGTGCTTTGGGTTGCCGTTCGGCACCTGTGTGCGTTGGGGAGGGTCAGACCCTTTGTGGGTGGTACAACGAGCCCCAGCAGGAGCGTTGGGGGGTCGGCCCGCTGCTTCATGCATGGAACACCAACACGAGGGGAGGAGAGGAAGAGGGAGGGGGCTGAAGGGGCGAGGGGGGAAGGGAAGAGCGCCACGGGTGGGAGGACGGGTGGTGGGTGGGAAGAGGCCTAGTGGTTTGTTCTGCATTACTTCACTGTTGAACGCACAGGAGGGTCCGCAGGGAGGTTGCGTGGTCAATTTCAAAATGAGGTGCGCTCAAGTTCATCAGTCGCCAGAAGTAGGAGTGAGTTGGGTTGGCGACAAGGGCTTCTGCATGGCATGTGATCCGCTTGGAAGTGGTTTGGAAATCGTGGAAACGCTTTGTCAAGTGATACCACAAAGTGTCAGGTTTGAAGCTGTAGCATGAGCTGTAGCGGTGATCATTATGGTCCAAGGGAGTTATTAACGGCCGTAATGGTTACGAAGGATTAATAAGGGTTGTAGTGGTTTTGAAGAGATCGCATCGGTCATTAAGAGGTCTTCCAAAGGTTCATCAAGGATCATGGCCATAAAGGATTATCAAGAGGCCCTCATTGGGTCCCTGGGTGGCAGTAGAGTATCTCAAAGGGTGCTTCACAAGGTGCATTGGTCATTGTGTACAGTGTTTTCTCGCTTCTGTACATGCTTGTGAGTTGCGTTCTAAGTATCTTCGCCTAAGTGCTTCGTCTAATCCTCCACGCGCATGGTTGTCTGTTTCTTTCCCCCTCACCCGTGCTTACTCCCCCATATCCCCCCTCACCCCTGGTTGTGCCCCCATATCCTCCTTCACCCGTGGTTGTCCCACCAAATCCCCCCTCACCCGTGGTTGTTCCCCCACACCCCCCCTCGTCCATGCTTCCCCCTTATTTCCCCTCACCGCTGCTTGTTTCCCCCCTTATCCCCCCTAAACCTTATATCCCCCCTACCATTCCCCCCCCCCACCTCCTCCCCCCCCCCCCCCCCCCCCCCCCCCCCCTCCCCACCACTTCCACCTGTGGTGCCTGTGTGGGCAGGGAAGATGCTGTTCGAGCAATCAACAAGCTCGATGGTTACGGTTACGACAATCTCATCTTGCGCGTAGAATGGGCAACACCACGAGCAGATCGCGGCTAGAATCCGCATTTTCCATTTTATGTTTGCGGGTAAGTTTCTTTGTCATCTTTCCGACCCATGAACTCTAGTTGTAGGTGTCTGTTGGAATCAAGCTCTCGGCATGGAATCAGGGCAGAAGCTGTAGGCTGTATTGGTGTGCTAAGTGATCATATAGTGGATTGGCAGTTACAACTAGGTTCTTTGTTGGCAAATCCCGGTATCGGTTTGGCAAGAGATCATGAAATACTCATGTCGTTAGTGCCATTTGAAACTGTTGACTGGTAGACTTGTAATACTGATGGAGCTGCAGTGCAGGAAACTACGCAATCAATCTTTGGAATGTGCTTTCAAGCGAGATTTACTAAAACGTGGTGATGGGTGCATCGCTTTGTCAGTTTGCACCAGCCCTGACACCATCCAGAAATTAGTTGCACCGCCACGTGGCATTGACGACTCAATTTTGTCGTATCTAGTTACGCCTGCTGGCAGTGAGGTGCATGGATATGTGGTGAAGTGTCAGATTCATGCCAGACGAATTCGCAGGTTGAGTCAAGGCTGGACTTGAAGCCAAGTTGTCGCCCTATACTGTAATTCCAATACAAAGTTCAAAGTACTGCCACAACAGAGGTCTCGGGAAGTGTATTTCTGACCTAGGAAAAACTTTCAGAACAAAGAGGCCAATGTCCTTTCAGAACAGCTGGGCACATGAGAAGCACTGTGCAGGTGGTATCATCTGGCACCTTCTCAGGAGTTCGTGTGCTGTCGTTTTGCAACGCCTATCGTCACCGTGAGCCCATTCATTGGTTGGACAACGCGACGCAGAACAAATCGCACATGCGGCGCGATACCAAACCATATTCCTGGGTGCTTTCGTGACATCTGGCCAACAACACAGCGAAACCCATCCACCTTCTCCCCCCACCAGTGCAACCAGGCTCCAGCCAGAGGCCTCGACCACCCTTCTTAGTCGCTCCGTACTCTTTACTCAATCAGTTATCAGCTCCCTCAACTCTAGCAAACTCTTAGCAGGCACATATCCTCCAGCATAAGCAAGTTAACAAGCTACTCTCTCCACAGTCTCGCCCGCTTCAATGGCTCGCACAATCCTCCTCGCCCTCTTCGGGCTTCTCCTTATAACATCAGGCGCCAATGCTTCCGCGCGCAGGGGCGGCGCGAAGGGGAGCTCGAAAGGAAGCTCCAACACCCTGTCGCTCTCCGACGCAGTAAAAGCCTCGGAGAAGGCTAAGGGCGCCGTCTCGTACAGCCAAGACCTCGTGGCGCAGCTCACGACCAAGGCCACCGACGCGATTGCCGCCTCCGCAACCAAGGAAACCGAGGAGGAGACGGCTCTTGCCAACTACGACACCGCAGCGGACACTTTCGCAACGTCCGTCTCCGATCTTCCCAAGGCCAACTTCAATGCCGATCGTAAAAAGGCCCTTCAGGCGCGCCTCGCGGAGAAGCTCAAGGCCGCAACTGCGCGGACCGCGAGTGCGAACAAATACAAGGACGCGGTTGTCGCGTTGGATGCCCAAGTCATTGCTGCTGCTGGCGCTGCAAGCACGGGTTCCACCGCCGCCGCTGACGCTCTCACCGCCGCTCTTGACGCCGTCGATGCCGCGAATGCTGCGGCTAAGAGCGACCCCAGCCAGGCTACTCGTGCGGCAGCCGCAGAGAAGGCCGTCGCAGTGGCCGTCGCACAGAAGGTCGCAAGCGGGTGGGAAGTGCACATGTCGACGCTGACGAACCTCCAGACGGCGTCCGCGGATCTTAACACCGCCGCGACGACGGCAGCCGACGATGCGGCGACGGAGGAAGGCAACATCAAGACGGCAAAGGAGACGGCCGACGCGGATCTCGCGACTGCTATTTCGGATGCTTCTGCCGCGCAGCAGGCGTACGACGCGGCGAAGCAGGCGCTCGACGCGGCGGATGCCGCCCTGGCTCAGGTCCGCGCCGCGGTAAACAAGGCGCGCGCGACTCAGGTGGACAAGGTCAAGGCGATGAGGGATGCCGTGACGGGACTGTACTCGAAAATCATCTCGAACATCGCCGCGTCGAAAACGTGGGTGGATGTTACCACCGCGGCGACGCTCGCCGGGCAGAAGGACTGGGAGAGCCGCGCGTCAGGCAAGGCTGCCCAAGATCCCAAGGCTCTCAGCAACATGGACAGCATCGTCAAGGGCTCTGAGAAGGGCTCCAGCGCTGGTGACTCCAGCAGCGGGGCTGTGTAAGCCGTGGTTGGAATTCAGTTCGATGGTATTGGACGGTGAATTTTCTTTGCTTCTCTCTGCTAAGGTGTGGCTGGCCGGCCGGCTGGGCGCATGACACGGTGTCTAATAAGACGTGGTCCGCCATTGTGCCAAGTGCCGTTGTGTTTGTACCAATTTTTGTAATTGTATTAACCATTTTATTCAATGTCAGTTCTCGACTGCCTAATTCCTCATGTGCCTCGGGGCTACCGTCTTTCAGTTCTGGGATATGTCTTCTCGGACCAAATATCTAGCAGAAGGAATTAGACATGCTCGGCATCCCTTTCTGGGCATGAAACCCATGAGCCGAAGGGAGACATGATGGCGTTCCACGCTGACACATCGGCAGGGAGATCTGATACCGTAGCCTTCTACCCTGAAACTTGACCACGAATTATCAACCTGAATTCGCATCTGAATTTGCATTTCGGAAGAAATTGGAGCTTTCCTTCAGCTTCGCGCCGCACTGCTGGACACATTTTCGCCCAGTTCGTCGCATGTCGTCCAGGTTTTTCTACCGATTGAAAAACATCGCTCAGGTGCGCTGCATGTCGCAGGTTGGCCACGTCACGAGTTGGGATGAGCTGGCATGCAATGTTGTTCATCTTCATTTGAGGACGTTCATCTGCAACTCACAATCAGGACGATGTCACCCATAAATTTTCGATACCGATTAGTGTCAGGGATACCAGCGCGGCAACATCAATCGCAGCTCGAAGATGACACGGTTTCTTATATATTGTTAGTGAGGTATTAGAAAGGGTGGGGTATGGAATGGCCAGGGAAAATATCGGGCTTAGCTGGATATTTCTCTTCCCAACCTGGCTGGGGTTTGCCCAAGAAGCTTCCATGGAGTCTATACTCATGAAAGTGGCAGGCCGAATCGTGCCTAGTAGCAGTCAGGAGTGTTTCTGCGGCAGTGCGCCTGCGGCATGCCTCCTTTCTTAGAACACCCTCGGAAGTGCTCTCTCAGCCCGAAAGACTCTCCCCAGCCTACCAACGCAACTGCGCGACTCCGCACCGACCGAGCTGAGCGGCGAGGCCCCGCTGCTGCACCGGTCGCAGCCTGCGAGTATCGCCTGTTTCATCGCCGTCGACCAGGGCTTCAACGAGCGGCGTTCATCGTCAGATATCGCATCGATCGCCAGCGACTCACCGCTGCATCCGATCAAGCGAATCACCTGCTTCCCTGACATCACCCAGTCACGTCATGTGACGACAGTCCTGCTTCCGATCCCTCACTTTCTCCCCTCGTCTAGAAACTTCTCCAAGGTTGTTCAGGTGGTGTGGGGGGCACGTGATGCTGAGGCAGTGATTTGAGTCGACTCAAAACTCACCTGCTTCAGATCTCTCATTTTCCCCCCTCGTAGAAATATCGCCGAGGGAGGCACGTGATTCTGCGTCAGTGTGATGCTGCTGGTATCACAGGAAAGCTTCATCGCGTGAAGTTACATCTGCAGTCCTCGGGGAACCCAACGCGGTTCCAGGCAAAAGCAGTTTAAGGAAGCATGCTAAAGAGGCACGTTATCGCCGTTATTCCTCTGGAAGTCCCTTCGCCAGTTCGTTCGATACGCGAACTCCACGCCGCGAGGGCACGCCGCGGCTGTAAGTGAGCCGAAAGGCCAAGCGAGTTCACGAAGGGAGAAGAGGCACCGCTGTCACCGAGTCGCCGGGTTATTTCTAGCTGACTTCGAGTCGCCAGGCGGTTGGTCTCTTGGTGCGCACGACGGGACGGAAGAGCCGATGGCAGCACCCCCCAAACAGTGGAGACTGATGATCGACACTGCTACCTAGACGGTCCGACCGTCTAGCGGCGTAACGTCAACTCACAAATTTGCAATTTTTACATGGCAGGCTGGCTGCCCTCATGAAAACGTTGAGGATCTGGCACGGCATCGATTCTGGAGAGGGTCATCAACGAGGGGTGGATCGTCCATGGCGGTAAAATTGATGCGTCCAATGTTAACAGTCAGAATCTATGAGAGTGTGCTGTGGGACCGGGCGCTACGATAATATACTCGCTGCGGCCGCATGGGACGCTGGGGATTCGGGTGCACCTGGCATACTTTTCTTGGAAAAGGGGGGAAAGAAAGGGGCCACGCCGTCCTCGGACAACTCTAACTGTGGCGAGTCCAATGCAAAGCAAAAAATTTCAGTGGGAGAACTTACAAAAGAACTTGAGAAGGCTCTGAAGGAATTTCAGGCACGAAATCATTTTCTAATCAGGCGAACGCGGTCGAGTAGGTTTCCCCACGATAAAGGTACTTAACAGTGTGGTTAAAATCTTAAAACCGTTGTCACACAGTAGGAGCCTGTCAAACTGCTGTCTCATATGCTTATAACATGCTCTGTATCCATTGGCATAGCACGGTACCGTACTACAAAAGCTCTGTGACGTTTTCCAATGTCGAAACCCACACTAACCAACCACCGCCAGGTTCTCGCTTGAGCGATCTCACAATAGGTTGGCAAATACTGTATTTATGCCTTGTTCGATAGCTGTTAAGAAATTCTATGACTGAAATGCTCATAGCTGTTAAGAAATAGATGTTAAGAAAATCTATGACTGAAATGCTCATATCTGTTAAGATATAGCTGTTAAGAAATGTTTATGTGACTGATGTGGAGGACAAAATGCTCATTTGCACGGATCTAGGTACACTTGAGGCTACAGGAACTGGATTGCTCAATTGAATTGCAGGTGTGTGGACTCAATACTGGATGTGCTTGAACCCTCTCTGCATTGCGACATAGCTGACCATTCCAGCTGGCTTCGCCGAGGTCCATTTTCAGGTCGGCAAACCCGAGGAGTGATACAGTAACTTCTAGATTACAGCCCCAGGCCCCTGCTGCCCTCTTCTAACAGGAACAGCCAGGGACCACGTCCGTCATGTGGGGTCAAATCCACAGCGTATCACGCGCATTTTCTCACAAAAAATGCGACCACGCGACGAATCAAGGCGCCGTGGTGTGTCAGACAGCCTCCATCGAGGCCACCAGTCATTGGACGCACCAAAAGCTCCGCCATGGACGCCTGAGCGGTGAACTTACAGTCACGCCTTCGCCGACCAGTTTGATTGGCAGCAGATCTTACCTGATATGCACTTATTGCTGTTGTGGGTTTTGCCTCCGTCGGAAGCAAAGAGCCATGAGGAGTTCAGAGTCAGCAAGAAGGTGGTCCAGCCTGGATCATGCACAGCAAGGCAGCTGCCTCAATTTCGGGCGGCACAGTGCTGCTAGCAGCTAAACTCGCCACTGCGACTTGATTTCACGTGAGGGGAAGGACACTAAGCTCTTCTAGTAGATCTATCCCAGGTGGCTGTTCGACTTATCACGTGGCTCTCCCTGGTCAGATCCCCGCACCGCGTTGTGCTCCCCGAGAAATATCCAGGACGTAGAAATCACGTGGTCCACGTTCTAGAAAGTTCACAGTAAAGTGCAAATTCCATCCCGCATCCCGAGTCGCCAGTCAGACGAGGTTTTCTGGTGGGCTGATCTAATTTGATCCCGCCTCTCGCGGACAAACCAGGACAGGAACCAGGCCCCACCAGCTGGACAAACAAACGGTCTGGTTTCCCCCGACTGGGGAAAAGACCGCTGACGGTTCGGAGCGACTCTAGCGAATCCATCGGACGATTTTCTGGCCATGAACGCCTCGGATAAGGAGCTTTCGGACCTGAATTGTGGCCGGAAATCGAGGGCAATACTAGCTTTCTCCGCCTGCTGTCTCGCGGTTTTCGATTGCCCCGTGGGTTCCCAGACAGGCCGATTGTGGAGAAGCCGAGGATAGATTATAGAACCGAGAGGACTCCAAAGACGAGTTATACTACTCTGCTCAATTCAAGGCTCGGATAGGACAGGCCTATTTCTGAGGGCTAGACTTATTAGCGGTAGCGCTTTCTGAACTTAAGTCTTCTCTCGTGAGATGTTCCTGTCAGCGCATGCTACGCCCTGTTAGTCTTTCCGATCTAGTTTCCGTTCTATGGTTGTGGGTTGCCGTCAGACGTTGAGTCCTCCTCACGTTTCAATGGTAGGAGGAGACACATCCATGGAAGCAGCAATTGCGGATTTGGAGGTTTGCCACGCGTCGCTGAAGCACCAGATGACTAAGATTCAGCTGGTGAAGGAGCAGCTGCGCGAAAAATGGAAGCAGAGTAACGAGGTATAACGCTCACTCAACTGAGTTGATATCATGTCCGTGTATTCATGATGCCTGAGTACACTACCTGATCATTTCTTGAAACCCGTTTCATGCGATACTGCGCACTTGCAGGACGCGGATAGCCCCAAGAATTCTGCTCATCCCATTCGTTGGTCAAGCCCCGGTGGATCAGGCTCTTTCTCAGCCTCCCAGAGCCAATCCGCGGTCGTCTCTCCAGCTTCCAGGAACCTGCTTCCGCTCAACCTTCTAAGACACTCAAGTGGTTCATCGGAGGATGGTTCATCAGAAAGCGACGCTCACTCACCCCTCAGGCGATTCCCCTCGGGAATCCATGGTTGGGATTCTGAGGACCAAGCCATCTACGTCTTCAGGCCTGATGGTACCATCGTGATGTGGTACGTGATTTGTCGTACGGGATTTGTTTGGGATTGGTTTTTTTCCCGTGTCCGTGTTAAACTTTTTTCAGACAGATTTGAAACTGATGCGAGTATTCTAGTTGTTGAGTCATTGACCTCCCTTAACTCCTCCGTCTTTCATGTCTGGTTTCTGCAGGAATTCGGGGTCGGAGAAATTGTTCGGATACACAGAGGAGGAGGCAGTCGGGCGGAAAATAGGGGAGCTGCTGTGCTGCCAGCAGTCGAACCACGCCGCCTCGCAAATCATTGCATGCCTGCTGGTCAGTCAGCCGGACCACCAAATCAACTATATTATTAACTACACCCCTTCTTGAGCATTTTGTTGTGGGTCACTCCTGCCATGGCTCGTTGATAACTCCACTGGGGCTGTCCCATGATTGTCCGGGCTGTGAGTCGTCTGCAGTGGGTCAGTTTTGACGCGATGATAACCGACCGGCTTATCATTGACGGCAACAGCACCGTGATAACCTTTGTTTTTGTCACCTCCTCCCTCCTTTTCCTTTGCAGGGGGGCAGTGCTGGGCGGGCAACTCCCCCCTCACCAAGAAGTCAGGGGAGGTGTTCGACGCAATGATTACCGATCGGCCCGTAATCGACAACAAGGGCAACGTGAGCATGATCGTGGGAGTGGCGAGTGACAGCCGGCCGTTCAAGGAGCAGATGCAAGCTTTTATCGGCAGCTGCAGCAGCAGCATGCACGTCAGCACGCCTGTTGGGCCTGTCTCCACTGCCTCCCCTGCTGCCGCTGCTTTTCATTCTGCTGCTTCTGCACTGCCTGCTGCTGCTGCTGCTGCTGCTGCTGCTGCTGCTGCTGCTGCTACTGCTGCTCCCCTCCCTTGGCCCTGCTGCCTCTTTTGGCGCTGCTGCTTCCACTCCTGATGGCTTCCCATCGCCCTTCATGCCGCTCCAGAGCATCCCATCCCCAACTGCAGCAGAGGACAAGGCAGAGGACAAGGCAGAGGAGAGCGCAGAGGACAAGGCAGAGCGTCAGCATGGAGCAGCAGGCCTTAAACCCCTCCGTTGGTCAAGCCCGGACAGATCAAGCTCGTTCTCAGCCTCCCAGAGCCAATCCGGGGTCGTCTCCCCAGCTTCACCAAACCTGCTTCAGCTCAACCTTGCCAGCCACTCGGATGGTTCATCAGAGGGCGACGCTCACTCACACTCACCCCTCAGGCGGTTCCCCTCGGGAATCCATGGCTGGGAGTCTGAGGACCAAGCCATCTACTGCTTCCTGGGCGATGGAACCATTGTGATGTGGTACGTGATGGGTCCAGTGAGGTCCAGTGCGGTTACGGTGGGGAATCCATGGCTTGGAATCTGAGGAGCCCATCTACTACTTCCTGGGCGATGGAACCATTGTGATGTGGTATGCCTTGGGTCTAACGTGTTTTTTCTTTTTTTTGGCAAGCATCTTTGGGCAGATTCGTAACCGTCACTTTCAGTCCTGCTTCATTCACCACCGCTGTGAAATTGAAGCCTCCTGGTTCCACCTGCTCCTCCTGGTGCTTGCTGTCTGTCTGCTCTGCAGGAACGCAGGGCCGGAGAAGCTGTTTGAGTACACAGCGGACAAGACTATAAACAGCTTTTGAGTCGTCTCAAAATAAAATAGACTCCCTTTGGTTCCATCTTCTTTTTTTCTTTTGTGCTTGCTGTGCTGTCTGCAGGAACGTAGGGTCCGAGAAGCTGTTTGGGTACACAGCGGAGGAGGCTATGGGGCGGAACATAGTGGACCTGCTATGTTGCCAGAAGACAAGCCACGCCGCCTTTCAAATCATTGCACGCTTGCAGGTCAGTCAGTCAGACCACCAAATCGGCTGCACACGGTTTGTTGCTCTATGATAACCTTACTGATGCCTGCCCATTTTCATCCAGAGAGGCAGTGTTTGACTCGATAAAACAGACCTCCCCAAGATTGACGTCGAAGGAAATGTGATAACCTTTGTTTCTCCAACCTCCCTGGCCTTTTTTGTCCGTGCAGTGGGGACAGTGCTGGACTGGCAATTTCCTTTTTTTTTTTTTTTTTTTTTTTTTTTTTTTTGTCAGGTGTTTGACGTGATAATTACTGACCGGCCCATAATCAACAGCAAGTGAATCAGAATAACATCGGTTTCTGTCACCTCCTCTCCCCTTTTCCCTTGCAGGGGGGGGCAGTGCTGGACTGGCAACTTCCCTCTCAACAAGAAGCCTGGGTGTTCGATGCAATAAGTACAGACCGGGCCATCATCGAAAGCAAGGGCAACGCGAACATTTGTTTCTGTAACCACCTTCTTTACCATTTTCCCGTGCAGGGGGGGCAGTGCTGGACGGGCAATTTCTCTCTTATCAAGAAGTCAGGCGAAGTTTTTGACGCCATGATTACAGACTGGCCAATATTTGACAGCAAGGGCAGCGTGAGCATGATTGTGGGAGTGGCGAGTGACAGCCGGCCGTTCAAGGAGCAGATTCGAGCTCTTATCGACAGCTGCAGCAGCAGCATGCACGTCAGCACGTCCCTTGGCCCTGTCTCCACCGCCTCTCCTGGTGCTGCCGCCGTTGCCGCTGCTTTTCATTCTGCTGCTTCACCTCTGCCTGGCTCTACTGCTGCTGCCTCCGTTCGCCATGCTGCCTACCCTGGCGTTGATGACTTCCCATCGCCAGCCACGCCACTTGAGACCATCCCATCCCCAACTGCAGCAGAGGACAAGGAAGGGGACAAGGAAGGGGACAACACACAGGACAAGGCAGAGCACCGGCAGGTAGTAGCAGGCGTGAAGCCGCTGCAGCTGAATGTGACCGCGGCACCCCTGCGGCCGATCCGAGTTCCTGAAAACGCGACCGTGTTTGCGACTGGAAACGCAAATGGAGGTGCTCCTTCCCGCGTGGCTCGTGTGGCCTCTCGGCTCTCTGCTGCTCCTCTGCGCGCTCCCTCTCAGTTCCGCGCTGCTGCTCTGCATGTCCCCGCTTTGGACCGCACTGCACCTCTGCAACTGCCCTTGTTAACCCGGTTAACCCGTGCTGATGAGGCTGATCAGACAGTGCCTCTGCCAGACCTTGCTGTTCGTGCCTCTGGGGCCCTGTACTTTCAAGGAGGGGAAGTGGGCGGAGGAGAAGCAGCAGCAGCAATGGCGTTAGATTACCCGAAGGGAGAAGCAGCAGTGCCGTTTGGTTTCAGTGCAGAAGGGGAGACAGGAGGAGGGGAAGCAGGTGTGCCGTTTGAATTTGATGCAGAGGGCGAGGATGATGCTCACGTGGAGGGTCAGCAGCACCCGTGGCAAATACCCTTCGCTTCCACTGTCCTGTCCCTGGTAAGCTTCATGCTCCTTTGGAACTCCCTGCTTCCTTTGAATCGTTCTTTCTGGTAACCCCGTGGAGATGCAGCACCCGTGGCAAATACCCTTTGCTTCCACTGTTCTGTCCCTGGTAAGCTTCATGCTCCTTCGCTTCCTTGCCTGCCCCTCTGCTTCCTGGTAACCTCATACTGCACGGTGAATCTCTTGCACGTGTGCAAGCAGCTATTAGTCATTGTTTGGGTCACGGAAACACTCTGCCCTGTTTCTCCTCTCATTCCCTGCTTGTGCATATCCCCATACACCACTCTCTCCCTCCCAGATGTTTTTTGAGAATTCTCAAAAAACATTTTGAGAATTCTCAAAAAACATACCTCAATGCACCCTGTTTCTCCTCTCATTCCGGGCTTGTGCATATCCCCATACACCACTCTCTCCCTCGCAGGCCGGCAGGGTGGCACAGTCAATCGGGCAGGTGCGCAAGAGTCAACCCCCACATACAACTCCGCTATTTTCCTTCTCATTCATGTATCTCCACCCCACACACCTCGTCTCTCCCTCGCAGGCTGGCAGGGTGGCACAGTCAATCGGGCAGGTGCGCAAGCGCACTCTCCTCCATCAGCTCCAGTCACCTCCTACACACACTCCTCTGTTTCTTTCCACATTCCTCACATATGTATACCTATCCACTTCCCTCTCTCCCACTCCCAGGCTGGCAGGGTGGCGCAGTCAATCGGGCAGGTGCGCAAGCGACTCTCCCCCACCAGCTCCACCGTCTCCTCTCAAACCCACCTCCACCTCGCAGAACCCATGTCCCCGCACCACCACCCCCCACTACCAGCACCAGCACCAGCAGCAGCAGCAGCACCATCAGCAGCAGCAGCAGCAACTGAGGCGTTTCTGTCAGAAGCTCGTTTACCTCAGACCTCTCTAGCAGCTGCTCGTTTGGGTGGGGGCGTGCAGAGGAGGGTGGTGCAGGGGGGGAGGAGTCCCAAGGCTAGCAGGCTGAGTCCTCAAGGGGATAGGCTCAGCCGTCACAACAGTGGCTCTGGCAGTTCTTGCAGCAGCTCTAGTGCTGCTGGCGCTTCTGCTGCTTCTGCTGCTGTTGCTGCTGCTGCTGCTGTTGCTGCTGCTGCTGGCGCTTCTGCTGCTTCTGTTGCTGCTGCTGGCGCTGGTGCTAGTGCTGCTGGTGCTTGGGGCATGAGCGGGAGTGACAATGCAACCCATGTTCACGGCACAAGCGGCGTTGGTGCTGATATCAGCAAGGCCTTCAGGGTTCCGGCTGCCAGGCCACGCCTGGAGCCTGAAGGTGCAACTCTGGATGTGTCTACAATCGGTGCTGCTTCTGCAGTCAGTGCTTCCACTGCTGCAACTGCTGCTGCTGCGGCTGCTGCGGCTGCTCATGGTGCCATCTCTGCTTCCACTTCTGAATCCGCTGCTTCTCCACTGCTTACCCTCGCTCCTCCTACATTCCGTCCCGTTCACTCCCCACCTGTTCCCGCTGCTGCTGCTCCGGCTGCCCCACCTGCTTTCGCTCATTCTGCTGCTGTCTCTGCTGCTGCTGCTGCTGCTGCTCTTCCAAGGGCTCTTTCAGAGGCTCCAGAGGCTCCTGGGACTCCTATCTTGGCCCTCACATCCGCCTCCTTCCTTCCCTCCTCCGCCTCGCTCCTCCCCCTCTCGCCCTGCCACCGCCCCCCCGTTGCCGCTACAGCACACGTGACTCAACTCGTCCCCTTGCAGCCTGAGACCTCCCTTTCTGCTTCTGCTGCTGCTGCTTCTGCTGCTGCCGCTGCTTCCCCTTGGCACAGCTTTGGCTTCAATTCTGGTGGTGCTGGTGATGCTGGTGCTGGCTGTGGTGCTGGTGATCCTGCTTTTGGCTGTGGGGTTGGTGTCGGTGGGATCACCCCTAGTGGTGCTCGTGCTTCTGCTGCTCTGGCGGCTGCTGCTGCAGCTACAGCGTGCCATGCACACATGGAAGATCTGATTCTGGCAGATCCACCCAAGGACCAGGGAGGCGAGGGCGGCATGGGCGTGGGTGGCATGGGTGGCGTGGGCGGCGTGGGCGGCGTAGGCGAAGTGGGAGAAGTGGGTGCCATGGGCGGCATGGGTGGCGTGGGAAGTATGGGTGGCATGGTGGATGTGGAAATGGGGGTTGTGAATCAGAGTGAAGCTGTTTCTGAGTCGACTCAAAAACAGGAAATGGGGGTTGTGAATCAGAGTGAATACCGACCAGGGCAGGGTCTGGGGCAGGAAGGCTGGGGCATGGCGAGTGGAGTAGGTGGGCCATTAAACCCAGGGCATGGGACTGGGATGGATGGGTGGGGAGGGAGTGCGAGGTGGCTGGAAAGGCAGCAGGGGGATGTGAGCATGGGAGGGCAGGAGCAGATGGGGGGACTCTTTGAGCCGCCTCTCAGGAGGTTGTTGGAGAGGCAGCAGGGGGATGTGAGCATAGGAGGAGGAGAGGAGCAAAGAGAGGCTCTGGCACAGTGGCAGGGTTTTGCACAGGGGGAGGGGGGTGGGCAGGGCGGTGGGGTTGCAGGGAGGGAATTGAGGGTGGAGAAGGAGCAGGGGAAGAGGGAGAGGCAGGAGAGAGAGCGGTTTTGGGAGGACGGGGTGGCGCGGTGGGAGATACGGTGGGAGGACATTCAGCTGGGGCAGGAGGTGGGGCACGGTGAGTTGATGCTCTCTGATTGATGCAGCATTCACATCTCGTGATCCATGGCGCTTGGACTCACAGATGCTTATCTTTCCTTCTTATTTCCACCTATCATCACTGCATGCTCTTCTCACTGCATCGTCGTCTCATCTTTCTGCATCCTCCTCTCCCCTCTCCTGCGTCTTTTGTGATGTGTGTGTGTACCTTTGCAGGGGCATGTGGCACGGTCTATCATGGCACCTGGAACGGCTCGGTAAGTGCATCAGCAACTCTTTGTCACTTACTTTCGTGTGAGAGGCACTTTTACGGCGCCTGCAGTGGCTGTGAAAAATTGCTCGTGGGATTGTTGTGAGTCGTCTCAAGCGCTCAGAAGCGTCTTTAGCCACTCGCCTTACAGCATCTCATCTCTCCTCCCTGATCCCTTTCCCTGTCTAAATTTCATTCGTCACGTGTCTCCCCTTCTAGTACCCTCTGTGTATGCCAAGCCTCATTTCGTTCATTCCCTATCCTCCCATGTCTCCTCTCTTCCTGCGCTTCCTGCTTGCCTGTATTCCGCTTTTTCTCCCGATGGCAGGACGTGGCAGTGAAGGTGTTTGCACGGCATGACATCAGCGTTGATTTCATGCGGGACTTCAAGAAAGAGGTATGTATGCGTTTTGAGGCGCCTTATTAATGTGACGAGCTTTTACGCACCTCACAGCTTATGGCAGTGAAGGTGTTTGCACGGCACGACGTTAGCGCTTATTTCATGCAGGACTTTAAGAAAGAGGTACCTTTTTTCAGAACAGACGCCCTCCGACTGCTCCTTTGCTGAGAACACGAGATCTTTTTGCTGTTCCTCTCTTCCTGTGCAAAACACTGTACCAGCAAGACCAGGGGTTCACCTGTAGGTGGGGGCTGTGTACTGTCTGCTCATAACCCATGCTCACGTCTTCCAATCTTCTCTCCTTGGCTTTCTGTCTTCTCATTCCCATTCCCACATCCTGTGCATGTTCTCCCACCGCACCCCCCTCCCACTCATTCCCTCTCAGATCCGCATAATGGAGAAGCTGCGTCATGGTCACAGAGCTTCTCCCCCTCAGCCTCAACAGCCTCATTCTCTTCCTCGCTCCCCACTGCTACCCCACCTTCTCATCCTACTCTTTTCCCCACACCCCCGCCTTACCCCCTCTCATCCGCTGATGCAGATCCGCATAATGGAGAAGCTGCGGCAGCCCAACATCCTGCTATTCATGGGAGCAGTGGCCTCCTTGGATCATCTGGATTGCGTCAGAGTTCCTCCCCCGCAGCTTGCCTCATTCACTTCCTCCCTCTTTCATTTCCCCCACCTTCTCATCCCCCCTCCCCATTCCCTTCCCCCTCAGATCCGCATAATGGAGAAGCTGCGTCACCCCAACATCTTGCTATTCATGGGCGCAGTGGCATCACTCGACCATCTCGGCATAGTCACCGAGTTCCTTCCCCCCAACTCCTCATGTCCCTCTGCCCTTCCCCCTCAGATCCGCATAATGGAGAAGCTGCGTCACCCCAACATTCTTCTCTTCATGGGCGCTGTTGCCTCCTTGGACCATCTCGCCATAGTCACGGAGTTCCTCCCCCGCGGCAGTCTCTTCCGCCTGCTGCATCGCCGTACAGCGGGGCTCACCCGCCTGCGACTGCTACGCATGGCACTGGATGTTGTGAGTGGCATGCTTTGTCTTTACTTGCTGTGTGTCCTCTCCACCTGCTGTGTGTTGTGTTCCCTCCACCTGCCACATGTCCCGTCCACTTCTACATTGTGCGCACCGGATCAATCCTACCAGTTCTACATTGTGAGAATTCTAAAAAACGTCCCGTCCACTTCTACATTGTGCGCCTCGGATCAATCCTACCAGTTCCACCTCCCTCATCCCTCCCCCCATCTTCATCTTTCCTCCCCCTCAGGCGCGGGGAGTGAACTATCTGCACAAGTGCTCGCCCCCCGTGGTGCACCATGATATCAAGTCGGCCAATCTACTCGTGGACAGGAACTGGACCGTCAAGGTATGCCTCCATCGCTTAGAACGCTAAAGACATGTTTGTTAGTCAGCCCTTTTTTTCAGGCCATTTTCGCTTTGCATCCGTAGAAAAAGGCAGGTACCTGATGTCGCATTTAATTTGCAACTCTGTCATTGATTCTCTGTCTGTATCGGCGCCCTTCCGGCCATTCATTGCGCTGCTGCCCGCATGTCCCTCCCTGCCCGGGTGTCAGTCCATATCTCACCTCCTGTCTGTCTGCCTTCCTACCTCTCGACTTGCAGGTGGGCGACTTTGGTTTGAGCAAGATGAAGTTCGCCACGTACCTCTCTGCTCGATCCGGCCGGGGGACGGTGCGTTTCTGCATGCTCTCTCCTCTTGGTCCCCCCTCCTGCGTTCCTTTTGCTGCTATCATGATGCATGTGAGCTGTCTTGTTATCGTATGCTTTGTCTAGGTCACTGGTTCAAGCACCTGCAGCTTTACCTCCAGCTGCCTCACTCCCCCCCTCACTGATTTTCTTTTATGTTCTGTCATCTTTGTCAGTTCTCTGGAACCTTTCTACTTCCTACTCTTTCATGTGTCTCACCTTTTTCTGCATTTGCTCCTTCCGCTCCTCCTTCAATCCCCCTATCCCCCTTTCCTCCGTTATGCCTGCACCAGCCCCAGTGGATGGCTCCAGAAGTGCTTCGCAACGAACCCTCTAACGAGAAGTGAGTTGCTTACTGATCAAGCGATGTATTAATCTCTTATCCCCTGCGATCGTGCATCTTGACATTGGTTCATCCTCATCATCTTGACATTAATCTCTTTCCTCCGTGTTACATGCTCGATGAGAGTTCTCTGGGAGATAGTTTAGTTGGCTGTGCGCCCTCTGACATGCTATGTGCTCCTTAAACCCCCCCCATGTGCTGTGCTACCCGTGCAATCCCCAACCGTGCAGGTCCAACGTGTACAGCTTGGAAGTGTTGTTGTGCGAGATGGCTTTTTGGTGTGCGTCCTCTCGTGTGCTCATGCTTAACCACCCCTCCTTGCAACCTACAACCCATCCCTGCAGGTCTGATGTGTACAGCTTTGGGGTGGTCCTGTGGGAGATGGCAACACGCCAGGTGCCATGGGAGGGCATGAACCCCATGCAGGTGGTGGGGGCCGTGGGCTTCCTGGACCAGCAGCTGCCTCTGTCTCCATCCATTGATCCTGCCATGAGGCTCCTCATCTCCGACTGCTGGCGCAGGTATGATCCGGGCAGGTACGGCTGGCGCAGGTATGATCTGGGCAGGTACCATGGGAGGGGATGAACCCCATGCAGGTGGTGGGGGCCGTGGCCTTCCTGGAGCAACAGCTACCTCTGCCTCCATCCATTGACCCAGCAATGAGGCTTCTCATCTCTGACTGCTGGCGCAGGTACGACTGGGGAAGGTACAACTGGCGCAGGTGTAATTGCGGTGGGTGCGATAGGGTAGGTGAGGTTCCTGGAGCAACAGCTGCCTCTGCTGCCATCCATCGACCCAGCTATGAGGCTTCTCATCTCTGACTGCTGGCGCAGGTACGGCTAGGGCAGGTTGCAGCTGGGTCAGGTACAACTGGGGAAGACGTGACTGTTTAGAGTGCGACTGGAGCGGGTTTGACCGGGGCATGTACAACTAGGGAGGGTACAACTGGGGAAGGTGATACTGTTTAGAGTGTGACTGGAGCGGTTTTGACTGCGAAGAGTGCAACTGGGGCAGGTGCGACTGGGGCAGGTGCGACTGGCACACACGTTCCTGTGACAAGTGCATCTGGGACAGGTAGGAACTTAGGCGTCCCAATCAAAACCTCGTGTTTCAAATCCTCCAAGTGCGTAGAATGAAGCTATCTGTTTCAGAGGCAGTGTTTGAGAATCCAACACTAGTGTGGCGTTTTCTTATCTTCATGCGTCCTTCTATCCCTTTGTCTCCGTCATTCTTGTTGGCCCCAGCCCCATGGAGCGACCGTCATTCGATGAGATTACTTCGAGACTGAAGAGCATGGTGCAGGAGCAAGAGCTGCAGCAGCAGGTGGATGGGAGAGGCGTGTAAACAACCGACGATGAGCAGGAACAACAGAAGCTTGCGGTCGGGAGATGGGTGTAAATCACAAGTAGGAAGGGCAGGTGGACGGCATGGCAGTCTCACTTCAAGCCAACAGAACTGGAGTAGCCAGATAGAACCATGTTGTTTTCTACACCGACTGAGGGGACTGACATTTAGTGTACATAATTAGAGCGTGGGTTGCTAGCGCTTCCGGAGCTTTCTGGATGCAAAAACTAGAATGCTTTGCTCATATAGTGTAGCAGTGTAGCATCTGTACTAGTATATGTACAGAACTTGTCAGCTACATGTAATGCTTGCTGTAAGCTAATCTATACTTTCAAACTTCATGTTGTTTACTTGCGTGTGAATTGTGATGTCCTGGCAGGTCTACTTACAGCTGGGTGTAATGCGACCTGCCGATTGAAAGGTAACCAACCAGCCAACGTGAATCGAGTTGATCAGTCATCATCCCGCACCTTGTATCTGGTTCTTCACTGGTTTCAAACTGTTCTTCACCTACCATCCTGCCATGAATGACCCCTCCACACACACCCCCCCTCCACACACACCCCTCCACACACACCCCCCCTCCACACACACCCCTCCACACACACACCCCCTCCACACACACCCCCCCTCAACACACACCCCTCCACACACACCCCTCCACACACACCCCTCCACACACACCCCCCCTCCACACCCCCCCCACAAAACCTCCTTCACACACCCCCCTCCACATATCCCCATCCAGTCTATTAGGTCATGGCAACCTTCCGCTTCACTTTCCTCCGAACCACACGGTCAGCCCCTACCTTCTCCCCTCCACCTTCACCACCCTTCCCCTCCCCTTCCCCCTTCCCTGCTACTTTCCTCACACCACGTCGCCTTGCCCCCACCGTCCCTTTGACTCTCCTCTTGCTGCTCCCAAAGCCGAGGAATCGAAGCAGGGATGAGAGCGTGGGCCTGCTGCCGAGCCTCTTGCCCGAACCTGCGAGAGAGGGTCGGTGGTAGGCCCGGTGCTCTGCCTGTGCCTGCTGCACGGATTCGCTGTCCAGCCCGAGCCAGGAGAGGCGTGATGGCTCGCCCAGCAGTATATTACCGACCCTGTGGAAGAGGTTCGGGGAAGACGAAGGTGCATTTAGGAAACAGAATTAGGGATGGCGCCAGTGCTGCTGAGAAGGGCTACAAAGATAACCTTTGAGTGATATCGATAGTCAACTCAAAAGCCAAATCGCCGGAGATAAATCGGAAGGGGGGATATCATCCAAATTGCCGGACATGGCCATTCAAATGATACTCCCCCTTCTCAAGAGCAGTCCCGTCAAATGAAAAATCGATTCGGAAGGCTGCCACAAAAAGGACTCACCTCAGGGCAGTGGTGCCGAGGATGGCTACAGGAATGTGGTTAAAATGCTCCTGCAACACCCGGTCCGCCCCATACAGCAGCTGATACCGAAGGTTCCCGGAGAGACCTGTGAAGGCACCGAATGCTACGGCCGATTTTCCCGGCGATGGCACTGCTACAGATGATTGATACTGATCCGCCTCCCCACTCCCTCCACTTGCTACTCCCTCTTTCTCCTGTGATGCTCCTGCTGCTGCATTCTTTTTTCCTCTCATCCCTTTCAATATGGCATTTGAAACTGCCCCACCCGCAGCACCCACAGCCGAGCCAATCAAGCTCAGTTGGGCAGCGTGGAAAAAGAAACTGCCCACCCGCTCGGGCAGCTTGAATTCCCGGAGCGCGTAGCTCCGATCGAAAACATTATTGGGCAGTTTTTGCAGCGCCATCTGCCACTCATTAGTGGCGGTAGAGCCGTAGGATCGAGAGGGGGAGAGGCACCACACAAGCGCCAGGTTACAGAGGGAGAGAGTGAGGACGTTGGTAAGGGCTAGGGGCCATTCGCGGATAAGTTTCGACTTTCCATCCTGCCCGTCCTGCCCTTCCTGCTGCCCGTTCTGCTGCCCGAGCCGCTGCTGCACCTCCCAATGCACTGCTGTGGCGACGGTGGCGGCTTGCTCGAGAGCGAGCTTGAAGAGGAAGGCCGGATCTGCCATCATTCTGAGCGGTTGAGCAGGGTTGGGGAGAGTGTGGAGAGATGTAGGACGGAATAGAGAAGTGGGGTGGTGGGGGAAGTGGGGTAACTTGCACTCGAAAGTTTCCATAAGTAGAAGAGGAAGAAAGAAACTGATGTATTGGATGAAACTACTCGCCTGTATGGCGATGTCCTACAGGCATGGATGAATTCAGGAGAGTAATCAGCACACCCCCAGCTGACTTTTGAGTCGACTCAAAAGTCAAATCAGCACACCCACCAGGCCAGCACACCCACCAGGCCAGCACACCCACCAGGCCAGCACACCCACCAGGCCAGCACACCCACCAGGCCAGCACACCACACCCACCCCACCCACCTGCCAATGAAGGCGCGGGAGAGCTCTGGAGGGGCGATTCGAGAGACGAATCTTGCGATCGTGGGGCGCGCATCCATGCTCATGAGACGTGCCACCTGCGCTGAACTTACCACGCCCTGCTCAAATGAGTAGGGCGAGCCGGGGGGGAATAGGAGCAGGAAGTGAGAAGGTGGAAGGGCAAGAAAAATGAGAAATCTCAAGAGGAAGCGGCGGAGGCCAAGGAGAGGTGTGCTTCTACTACAAGAAGCGGGGACACCGTTGGAGGAGGTGCTACAAACAGCCTCAAGATTGTACTTCGCCGAGTCGCGCATCCATGCTCATGAGCCGCACCAGCTGCGCCGAACTCACCACGCCCTAGAGAAGAATCAGGAGAAGAAGGGGGCGAGGACGGGGGGGGGAAGGGGAAGCAGGGAGGGACCATGATTCGCTGGTGAGTCATGCGTCCTTGCTCATGAGCCGCTATGATTGGCGGATCTACCGCCCTCTCCATCACTCACGACCACTCAACACCGCAAACAGCCACCCACCACCACCCACCGCCACTCACCAGCTCCAGAGCGCGCCGAATTCCAGCAGGCAAGTCCGCCACGGTTCGAAACCGTTCTTCCAGCACCGCCTGCATGGACGCGCGGTCAAACACCTCCCCGTTCCTCCACCACTCACCAACATCCACTCACCAGCTCCACGACCCTTCGTATCCCTGCCAGTAGATCCGCCATGGTTCGAAACCACTCCTCCAGCACCGCCTGCACGGACGCGCAGTCGAACACCTCCGTGACGACTGCGCAACGGATAAACCCGTCGTCGTCGTTTTGTGAGGCGCCTCACAAGCACTGCCTGCAGTGACGCGCGGTCAAACACCTCAACTCACTGCCCCTGACCGCCACTCACCATCTCCACGGCTCGTCGGATCCCAGCCGGAAGGTCTGCCATGGTTCGAAACCACTCTTCCAGCACCGCCTGCACGGACGCGCGGTCAAACACCTCCGCGACGACCGCGCGACGGATGAACCCGTCGTCGTCGCCGTCGTCGCCGTCGTCCTCGCCGAAATAGTCGTCGTCGTCGCCCCCGTCGTCGCCACCGTCGCCGCCCCCGTGCCCGATTCCTTTACCGATGTTGCCGCCGCCTCCCCCAAGCTCCACCTAAAAAAAATCTCACGGTAAATGCATTCTTTTGCTTACAGGCAATTGGGGGAAAAAATGGGGAGTGGGGATCAGGCGGAAGCGACAAAGCGCTCAACTCGCCTAGAATCTGGGGTGCTTCACCTGCGCGCCGGTTTTGGCGGTGGAGAATGAGAGGTCGAGCTTCGACTTCTCCAGAGTGGCGCCGCCGAACGCACCGTAGCCTTTCTTCATGACGGGAACCATCATCCGGCCCGCCGGCACCGGCGGGAAATCGGACGGCCCTCCTTCGCCCTTCTCCTGACTCTGCCCCTGCTCCCCCGCCAAACCCGCTCCTCCTCCCGCCGCCGCGATCGGTACCCTTCTCCTCTGACTGGAACGACCGCGCTTGTGGATTTTGCGTGAGATACTAGGAGGATGTTTTGGGACAAGACTTTGTGACAGGAGGGTCGGGCTAGACGCGAAAGCCAGGGATGGGATTCGAGAAGGCGGAAGAAAAGACGAGTGCAGAGCGGAAGGGGGTGAGGACGCCTTGCGGGCTTTGGGATACTTAACGTGCTGAGCGAACGAGGTATTTGGTTGAAGTAGCATGGCTGATCCTAGGGGCAGACGCGCCGCCATGCTCGTACTAGGCGGTAAGTACCGTATTCTATATTTCTGGCTCTTGAGCTGTTTCAAATTAGCTCTCGAAAATCTTCCTAGTCGGAGGATGACCCGCTTTGGCCGACGCAGCTAAAGCATCTCCTACTCTAGCTCAACTGAGCTTGCCTTGGCCTCGCTTGCGTCAGAAACTGGATTTGAGCTAGAAGATGGAAGGGAAGGAAGTGATGCGAATGGAATGAACGTAAGGAAGCAAATGCACGGGCGTTGCACGGGCGTTGAGATTGTTTTCGTTCATTACGCGTTTGTTTGGCGCTTGGGAATGTCGAAATGAACGAAAACAATTTCACCAATTGTTCTCAAATAGAGGCTTTGTGAGAGCATATACTGTACAGCAGTGTCATTTAGTGAACTTCCACATGTTTCCAGAATACGGGCAGTTTCGAGCATTCGTGAAATTTCTGGAATTTGCTCATGTGTTGATTTGGAAATTGGCATGCCATCTGTCTGGGATTTATTTTTTTTGCCTCGGGCATTTTGTCGTTTTTTGGTTTCGTCTTTGTCGTTTCCTCGCCTGCTACGTTCCGTTGAGATATACCAAGCTAAAACAAGCGCGCCTTCTATGCAACGAGGTTCAACCAATCATCAGCTGTATAAAAAAAGAGTGCCACGCGGGCAACCGAGACTCGCTGTAAAAGTGCAAAACCACGTAGAAAGAGATCTTCCCCGCTATTGACACAGCTCATCAGGACGAACGGAACGCAACCCGTCTACAGAAATGCAACCCGTTTACAGGAATGCAGAATACAGAAACTCGTCTAAAAAAAAACCGTGAACTTCTATAGCCAGCCTAAATGGAAGCTTGATCCACTATAAGCTGTCTGCTCTACTCACACTAGCCAACTTAGCCAGCAGGAGACTGAACCATATAATGGAAGACCACTAACACCACCTCCACTGCTTGCTATATTAGACGATGACCAACTTCTGGTTGGGTTGTGCGGACAGCCCGACATATTTATGGAAGAGGTGAGTGATGGCGCTGACGTAGCGAGCATGAAAATCATCCACTGACTCACCCTCCTTGGGAAAAAGTGGCTTGCCCACAACCACCAAGAGATCCCTGATTGGTTGGGGAGAGGCAGGAAAGAGGGGAAGGGGAGGAGGGGAAACGAGCTTGTTTTCAGGTAGCATATACTAGAATTTTCCGGGGTAAAAAAGAACAAAGAACATATGCTGCAAAGAAGCCCATCCAGGTTACCATTCAGGTCCTGTCCTAGGCATCATGCTTACCGCCTGAAGGGCAGGGTGAGGTTCCAGGCCCCACGCATGAATGGCACTCCAATGTTGATGTGCCGGTTCACCTTTTCCCAGAACTGAAGGAACCACACTGGGTCATGCTTGAAGAGCTGATGGCGGCACGGGAACAGAAAGGGTAAAAAATGCGTCCAGTGGGGAGTGAGAAAGAAGTGCCTGTTGGATTTTACATTTTTCCGGAAAGTAGCGGAACCATACTGCATCATGCTTGAAGAGCTGTCGGGGATGCATGAGTAAAACACCAGGGGCATTTGGTGGGCGATGAGAGCATAATAAGGAAGGAAAAAGCAGAACAAACAAGAAGCGCATGGACGGGCAAGAGGTGGTGGGGGTGTGGATACTTTGAAAAGGGGGTGTGAGAAGGTGGGACTGGGAGGCAGGATTTGGAACATTATATCTACTTTAAGCACCCATCGTAGCTCATACAGTCCACCTCGTGCATTGCATTGCGTGGCCTGCCTGTGATGCACACATTCACACCTGGTTCTCATTGAAGCAGTAGATGGGGATGATTCCCACCTTCTCCTGCACTGCTATGCGTGCTAACTCCTCACAGATCATAGAATAACTCGCATGTGATGGCATGGCATGGCATGTGACACGCACACACATACACACCTGGTTCTCATTGAAGCAGTAGATGGGGATGACTCCCACCTTCTCCTGCACTGCTATGCGTGCAAACCCCTTCCTGTTAACCCCACAACACCGGCACCACACACAAACCAACCAACCAACCAACCAACCAACCAGGATCAGCATAAACGGAGGCAAATCAGGGTCAAAAGACTGTACAACAGCAACGCAAGAAACACAACAACATGAAGAGGAAAGCCTTAGACTCGCCCAAGAGGCCACAATCCACAGTATTCTTGTCCTGCTTTCCTGCTTCTTTGTCTGTTAACCCTTCTTCCCATGACTACATCGATAAGAGAAACATATCACCCACCCATTTTCACCACCAACTGGGACGCACACCGTGAATACTGCCTGCGGAAACTGTGTCATACCTCCTCATCAAATAAAGCTTGTCGGTGTGGGACGTCGTGCCAAGGCAGACCTCCTTGAGCCCCCCGATCACAATCGCCATCTGCAGGGCGTTCCAAAAAGGGGATTAGTCCGAGACGCGGATTAACTTAATAGGGGGGTTAGTCCAGGGGGGATTGGAATGCGTCATCTTGACATATGATATGACCAACATAGGGAGGTACAGCAAGCACACACCGTGTGTCACCAACACCCCCTAGAGGATAAGTTTCTTGACAACTAGTTACAAGACACTCACGTGGTTCTTCTTCCTCAGCTCCCTACGGATGTTGGATTCGCTGGCAGGCATGGTCCCCGGCAGGTTCAGCAGGTGGGTGGGTACCAAAAGTCAAAAGATACCTTTTTGTGTGCCTTACCCCCCCTCAACAACTCACGTGGTTCTTCTTCCGCAGCTCCCTGCGGATGTTGGATTCGCTGGCAGGCATGGTTCCGAGCAGGTATAGCAGGTTGCGCAGCACAGGCACCGAGTAGAACCCTGCTGCCGCCCCGGCAAAGAAGTCACCTGAGGGCGGGGGGACGATTCGTTATGCAAGGAAAGAAATGCGACTTGTTATTACAGGGACTAATTCTTCAGGCATACGCACAGACAGAACTCCCATATGGCAGGGAATTCGGGATAATTTATGAAAAAAAAAAATCAACACACCTTTGGGGCAGAAGTTTTTTCTCCATTCGTAGTTGGTCTGGATCATCATGGTGTTGGTGTAGAACATGCGGCCGTGTGGATGGAACGCGAAGATGTATGCACTATCGGGGATGAGGTCCTTGGGGGCGATGTAGCGAACCCGCTTCATGTAATACGCCAATGCCTCGTACAGAAACTGGTAACGGGTGGACAAAAAAGGGTAACAGGAGTTCTATGGTAACGAATACTGTACTATCGGTGATGAGGTCCCTGGGGACGATCTACCGCTCTCGCTTCACTTAGTACGCCAGGGCCTCGAAAAGGAAATATTAAACGGGTGGCGAAAGGATCGGTGAGCCGTATAAAAAACTTGTTATCGGGGATAAGATCCTTGAATGGGACGTAGCGCACTCCCTTCTTGTAACAATTATTGTCTGGTCGCTTGTGAGTCGCTATCACCATATCAATAACAGCTGACTGATTCCTTCATGTTCCTTGACCCAGACCACTGGTCACACTGGGCGTTATTCAGAACAACCGCTTAACGTCACAGAATTAGAGGTTCCTTTACGTTAGGTGAAACATGGCGAAAACAATGGCGGCACAGGTAATGGAAAATACTTGAAAGCTGACCACATGGAACACGCCAAGGCTCACTCATACACGGATTGATTTTTAAGCCCCTATTCGTTTATGTGAAACCCCAATGTCCATAATATTATTTTCATGATTCACGCTCTGTACTCACGACGAGGCGTCGGCGAATGGAGCGATTGTAGTAGGGCGGGCAGACCGCGAGGACGAAGAGAACGACCGTTACTATAAGTGGACCCCACCAGCCCAGCAACCTGAAAGAAGCGTTTCAGTCAACAAAGTTCCAGACTTCAGAAAATGCAGGAGATAAGTCTACATAAACTCTTAAAGGAAGGAGAAAGCGAAGACGGAAGAGAATGAGAAGCATCGAAATGTGAAGGAAATCATGAAAGCAGCACTAACATAACGATTTACGAAAAAGTAGTTAAGGACGTCTTGGTGACGTTGTCAGGATCCATAAGGAATCATGGTAACAGCAGTCAATGGAAAACTTACTGGTACGCAAGATAATAGTTGAGGATGGTGTTGACAATAGGCATGAGTGTGAACGGAATCATGTGGTAGCAGTAGACGATGAGAAGATCCGATAGACGCATCGGCCGTGGCTTCACCATATCGCGGATCTCCATGCCATCCTTTTCTAGAAGCTTCGACAACTCAGCCTCGTCTTTCCCGTCCTCGGGCGTGTATATATGATCGTCTTTATACTCGTCCTGAACAGGCTGAGAAACAGCTCGCCGGACAACGGTGTTTTTAGGGTCTGATCCGTCCATGCCGTTTGAAACGCTCGCCTGTATTACTGTTGCCACGTTGGGGCTCATGGCAATACAATAGAAACCTTGGTCTTACCGTGATTCGTCACGGTATGCTGCCTACTGCGAGTATCTCACCTCTATTGCAGGCGAGATCAGCTCACCCAGCGCTTCGCCTAATCCAATAAACTGGAAGAATAAATTAAATCTGCTCGAGTTCAGTTGTAGATCCTAGACTCATACCAATAAAAGTTTCACCTTCCTGTCCTTAGGTTCGCATTCCTGCTGTGAGTTGTGTATCTTGGCAATGGTTTCAGATCACAGAATTGGACGGCGCTGCTGGCTCGAGCTCTGGTGCGAAAATCGTAACCATTGTTATTTCTGGAGGGAAAAGAGGGGTGCTACAGCTGTACTTCGAGAACATCCAGGCGAGTCTAATATAAACGGTGGAGATAAGTCGGATATGCTAGGCTGTTGTGTCATGGCAGACGGAAATTGTGACGTGGACATGGTGGGAAGAATTGAGCTCGTGGATTCCGCCGATCTGGGAAAAACGACTGGGAAAAGACAGCGGACAACGCGCTATTCCACGGAAATAGGAAGCCATCCGAAACGCAGGAGCCAATACGCGATACAACCTGTCGAGTTTGACGCAACAGCGGAACAGTGTCGTTGTATGCACCTATGCCATTAGCCACACAAGTGCTTCCTAAAACACCATGTGAAGCACAATACCACACATGTATTGCACGTTGAAGAACAAAACAGAAACATATCGAGCCCAACATCTTCAAGAAGCTTCTTGTTGCAAGAAAGGATTGGCTATTTCCTCTGTGCCATCCGTTGGAGCTATGAGCATCACCGCTGTTCCTCTACACACCTGCGCACATGCCACCAGCAGCACATGGAACGACAATTAAAGGAAGAACAGGAATGTGGTGCCAGGAGGAGGAAAGTAACGAGAGAAAGGTGAAGGGTATGAAGTGAGGAGGAGAAGACGAGGAAAGAAATTGACCGCAGTTGGAAGGGAAAGAAGACAACTACCCGGATGGCATGCTGAAGAGACTGCACAAAGATACAGCCCATACATTGAACCCAAGTAGTGCTTACAATGAGCCCTAGCGGTCGTGTCTGCTCAGTCAGACGTAGGGGGTCCTCTGGATCTGTAGCAGGTGATGCAGAAACGAGGACAGTGGAGGCCAGAGAGCAGGTGATAACAAAGAGGGATAAGCAGTATCAGAAGCCATACCAAAACAACCACCTATTCGCCTTCACCTGACATTCCCTGCATCAGTAATCCATTAATAAAAGGTTGCTTGCTCAATGCAACTCAGAGAACAAGCCCTAACCTTCTCAAGCTTCCATCCGACCTCTCGCCATCCTCTCACCATCCTCTCGCCATCCTCTCACCATCCTCTCGCCATTCTGTCGCCCCTCTCTCGCCTTCCGTTCGCCCCCAATCCCACACCACTCTCATATTGCACTGCTTCACTTAGCACACAGCCAGTCAGCCATCCGTTATCATAAGAGCACTATCAAGTCAAATGGTCCATCCATCCATCCCTTCCAAAAAGCTATCTTTCGCATCACCCACCCACACATTCAGGAAAACCGGGAAAGTGAGGCACCTAAAAAGTCCGCCCATCCATCCCTTCCAAACAGCTTCCTTTCGCTTTACCCACACTTTACCACAGAACCAAACCTAACACGCCGCCAACTCTTCCTCTTCTTCCGAACCTAACAAGCCACAACACCGCCCCCCGTACAATCCTCACCCACCTCTTCTAACCCCTCCCAAACACTCACCTGCCTCATCTAGTACCACCATCACGCTTCACCGTCCTCCACCCTTTCAAACCTCGCTCAATCGATCCCAACCTCTCCTACTGCAACTCTCTCACACTCCAGTGCCTTTATCCATGTCAAACCTTAATCCATGTCAATCCTTTATCCATGTCAATCCTTTATCCATGTCAATCCTTTATCCATGTCAATCCTTTATCCATGTCAATCCTTTATCCATGTCAATCCTTTATCCATGTCAATCCTTTATCCATGTCAATCCTTTATCCATGTCAATCAGCCAGCCATACCCCTTCAGCAATCAGTAGTACAATTCTACCACTCCTGCATCCTCCCCATCCTTCTTCCCCCCTCCACTCCACCCTTCTCCCATCAATCGTGCCAGGCCCTCTCCCAACCCCCACCCGCCCTTCTCCCCTTCCCTCCCCCCCACTACAACCACTAATTTCTCCCCTACCCACCTCGCTCATACTCCACCGCCTCATCCAGCACGAGGTTGATCAGCTGGTCGTACCCCTTCAACGTGCCCATCACTGGTTGGAGGGGAAAGGAAAGGGAGGCGGGGGTTGAAGGGGGAAGGGCGGGCGAGGAGAAGGGAAGAGGAGGGGGAGGTAAGGGGTGTTGATGAAATGGGGGCAGTTAGGATACGCGCAGTTGAGAAGCTTTGAGAAGAGGAGAGGAGGAATTAAGCGTTGAGACCATTCGAGGAGGCAGCCAGACTGCCTGCCAGCCAGCCAGCCAGCTGGTCAGTTCATGTCATCCGGTTATAATCACCCTCTTTTTTACTCACACACACCCCTGTATAATCACCTTGTCGTCCCCCGTTAAGCTTCACGCACACCCCCTTATCCACCAGCCTCGCTAGGTCGAGCACTGTTTCCTTGCGACCCGACTGCCGCAAACGGGGAGGAGCATTAAGGGTACGACAGGTAGGTACTATAAAGAGAGGCGAGGGGAGCAGAAACGCGGGGGATGAATGGGGATGGAAGGGGTAGGAGGGGGGGCAGGTGGAGGAGCGGAGCAGGAAACTCAAATGGGTACGATGAGGTGTAGTTACGACATTGTACGAGAATCCAGGTTACAGTGTCTCGGTCGTCGCTACGTGTCGTCACGACTTGTCGTTGTCTAGAGAGCGTTTTGTGAAAAGGTGGTGTTGCGGAAAGGAAGGGGAATTGGCGCACCATTGTTCTTGAAGAGTCGGGATGGGGGTTCGCCGGAGGGAAAGGAAGACGAAGCAAAGCTTGACGAGGTGCCGCCAAAAGACCGAGAGAATCTATCAGATTCGCAGATGACTAGGATGCTGGTCAGTGGAAACAGTTGAAGCGCGGATTCGGAGTTGAGAGAGGAAACAAGAAATCGAGATGCACAGACCGTCGATCTTCAACGGGAAAAATAATGACGTGATGCAACGACGAAAAAATATTGGCGAAAATCCGAGACACAAAGCAAATGGACAGGCTCGCCTACAAGCGATTCTTTTACTGCGGTTGAATAAGGGAATTTATTAGTAACAGCTACAAACCCAATTTTCCGAAGCTTCATTAGCGAGGTTACATTTGCCTTCTATGTGAAGTTGGAGCGCTGATATCGAGGATATATTTCATCCTACAATGTCGGGTCGCGGAAGATCCAGTCCGACGTGGCAGATAAGCAGCATCAAGGCGGGAACCACACTGAGCCGAGGGCCCATTTTCAAAACTGCTGCGAACACTGATGCACCAGGACGACTTTCGAGAACAGGGTCATTTCACCTCACCGAGTTTTAAGGAGAAGTGACCTTGCTCTGTGTCCGTCGAGCCACACGATCGGAAGTCTTTTCATAATCTCGGTTCTGATTCTCAAGCCTAGGGAACGACGACAGAGCGTTCTGTGACACATTCTCTGGAAAAAAACGCGCCCGCATCCTATTTGTCACTCTGGTCCTATTTCTCCCATGCTCGAAGATTTCTAGGAGATTCCGCCCCTCCATCACCAAAATCCCAAACTGCTGCTAACCAGCCAAACAGCTAGTTTCTTGTTACACCTTGCTGGTGATTTAAGACAGTCACGCCTTATTGCTTTTACCACCCCGCAAGTCGCGGCGGTCATTGCCGACGTTTTTGGTGCTCTTTGTCGTTACCGTTTCTCGCTCGCGTCAGCCATGGCGGCCGTGTCGCTCCCGGTTCGCCTTTGCTCCGTGCCGTCCAGCCCGTCGTTCTCGCCCAGTGTGAGGCGGCAAGGGAGCCTTTCGCGACAGCATTCGCGACACTTTAAGGTACGCCTGGTAGCCTCGCGTCGGCGTGCGAAATGATGTTGCGAATCGCTGGCTTTATTATTCGGCTGAGAAACGCACGTGTAGTGTTGACGTCTGCTGATCGGTTCACGTCCAATGCGCGGCGTGATAATAAGTTCTGTTTACTATTTTTTTCAGTCACGTCTTGAGAACCCCAGAACTGATGATAAATCAATCAGCAGGTGTGTCTGATATGTGTGCGCCTGGTGCGATTTGCTGGGCTCTAGAAGCAACTGTTGTCTTTTTTTTTTTTTTTTTTGGTTGGAGATACTATTACTTTTTGAAACGTATACGGAAAAGTCGTCACAACGCGTATGTTTTGTGTCAAACCTGCACCGTTGCGCAGGATAACACGTGTCAGCCCTGTGAAAAGCTGCTTCAGGAGCAGCGACGTCAGCAAGAGCTTCATGCGAGACCAAAAAAACGCGGTCTTCCCGCCGACAAACGCGGCGCCTCCGTCAGCATGGCCGCCGCTGGCGGCAGCAGCAGCAGCAGCGGCAGCAGCGGCGCGAGCAACAAACCAGCGGCAAACACGGCGGCCAACAAGGCGGCCAACGCGGCGGCAAACGCGGCGACAAATGCGGCCGCCATGGCTCAGAAGTTCGTTAAGTCGGTGGAATCGGCGCCAGTCGTGCGGCGCGTCGACGCGTGGGCGGTAAAGAATAAGATCCCCAAAGAGCTCTCACTGGCCTTGCTCTGGTCCGCAGCTGTCCTCTCCCTCGCTGCTGTCACACTCGTTTTAAGGTTCGTCTTCGGCCTGCTCCGGGTCGTGTTCTCCTCTATAGGAAACGTTTTCCGCAAGGCTCCCGCTGCTGCTGCCACTGCTGCTCCTGCTGCTGCTGCTGCCGCTGCTGCCGCTGCTGCCGCTTCCGTCGTTGCCGTGACTCCCGCGGAGGCCGCGGCGCTGGTGACGGTGCCGACGGTTGAAGGGGTGCTGGAGGGGCGGGTGGAGGAGGAGGAGGCAGTGAGGCTGCGACTGGTGGAGATGGAGATTAGGGAGAGGGAAGAAGAGAGGAAGAGAGAGGAGGAGAGGAGGAGGGAGGAAGAGGAGGAGGAGGAGAGGAAGAGAGTCGAGGCGGAGGTGAAAAGGAAGGCGGAGGAAGTGAGGAAGAGGGAGGAGGAGGAGAGGAAGAAGGAGGAGGAAGCGGCGAGGGCGCGTGCGGAGGCAGAGGAGAGGGAGAAGAGAGAGGAAGAGGAAAAGAGGACGAGAGAGGAGGAGGAAAAGAGGAAGAGAGAGGAGGAGGGAAAGAGGAAGAGAGAGGAGGAGGGAAAGAGGAAGAGAGAGGAGGAAGGGGTGAGACGGAAAGCAGAAGTTGCGGCGGCAGAGGCTGCAAAGGCGGATAGGGAGGAGAAGTTGCAGGAGAAGGAAAGGGAGAGGAGAGAGAGGGAGGAGAGGAAGGAGAGGGAGGAGAGCGAGGAGATAGAGGGGAAGGCTAGGCAGTTGGAGGAGGCGTGGCAGGAGGAGCAGCGGCAGCGCGCCGAGCTGGTGGAGCAGGCCGTTGCTGACGTGGCACGCGCGTACGAGCGCAAGCTTGCTGAGCTGGAGGCGGCGCACGAGGCTGAGGTGGCTGCGGTGCGGCAGGCCACGGAGGCCAGCGGGGCGATGGGCGACGGACAGGTGGAGGAGATGGCACGACTCCGGGTGAGTGTGACAGCATGTTAGTTTTATGACCTCGTATGAAAAACCTGATATCTGATGGGCGACGGACAGGTGGAGGAGATGGCACGACTCCGGGTAAGCTTGATAATAAGTTGGTTCTGAGACGTCTAGAAATTTGTTTGCTACTATCAGATTGCGAACGGACACGTGGAGGAAATGGCACGGCTCCGGGTGAGTGGGTGGGCGTGGATGAGAGCGGGTAGGAGCGTTGGTGAATAGGGGGAAGAGGAGAGAGCGGAGGCCGGCGGGGTGATGGGCGACGGTCAGGTGGAGGAAATGGCTCGACTCGGGGCGAGTTTGACCACCCTGACTCGGGGCGAGTTTGACCACTCTGACTCGGGGTGAGTTTGACCACCCTGACTCGGGGTGAGGAAATGAATCAAACGAACTCTGGTCAAATGGAGGAATCTGGGGTGAGACCTCTGAGAAAAAACGAACTTGTTTATCATCTGATGGGATGCGAACAGGTGCAAGAGATCGCTATTCTGGGAGTGAGTGAGGTTTTGGGGTGGGAGCGCGAATTGGTGGGTGGGTAAATAACCGTGATCTGGGGATTGACGGGAGAAGTGTGGCAGAAGGGTTGGCACGACTGAGTGTGAGCTTGGGGGTAGCAAATAGAAAGCAATGTATGAGGAACCGAAGAAGGAGAAATAAGACCACGCCCACTTTCTCTTTCTCTTACTCCCTCCCACTGCCTCTGGCTATTCACTCTTTCTCTTTCTCTCCACATCACTCTTCGTGCCCACCCACATCCCCCCTCAAAAAACCCCCTCTCGCTCCCTCTCGCTCCCTCTCGCTCCCTCTCGCTCCCTCTCGCTCCCTCTCGCTCCCTCTCGCTCCCTCTCGCTCCCTCTCGCTCCCTCTCGCTTCCCACGCTCCCTCTCGCTCCCTCTCGCTCCCTCTCGCTCCCTCTCGCTCCCTCTCGCTCCCTCTCGCTCCCTCTCGCTCCCTCTCGCTCCCTCTCGCTCCCTCTCGCTCCCTCTCGCTCCCTCTCGCTCCCTCTCGCTCCCTCTCGCTCCCTCTCGCTCCCTCTCGCTCCCTCTCGCTCCCTCTCGCTCCCTCTCGCTCCCTCTCGCTCCCTCTCGCTCCCTCTCGCTCCCTCTCGCTCCCTCTCGCTCCCTCTCGCTCCCTCACCCTCCCTCTCGCTCCCTCTCGCTCCCTCTCGCTCCCTCTCGCTCCCTCTCGCTCCCTCTCGCTCCCTCTCGCTCCCTCTCGCTCCCTCTCGCTCCCTCTCGCTCCCTCTCGCTCCCTCTCGCTCCCTCTCGCTCCCTCTCGCTCCCTCTCGCTCCCTCTCGCTCCCTCTCGCTCCCTCTCGCTCCCTCTCGCTCCCTCTCGCTCCCTCTCGCTCCCTCTCGCTCCCTCTCGCTCCCTCTCGCTCCCTCTCGCTCCTCCCTCCTCGCTCCCTCTCGCTCCCTCTCGCTCCCTCTCGCTCCCTCTCGCTCCCTCTCGCTCCCTCTCGCTCCCTCTCGCTCCCTCTCGCTCCCTCTCGCTCCCTCTCGCTCCCTCTCGCTCCCTCTCGCTCCCTCTCGCTCCCTCTCGCTCCCTCTCGCTCCCTCTCGCTCCCTCTCGCTCCCTCTCGCTCCCTCTCGCTCCCTCTCGCTCCCTCTCGCTCCCTCTCGCTCCCTCTCGCTCCCTCTCGCTCCCTCTCGCTCCCCCCTCGCTCCCTCTCGCTCCCTCTCGCTCCCTCTCGCTCCCTCTCGCTCCCTCTCGCTCCCTCTCGCTCCCTCTCGCTCCCTCTCGCTCCCTCTCGCTCCCTCTCGCTCCCTCTCGCTCCCTCTCGCTCCCTCTCGCTCCCTCTCGCTCCCTCTCGCTCCCTCTCGCTCCCTCTCGCTCCCTCTCGCTCCCTCTCGCTCCCTCTCGCTCCCTCTCGCTCCCTCTCGCTCCCTCTCGCTCCCTCTCGCTCCCTCTCGCTCCCTCTCGCTCCCTCTCGCTCCCTCTCGCTCCCCACGCTCCCTCTCGCTCCTCTCGCTCCCTCTCGCTCCCTCTCGCTCCCTCTCGCTCCCTCTCGCTCCCTCTCGCTCCCTCTCGCTCCCTCTCGCTCCCTCTCGCTCCCTCTCGCTCCCTCTCGCTCCCTCTCGCTCCCTCTCGCTCCCTCTCGCTCCCTCTCGCTCCCTCTCGCTCCCTCTCGCTCCCTCACCCTCCCTCTCCTCCCTCTCGCTCCCTCACCCTCCCCTCTCGCTCCCTCTCGCTCCCTCTCGCTCCCTCTCGCTCCCTCTCGCTCCCTCTCGCTCCCTCTCGCTCCCTCTCGCTCCCTCTCGCTCCCTCTCGCTCCCTCTCGCTCCCTCTCGCTTCCCACGCTCCCTCTCGCTCCCTCTCGCTCCCTCTCGCTCCCTCTCGCTCCCTCTCGCTCCCTCTCGCTCCCTCTCGCTCCCTCTCGCTCCCTCTCGCTCCCTCTCGCTCCCTCTCGCTCCCCCCCCTCCCTCTCGCTCCCTCTCGCTCCCTCTCGCTCCCTCTCGCTCCCTCTCGCTCCCTCTCGCTCCCTCTCGCTCCCTCTCGCTCCCTCTCGCTCCCTCTCGCTCCCTCTCGCTCCCTCTCGCTCCCTCTCGCTCCCTCTCGCTCCCTCTCGCTCCCTCTCGCTCCCTCTCGCTCCCTCTCGCTCCCTCTCGCTCCCTCTCGCTCCCTCTCGCTCCCTCTCGCTCCCTCTCGCTCCCTCTCGCTCCCTCTCGCTCCCTCTCGCTCCCTCTCGCTCCCTCTCGCTCCCCCTTCGCTCCCTCTCGCTCCCTCTCGCTCCCTCTCGCTCCCTCTCGCTCCCTCTCGCTCCCTCTCCTCCTCTCGCTCCCTCTCGCTCCCTCTCGCTCCCTCTCGCTCCCTCTCGCTCCCTCTCGCTCCCTCTCGCTCCCTCTCGCTCCCTCTCGCTCCCTCTCGCTCCCTCTCGCTCCCTCTCGCTCCCTCTCGCTCCCTCTCGCTCCCTCTCGCTCCCTCTCGCTCCCTCTCGCTCCCTCTCGCTCCCTCTCGCTCCCTCTCGCTCCCTCTCGCTCCCTCTCGCTCCCTCTCGCTCCCTCTCGCTCCCTCTCGCTCCCTCTCGCTCCCTCTCGCTCCCTCTCGCTCCCTCTCGCTCCCTCTCGCTCCCTCTCGCTCCCTCTCGCTCCCTCTCGCTCCCTCTCGCTCCCTCTCGCTCCCTCTCGCTCCCTCTCGCTCCCTCTCGCTCCCTCTCGCTCCCTCTCGCTCCCTCTCGCTCCCTCTCGCTCCCTCTCGCTCCCTCTCGCTCCCTCTCGCTCCCTCTCGCTCCCTCTCGCTCCCTCTCGCTCCCTCTCGCTCCCTCTCGCTCCCTCTCGCTCCCTCTCGCTCCCTCTCGCTCCCTCTCGCTCCCTCTCGCTCCCTCTCGCTCCCTCTCGCTCCCTCTCGCTCCCTCTCGCTCCCTCTCGCTCCCTCTCGCTCCCTCTCGCTCCCTCTCGCTCCCTCTCGCTCCCTCTCGCTCCCTCTCGCTCCCTCTCGCTCCCTCTCGCTCCCTCTCGCTCCCTCTCGCTCCCTCTCGCTCCCTCTCGCTCCCTCTCGCTCCCTCTCGCTCCCTCTCGCTCCCTCTCGCTCCCTCTCGCTCCCTCTCGCTCCCTCTCGCTCCCTCTCGCTCCCTCTCGCTCCCTCTCGCTCCCTCTCGCTCCCTCTCGCTCCCTCTCGCTCCCTCTCGCTCCCTCTCGCTCCCTCTCGCTCCCTCTCGCTCCCTCTCGCTCCCTCTCGCTCCCTCTCGCTCCCTCTCGCTCCCTCTCGCTCCCTCTCGCTCCCTCTCGCTCCCTCTCGCTCCCTCTCGCTCCCTCTCGCTCCCTCTCGCTCCCTCTCGCTCCCTCTCGCTCCCTCTCGCTCCCTCTCGCTCCCTCTCGCTCCCTCTCGCTCCCTCTCGCTCCCTCTCGCTCCCTCTCGCTCCCTCTCGCTCCCTCTCGCTCCCTCTCGCTCCCTCTCGCTCCCTCTCGCTCCCTCTCGCTCCCTCTCGCTCCCTCTCGCTCCCTCTCGCTCCCTCTCGCTCCCTCTCGCTCCCTCTCGCTCCCTCTCGCTCCCTCTCGCTCCCTCTCGCTCCCTCTCGCTCCCTCTCGCTCCCTCTCGCTCCCTCTCGCTCCCTCTCGCTCCCTCTCGCTCCCTCTCGCTCCCTCTCGCTCCCTCTCGCTCCCTCTCGCTCCCTCTCTCCCTTCTCCTCGCTCCCTCTCGCTCCCTCTCGCTCCCTCTCGCTCCCTCTCGCTCCCTCTCGCTCCCTCTCGCTCCCCCTCTGCTCCCTCTCGCTCCCTCTCGCTCCCTCTCGCTCCCTCTCGCTCCCTCTCGCTCCCTCTCGCTCCCTCTCGCTCCCTCTCGCTCCCTCTCGCTCCCTCTCGCTCCCTCTCGCTCCCTCTCGCTCCCTCTCGCTCCCTCTCGCTCCCTCTCGCTCCCTCTCGCTCCCTCTCGCTCCCTCTCGCTCCCTCTCGCTCCCTCTCGCTCCCTCTCGCTCCCTCTCGCTCCCTCTCGCTCCCTCTCGCTCCCTCTCGCTCCCTCTCGCTCCCTCTCGCTCCCTCTCGCTCCCTCTCGCTCCCTCTCGCTCCCTCTCGCTCCCTCTCGCTCCCTCTCGCTCCCTCTCGCTCCCTCTCGCTCCCTCTCGCTCCCTCTCGCTCCCTCTCGCTCCCTCTCGCTCCCTCTCGCTCCCTCTCGCTCCCTCTCGCTCCCTCTCGCTCCCTCTCGCTCCCTCTCGCTCCCTCTCGCTCCCTCTCGCTCCCTCTCGCTCCCTCTCGCTCCCTCTCGCTCCCTCTCGCTCCCTCTCGCTCCCTCTCGCTCCCTCTCGCTCCCTCTCGCTCCCTCTCGCTCCCTCTCGCTCCCTCTCGCTCCCTCTCGCTCCCTCTCGCTCCCTCTCGCTCCCTCTCGCTCCCTCTCGCTCCCTCTCTCCGCTCCCCTCTCGCTCCCCCTCGCTCCCTCTCGCTCCCTCTCGCTCCCTCTCGCTCCCTCTCGCTCCCTCTCGCTCCCTCTCGCTCCCTCTCGCTCCCTCTCGCTCCCTCTCGCTCCCTCTCGCTCCCTCTCGCTCCCTCTCGCTCCCTCTCGCTCCCTCTCGC